TGGTCCTGAAAGGGCTAACTGTGCCCCTGAAGGACCAGGTGCACAGCCTGGGAGTCATTTTGGACTCACAGCTGTCCATGGAGGCGCAGGTTAATTCTGTGTCCAGGGCAGCTGTTTACCAGCTCCATCTGGTAAGCAGGCTGAGACCCTACCTGCCCGCGGACTGTCTCGCCAGAGTGGTGCAAGCTCTAGTTATCTCCCGCTTGGACTACTGCAATGCGCTCTACGTGGGGCTACCTTTGAAGGTGACCCGGAAACTACAACTAATCCAGAGTGCGGCAGCTAGACTGGCGACTGGGAGCGACTGCCGAGACCACATAACACCAGTCTTGAAAGACCTACACTGGCTCCCAGTACGTTTCCGAGCACAATTCAAAGTGTTGGTGCTGACATTTAAAGCCCTAAATGGCCTCGGTCCAGTATATCTGAAGGAGCGTCTCCGCCTCCATCGTTCTACCCGGACACTGAGGTCCAGCTCCGAGAGCTTTCTGGTGGTTCCCTCACTGCGAGAAGCCAAGTTACAGGGAACCAGGCAGAGGGCCTTCTTTTTAGTGGCACCCTCCTTGTGGAATGCCCTTCCACCAGATGTCAAAGAGAGCAACAACTACCAGACTTTTAGAAGACATCTGAAGACTGTCCTGTTTAGGGAAGCTTTTAATGTTTGATGTATTACAGTATTTTAATATTTTGTTGGAAGCCGCCCAGAGTGGCTGGGGAAGCCCAGCCAGATGGGTGGGGAATAAATAATAAATTATTATTGTAACCAAGAAACAAACAAAAACATTGCAAAAGTCAGAGACGATTTTGACTTGCAACTCATATTGCGCCCGTTTCTTCTTTCAGAGGTAGCTGATGGCCTCTGCTGCATACTCACCACTCCCTGCCTCACCCAACACATGAGCAGCAACGAAGTAAGGAATCAAGAGACGAGGAATCAAGAAACCCCCGTTGTGATGCGCAGCAAGACCTTCTCGTGGAAGGATAGGCAGAGGTAATGTTTGGTCGGGGGCAGCTGATGCCAGCCTTCCCCAACTCAGTGCCCTCCAGATGTGTTGAACTATAACTCCCATCAGTCCAGGCCCAATGGTCAGGAATTAAGGGAGTTGTCGTCCACAAAGGTCTGGAGGGCTATTTCAATGCAGATGGCGCTCTGAGATTCTGCAGCTACAAAACCCCAGTTCTGCAACTGGAATAAATTACGTATTTTTCGCTCTATAAGACGCACCAGACCACAAGACACACCTGGTTTTTGGAGGAGGAAAACAAGGCAAAAAATATTCTGAATCTCAGAAGCCAGAACAGCAAGAGGGATCCCTTCGCAGTGAAAGCAGCAATCCCTCTTGCTGTTCTGGCTTCTGGGATAGCTGCGCAGCCTGCATTCGCTCCATAAGACGCACACACATTTCCCCTTACTTTTTAGGAGGGGAAAAGTGAGTCTTATAGAGCAAAAAATACGGTACTCTGTTTGACCAGTATAAGATTGCTAAAACATTCATGCTTCGTATGATATGTGCAATAGCGGGATTGAGTTTTGGACTCCAGAATTTACACTTCTGTGCCTAGTTTATTCCTTTTCTGGTGTTGTAGACAAAAAAAAAAAGGATGCGGGTGGCGCTGTGGGTTAAACCACAGAGCCTAGGACTTGCCGATCAGAAGGTCGGCGGTTTGAATCCCTGAGACTCGGGTGAGCTCCCGTTGCTCGGTCCCTGCTCCTGCCAACCTAGCAGTTTGACAGCACAAAGTGCAAGTAGATAAATAGGTACCATTCCGGTGGGAAGATAAACGGTGTTTCTGTGTGCTGCTCTGGTTCGCCAGAAGCGGCTTAGTCATGCTGGCCACATGACCCAGAAGCTGTACACCGGCTCTCTCGGCCAATAAAGCAAGATGAGTGCCGCAACCCCAGAGTCGGCCACGACTAGACCTAATGGTCAGGGGTCCCTTTACCTTTAGACAAAAAAGGGGGGTGCTAAAATAAATACAGTAGTACCTCAGGTTACAGACGCTTCAGGTTACAGACTCCACTAACCCAGAAATAGTACCTCGGGTTAAGAACTTTGCTTCAGGATGAGAACAGAAATTGTGCGGCGGCAGCGGGAGGCCCCATTAGCTAAAGTGGTACCTCAGGTTAAGAACAGCTTCAGGTTAAGAACAGACCTGCAGAACGAATTAAGTTCTTAACCCGAGGTACCACTGTATTTGAAAAGCGGGGTGGGGAATAAAGGGGTTGGAAACTGAAATTCGGGCGATGACAACAAGCAGTGGCTGATTATTTTGTTAAACCCACACCTACTCAGCGATACCATAATTTAACAATCCCTTTGCACATTCTAAGTCATGTTCTCACAGAGGCCTGGTTCATACATTACAGTGGTACCTCGGGTTACATACGACTGTCTACCAAGGTGAACAATTCAGAACTATTCAGAACCAAAGAGATTTGGCTATGTAATGATATCACTAGTGGCTAACTGTGTATGTACAGTGGTACCTTGGGTTACATTACACTTCAGGCTACAGACGCTTCAGGTTACAAACTCCGCTAACCCATAAATAGTACCTCGGGTTAAGAACTTTGCTTCAGGATGAGAACAGAAATCGTGCTCCAGCGGCGCGGCAGCAGCGGGAGGCCCCATTAGCTAAAGTGGTGCTTTAGGTTAAGAACAGTTTCAGGTCAAGAACGGACCTCCGGAACGAATTAAGTATGTAATCAGAGGTACCACTGTATTCTGTTGTGTGGATGTCAGAGTTATTATATTTTACAAAGGGTTGCCTGCATGATTTATGTCAAGCAAAGCCTTGTAGCATGTGTACATGTCCCCAACTTAGGTATAACCAGCCAAAACACTCTGGAAATGCTACGTGGATACATTAACTTGATGGCTTGGAGCATGTGCATTTCTGTCTTCAAACAAAAAACACCCAAAAACACACACACCACAATGATATCATTAGGGTAAGAAAGAAACCAGGTTTGAAAGCAGGATAAACCATTCTTCTTCAACGAGAAACCATCTCTAGTTCCAATTTCAGAAATGTTCGTGCTGATTTCCTTCGGGTCCAAATGTTAGACCAGGAGAGGACCAACATGGGTGGCACAACACAAAATGGCCTGGGGACACACAAACCCATTTTGTGGCACATTCCCAGACCCATTTGTCTATCTTCTGGCACCGCATTAAGCCAAACTGCAAAGAAGCTAAGGCAGTTGAAGTACCTTATTCTGTATCAATATCTCAGACAATAAACAACCTTCTCCTTCTTCTTTTTAAAGATCAAATGAAGATGACAGTGACATTGTAGACATGCTTGGAATAGAGGACTCTGGCCTGAGCTTTGGGCTGAGGAACAGCATCAGTTCCTATCTTGCCCTAACTGGAGAAACTGACTCTTACACGAACAACCGGAAGCAGAAAAGCAGGTCTGTCATATTACGGAACAAGTTCGAATCACCCTTCATTTATCACGAGAACCGATCCTGATAAAGTAGAAGGTGGCCAAGAAGAAACTTAAGATACTCCATGTTCAAACGACAAAACTTTTGCACTGTTGGGAGATAACGTGACCGCCATTTTTTTCAGTCCACAAGAGACCACCTCCTCTGGGACAGAGCCTGGAGACGGGGCTTAAAGTGTACAGTGAAAAGCAATAGATGCCGACTGATAAGGAAAGCTCTTTCAGAAATGGCTCTGGTTGCGAGAACAAAGAAAGGTGTATCCCACCAGGTGGTTCGGGTTTGGCCAGTTACTATTTCTATAGGCTCTTATCGAAGTCAAAAGCAGTTCTTCCCCCACATTGCACACTCTGTTTATAATAGGCACAAGTTATACATATCAGCACACCATCACGTGCATTTTAGGTCATAGAACTGGAATATTACCAGATCTTAATCTTCTGCCCTGAGGAAAATTATTCCAAATGTCAGGCCTTCCTTTGACCTGGCCAGACCACACAAGACCTTTAGCAGAGTTCATCACACAAAGGAGCCTGCGGGATAAACAACTTCAGATAATCCAAAGCACGAGGTTATTTTGCTTAGCAAAATCAGGTGGTACGGTCCTACCCTGGACCTCAGAATGCGGCCGGAAGAATCATTTCTTTTTTACAATTCCGTACATAAAATATTCCATGTAAGAAGAAAACTAACTCAGGGAGACCAAGTCAGTTAGAACCTTTTCCCTGATGCCCTGGTTTTTGTTTTTTAACGTAGAGAAAATCTACGGTTTCAAGCAAAGTAGTCCAGCTGTTGCTGTGCTTGCAGACTTGCCTAAATCAAATCAGATTAGGTTCTGCCTTATGAAATCCAGAGCCAGCATGTTTTTGGTTAATAACTGGAGTTCATCCTCAACCTCTCAGAGGTCCCAGATATGCATATATAAACTTATTTATGTGGGTGATGCCCTTGTATAATGTAAATTGTGTTACAGTGTATGAGCCTTGGGTGAAGCTGAGGAAAACGTGTATATAGGTGTAAAAAAAAAACCAAAACCCAAGTAATAAAACATTATTAAACAAACAGATTTCTGTGGGTAAAAGACTACCATATGTTTCACATACATCTGAACTAGACTAAAACAGCTGTCTTTGGAAGAAATGGCACTTTCCCATAAGGGATGGGTGAATACATATCAATTTCTCATTTTTCCACTATTAAGTTCAATTCTCACATTGATTCGTTTTTTTAAGCAAGTCTGCATGAAAATTCAGCAGCATTGTGTGGTGAATTTCTCATAATATACACAAATTTACCCGATACACACATTTTAATAATATTTTGACTAATATATGCATTTTAATGCACATTTACTCTTGAATATGCAATTTTGTACACATTACCCCTCTGAAGAACTGCCCTGCAAAATTCACAAAAGAGCGAATTTTGAAGGGTGACTGTGTCTCGGTTCTTGTTTTAGAAAATGCACATTGATAGATTTGCCTTTCAGTGTGAACTGAACCCAGCTCCTCCCCCCACATTACCACAATCTGAGAGAATTGGTACTCACCATCAGCAACACCCTCTTGAAGAGCCCAGAATCCACAGTCCCTGTAACCAGGTGAATGCTGGAAACATCTGCTCCGCTGCGATCAGCTGCGATTGTAATCTGACCAGGGTCTCCTCCAAAACTTTCAATGTTTTTCTGGGTCCATTTTAGAGCTGCTTCCTGGTCCAAAAGCCCCCAGTTTCCACTTGCCACTGTGGAACCTACAGAGAGAGTTGGGGGAGAGAGAGAGAATATGAATGGGAAAAGATGTTATCACTGTACTTACAGGGGATAAAACACAACTACAAATATGTAAAGGCCAGAACTAACCGCAGTTAATATTGATCACAGTTGTGGGTCCAAACAACATGGCAAGAATCTTCTGCGAGAGGAGAGGTGGGGATTAAGAAGACCAACTCCATTGCAGCTCATTCACATTGCACTAAACCATGGTTTGGTGACACCCGAGTGTCACACTAAACTGAGAGGTTGGGACTTGAGAGGAAGCAAAAAGCTGGGGGAAGGGGGAATGGAGGGAAACAGGGCCTATGTATAAGTCAGGCTGTAAGCAGTTGAAGATATCAGAGGATGAACAGACAAGTGGGAGAGGAAGACACATCAAGACAGCAGGCCGGGCAGGTGGAGGAATGCACCAAATTTCAAATCTTGGCTGATAGTTTCAAATCCAACCTTAACAAGGTACCTGAATATATTTTCGCACAGTCGGCAGAACAGAATCAGCATGGTCAACATCATATAATAAAGAAGCATTTTTATTATTATTATAAGGGAACAAAATTCCCCTGGAGTACCATGCTATTATGCTGTTTTCAGCCCACAAGCAGGAGTATGCATTTAGGCTTTTAACTCTATATTTAGGCACATTTAAAATAGCTGGATTTCAAAGCAGCTGCAGGAATAATTAACATTGGCCACGTACTTCTATCCTCCCTGTTAACAATTTCTCCTTCTATGTCCACTTTCTTCTGGGCTCCTGACATGCAATTTACACCCCTTGGACACTCATGCTTCCTAAATTCAAATGCAGATTTTGTACCAACGGCTGCATAGGAAATAATATTAGCTGTGCGATTCCAATGGCAGCATAGAGGAGGAGATGCCCCTGCATTTCCCAATAGGAGAAGTTGGGTGAACTGGCCACACAATACAATTCTCCATTTGCTCTAATCATGAAACTTCTCCACGGCGGTTCACCTTGCAAGTTCATTTCTCAAAATAAATTTCACTTCTTGATTTCTCACGTATAAGAATGCAAGGCGGGCGATGATGGATCAGTCAAAAGGCCCATCTGGTTCTCACAGAGGCCAAGCAGATGTCGGTATTGGAAGCCCGCAAACCAAACCTGAACGCAAGAGCATTTTCTCCACTTGCAGTTCCTAGCAATTATTCAGAGGTACACGGACTCTGACAGTGGGGTAGAACAGAACCAACACGTCCCAACTGTCCCTACTGTGGCGTTTGCCTCCTAGGATGGGTCATAAGGAAAAGGTTAAAATGGGTGTGATGTGATTGGTCAGTGAGAATGCAAGGACGGAGTAAAAGTTAGAGTGGGAGGTTTTGAAAGTCAGTTGAGGTTTGGGAGTTGAGAGTTGAGGTTTGGGAGTTGAAGAAGGAAGAGGGAGGATTAGGTATGGGTTGGTAGAGTTGTATTGTGAGAGAGTGAGAGGAATTGTTAGGTGGAGTCACATAGATAGTTGGGAATAATCAGTTTGAAGTTGTTAGGAACTAAGATTAAGAAACTGTCAAGAAAAACTAACTGAAACCATAAGCTTGTTCCTGCATTTAAAAATAAACTTGATTATTTGTTAATGTTAACAACTGACTGGACTCCGTGTGTCCTCGTGAGATACGGGGTGGTGGCGGCAGGAAAAAGCAATCACAGTGGTGGCACAGGGTCAATAGACCGTCAAACATCTGGGGGCCCTGTGTGATCGCCACACCTACGTACCAAGGACAGTGCCTTATTTTCTGGCACTAGTCCAGGGTACAATCTTGCCGCAGTTCAAGATGACAGGCTGGGGACTCCTCCTCTCCTTGGGAAACAGCCACAGCAAAGTGTAGAGCATCTGCTTTGCATACAGACCTAATCACCATCTCTGGGGGACCGTGGGTGCCAGGCCCCCCACAATTTTTTTTTACTGTGGGTGCCCGGTTGGGCAACCCAATGCATAATGCACTGCGTCAGGACACTCCGTCCGACCCTTCTGCTGAGGCAGGGGGACTCCCTCAGACCCTTCCACTGTGGCAGAGATATGTGACATCACACACATGCGCCGGGCACCCACAGTGTTGGGTGGAATCCAGTGTGACTGCAGGCAGGAGATGCCAGGTTCAACTCCTGGCATCTTCAGGTAGGAGCGGAAGATATCTCCTGCCTGATGAAGAGCTGCTGTCAGTCAATACTTAGCTAGATGGACCAATGATCTGACTCACGTAAGGAAGAAGAAGAGAAGAAGAGCTTGGATTTCATATCCCGCTTTATCACTACCCTAAGGAGTCTCAAAGCGGCTAACATTCTCCTTTCCCTTCCTCCCCCACAACAAACACTCTGAGGTGAGTGAGGCTGAGAGACTTCAGAGAAGTGTGACTGGCCCAAAGTCACCCAGCAGCTGCATGTGGAGGAGTGGAGATGCGAACCCGGTTCACCAGATTACGAGTCCACCGCTCTTAACCACTACACCACACTGGCTCTCAAGCCAGTGTGGTGTAGGGGCAGACATAATAGTGTGTGTGTGTGTGTGTGTGTGTGTGTGAGAGAGAGAGAGAGAGAGAGAGAGAGAGAGAGAGATATGGCGGAAGGAAATACTGCTTGTAGGTCTCTGCTGGACGAAATTCAGCAGAAGCGTAGAAAAGGAGAAGGAAGAAATTTCTCAGAAATAATAAAAGGGGAAGATGAGATAACAACAATGTGCCACAATCCATCAGACCAAGCTAAACTTAACTGTTGCCTTCTGGCTCACCACAGATTGACTCTGGTGCATTTGCTGCCATTGATTAATGCAAGAGCAGAAAAATCTGCACAAGGCATTCAACAAAAAAAATGCAAGATGTTCATTGAAATGAGAAGGGAAGGCCAAAAATAACACTTTGCAGCTGGAAAACACAGTTGCTGGAGATCCACACAGAGTTGCGACACTTCCTTCTGATTCATACTCACACAAAACTGCCTTGCAAGCTACATTTATAGTGTTAAAGCATTGAGCGAGTGAACAAGGCATATATTTAATAAGTATCTTCATGACCAATAAGGACACAATCTTGGGACAGTCTAAATTGGATGCTTATTTTGGGGGAGGGGGTGGAACCGACTGGTTCCCTGGTGATGATGACACCTGCCCTGGTTGGCTATGAACTGCCATTTTAAATATCCCACAATGCTTCAGAGCACCTGAGGCATTGTAGTCCCAACTAACTAGCATTCTTCAAGTGAACAAGAATAAGAAACGTGTTCTCATTCCAGTACTGGAGACAGCAGTTGGCATCTGTCTGTCTTGAGAGACATTGGAATGCGCCTCCAGGAGTGAGCCAAACAACTGGAGAATCACAGCGCCCACTATGGCTGCAAAGACCAGCAACTTGTAACTGCTGTCTCTTGTGCTGTTTTTTGCTGCATTAGCAGTACTGAAGTGACCTTGCTGGGGTGCAAGCCTGGGCAGTGTGCATGGAGGTTCTGGGCTGCCCAGACGACATGACCCGTCTCTTGGCCACGTCTTGGATGTGGTCCAAAGGAAAGCACCAGCTTGGCTGCAGGAATTGCCAGAAGGAGGCATACAAGACGCCATCCAACCACGTTAGAGACTCTTCTCTGGATTTGTGTAGGGTTTACTCCTTAGCCTTTTGTTGTCCTGAGAATACCCCACAAAACTGGAGGTAAAGGTAAAGGACCCCTGACAATTAAGTCCAGTCATGAGCGACTCTGGGGTTGTGGCACTCATCTCGCTTTACTGGCTGAGGGAGCTGACATTTGTCCACCGACAGTTTCTCCGAGTCATGTGGCCAGCATGACTAAGCCACTTCTGGCAAAGCCAGAGCAGCGCACGGACACTCCGTTTACTTTCCCGCCGGAGTGGTACCTATTTATCTACTTGCACTTTGACGTGCTTTTGAACCGCTAGGTTGGCAGGAGTTGGGACCGAGCAATGGAAGCTCACCCCGTTGCGGGGATTCGAACCGCCGACCTTCTGATCGGCAACCAGACTGGAGGTAGTAGGCCTCTAAATACTAGCTACTGAGGAGCACAAGAGGAAGAAATGCTGTACTCATGTCCTGCTTATGGACTTCGCATAGGCATCATTTGGTCACTGTGGGATCATGACATTGGACTAGATGTGCCTTTGATCTGATCCAGTTTTTTAATCCAAACCACACAACCCCTACACACAGCAAAGTCCTGGTTTCATCTACCACTTGTGTGTTCAACAAGGTCTATGACATACCAGTGCTTAGAAAGCCAAAGACTCCAACTCGGTAGTTCGCAGTTACAACGATGACATTGCCAGTTCCAGCTAGGTATGAGCCATCGATGAGTGTCCTCTGAGCCTTGACATCCTCACCACTTACACCATTGTGAAAGAACACCAGCACTGGTAGATTTCCACCCTGTGATAGCAACAGGCAGAAAAATGAAATCAGTTAACATTTGGAAAGAGTCTACAGTAGAATGACTAACACAGTGATGGCCAAACTTGGCCCTCCAGCTGTTGTTGGACTACAACAGGACCAGTGGTCAGGGATGATGGGAACTGTAGTCCCAAAACAGCTGGAGGGATGAGTTTGGCCATCACTGGACTAAAGAGAACTGAGGTCGACCTAAAGGAGCCACAGGTAATATCCATTCATGTTGTCCCAACCTTAAGGAGACACAGATTATGGGTGATCTCCAACATTCATTGTATTCAGAGCAGACCCATTGAAATAAATGGACTTGAATCTATTGGCATTGAGTATGACTACCACCCAATATTGCCTAATATATTTATTTTTATTGTAAAGACTAATGAGCCCCCTCTCTCCATCCAATGGTGTATACAATGGGAGTTCAAGGTCAATAAAGAGCCAGGTGTGAGATCCTTGGATCTGTCATCATTTTGTTACATTAAAGAAGCTGAAGGGAGCCTTACTTTTTAATTGGAACCGTCCCATAGGCTGAGCCCTACCACTGGACAGAATGAGGGGGTAGTGGATGTCCTGGGGGGGTTGGAAGTGGCAGCACGGTGTCAAAGGACAGAGCTGCGTGTACCATTTTCTTCCATTCTAAACTTCCCTTCCTTACATTTCTGCATCGGTTTGCACATTTATTTATTTAAAATCCCCCATGAAAATCCATCAGCATTTTTCTTGTGACACAAATTTCTCCTGATATGCATATTTCCGCACACAATTTCCCCCAATGCATATAGTTAAGTGAGCAATTTCCCCTACTATCCTGCATGTTAGATTCACGAAAGTATGCAGTTTCACAAATACACACATTTTGTAGTTTCACTAGAGTTCCAAACTTCCCCCTAATAGGTACCCTTTTGCACGCATTACTTGGCTGACGAACTGCGCCACAAAATTCAGAGAAGGGCTGTTTCGGTGGGTTGCTGTGCCGAAGGGCTCACATATCAGTTTGAGCAGTGCAATTCATGTAGTCTCTCATTAAAAGGCAATGGGAAATCGAGTTTCTCCCCCTCCCACACCAGCAGAGACAAGCAGGATTAGGGCAGTGCAACCAATTCTTCCACACTGGGCGCCGCAGGTCTTTGCAGCTATAAGGCAGTGAATTGAGCAGAACAGAAGGCAAAAGGCAGGGAAGGCAGCAAATTTTGACCTCGCAAAGGGTGCCACTGAAAAGACCAAAATCTACCGCTGATAGCAGCAGCAGCCCAGTGCTGTTGTGGATGAAGAACACTGGAAAGAGGTATCCCTGATTTAGTACTTACAGTATTAGGTGGGACATAAATGTTCAAATACAAGCAGTCTTCGCTGATGGAGGAAAGAGCAGCTCCATCATCCCCTGGTTGCCAGCAACTCGCCCTGGAGACATAAGGAAGTGTTATTACGAATGGGTGTCCATGTTTGCTTGCTTTTTAAATGAGAAACACTGGAATCAGATGGCCTGGTTCCCTACCAGTCGTGGGCTTCGGGTTCTAAAATGTCTGTGAGATGCCAAAAGTTGGCTCCACCACCCCGCCTCTCGCTGTCCGTTGTTCATTATTATTGTGCCACCCCCCGAGGCCACTGTCGGATTTACATATAAGCTAAACAAGCTATAGCTTAGGGCCCCACTCTCTTGCCCCCCCCAAAAGGAAAAAAAACTGGGTGTACATTTCCAACATATAAGATAAAAAACAAATAAAACAAAACCCACATACAGCAACAGTGTTTTGTGTTGTGTAGGCTCCTATGATGTACGTAATGGGCCCCGCCTGCTAGCCTGCTCCCTAGAATATCACTGGTTTGCTCATTTCTATATACAGGGTGCCTTCATTCTGCATGGACTGGTTGCATGGCAATTTGTGGAAATGGCTTTAGATACCTATTAGGTCCATAAATTACCATATAGCATATATTCAACACAAGAACAGCGACAATTTGTTGTTGACAAAGGACAGCTGAACATATAAAAGGCCCCATTACCTTCAGTAGCTTAGGGCCTCATCAAACCTAAATCCGGCCCTGCCTGAGGCACATGCTCAGCGCAGGTGAATCAGTCATGTTCCCCTATAAATCTGCCCCTTCTCACAATAAGCACATATAACTAAACCATATGCCTCATCTTTTCATCCCCTCTCTCTGTTACCTCTTCTCTGTTGAAGGTTAGGACTATGCAAAAACCATGCATTTAAAGCACACAGCTTCTCCTAAATAACTGATGGGTTTGATGGATTGATTTGATCCGTTGTTCTCTGTACCTAGAGGGCTGTCACATGGAAGATGGAGACCTGCTCTGGAGGTTAGGACCCGAGCCAATGGTTTCAAGCAACAAGAAAGGAGGTTCCGACGAAACACCAGGAAGAACTTTTTGATGGTCAGAGCTGTTCAACAGTGGAACAGACTCCCTTGGGAGGTGGTAGATTCTCCATCCTTGGAGATTTCTAAGCAGAGGTTGGATGGTCGCCTGTCATATATAATGATCTAACTGAGGTTCCTCACATTGCAGGGGGTTGGATGAGAAGACCTCTTAGGTCTCTTCCAACTCTACCATTCTATGACTTTAGTACAAGGAGTATTTCTATAACATTAAATCATTTGTGCCACTATAGTGGTACCTCGGGTTACATACGCTTCAAGTTACAGAATCTGCTAACCCAAAAATAGTACCTCGGGTTAAGAACTTTGCTTCAGAATGAGAACAGAAATCGTGCTCCAGCAGCACGGTGGCAGCAGGAGGCCCCATTAGCTAAAGTGATGCTTCAGGTTAAGAACAGTTTCAGGTTAAGAACGGACCTCCGGAACAAATTAAGTACTTAACCCGAGGCACCACTGTACTTGAGTGTTAACAGCTCCCTAGAAGTATTTTCCCATGAGAAACACCCATGCTTTCACCTTGCCAGAGATGTTTCATATTAAGACCACAGCACCGTTGACAAAGGATGTCTGCAGCTGAAATCAAATATATGCGGAGCACAGAACGTTTTCTGAAGCACACTTTTTTTTAAAAAAAGCTGGTGTATGAAACCGTGCAATATTCTGTGTGTCTTAACCGTATGTTGCTGCACACCTGGATAAACAAGATGTTGACTCTCCAGTGGGGAACAGCAAGTCTGATGTGGTTGAGTCACCCACGCGACTCAGGTGCGCAAGAAATTAGGTCAGCAAAGGTCTGGGTTCTATCACCCACCAGTGACACTGTGCAGGAGGAGGGGGAGACCATGTGGTGTAGATGATCACCACATTTTTTCTAACCCCCTAAAGAAACAAGTATGAAACATCAAGCCCTATGGAGACATTTATATGATTGTTTCAGCCACAAGCTGAAATAGACCTATATGACTTACACTGTTATTTCTTCTTATAAATGCATCTCTGTGGGGTCAGAAAACATATTATGTCAGGGATGAGGAACCTGTGGCCCTCTAGATGTTGCTGATGCATTCAGAAAACAATTTGCAAACCAAAACCCAGCCACTTTTGGAAATTCACACTTCTCTGAATTTTGCAGCACAAAATGCATTTATTAACATGCATTTAATATGGGGAAGTGTACATAAAAGTTTCTTCTAAAAATATTAGTAAAAGTCGCATCTAAAATGCATTATAATAAAGGAAACTGCTGAATTCTCACAAAGTTGTTTTTTTAAAAAAAATACAATTTGAAATGTGAAAAACTGAATTTAAAACTGGAAATAAAATGAGAAAATGAGAGACTATTATTGATTGGGGGTTGCATTTCATTCCTGTTTAATTGCTTTTTATTATATTTTTATTACTACTGTTTGCCAGCTTGTGCACTGTTAGCAACTAACAGTTAGGGGTGCAAGTTAACAACCAAGTGTTTGAATAGCCCTGCAAAAATCTGGTTGCACAAGCTGTTCAGAAACTATTTTTGTTGGTGTTGTGCCACTGAATTAGCCATAAAAAGCCCAAACCATGTTTTTTCTAAGGCAAAGGAGTCCAAATGGTGCCCCTTCATGGATGATAATAATGGTAACAATACTATAATTGACAATCTGCTGTTCTTTAACTCATTATTGAGGGGAAATGCGTAGAAAGGTCTCGGTGTTTTGATTTCTGGGAATGGAGTTAAGAGATGACCTAACCTGGGGAGAAAACAGTAAAATCTTGATGAAGAGAGCACAGCAGAGGTTGTATTTTCTGAGAATCCTCCGGAAAAACAATATCTCAAAGGACCTGTTGTTGGCATTTTACCATTGTACTGTGGAGAGTGTATTAACTTTTGGTCTGTGTGTGTGGTTTGGGAACTGCATGGTCAGGGGAAAAACAATGCTGTCCAGGGTTGTAAAGATTGTGGAGAGAATAATTGGGTGCACTCTTCCCACCTTGGATCAAATCTATGCTTCCAGGTGTCATAAGAAAGCTGCAGAGATAGCGCAGGATAGTGCGCACCACAGAAATGATCTCTTTCAGCTTCTGCCTTCTGGAAGAAGGTACAGGGTTATAAAGACTAGGACTAGCCGCCTGAGAAACAGTTTCTATCCAAATGTGATTTTGGTTTTAAAGGCGGTGTAAGGTGGTCTCTGTGGGGGTATATTGTATTCAATTATGGGGTATCAGAGTTTTTAGGGGGTTAATCAGGCTGGGATAGCAGGCTTGTTGGTTTTTGAATGTAGATTTTTTTTCAATTTCGTTGTTCCGTATGGGACAATGACAATAAAGATTATCGTATCCCAGAACTCATTATCCCACCTGCTGTATGTTAGGGACAGCCATGGAGCTACCAGAGATACTGGTTCAAAGTGGGGGCAACCATCAAATTCACCACAGTACACAGAGGTATACTGAGTAGGACTTCCATCTCTATCAAGGGGACTTTGATCTGCTCCAACATGGAAGCTCTCATGCTCTTACAGTAAGTGAACAAGATTACAGTTGGCAGCCAAGGTGCCAAACACCTTCTCACCGAGTTGTGGAAGCGTTCCAGGACTCCTCCCGGATGAAAGCTTGTGGAGGACGGAACCTGTACTCAGCCACTGGAGGACGTGCATAGGGAATCCCAAGGAACTGCCTGATCCTTTTCCAGCTGGAACCCACACGAATTGCTTGAGAAGTGCCAAACAAGGTTCCTTGTGATGGGATGTGGACGGAGGGAGCAGCACTTGTTTCAGCAACGGACAGGAATGCCTCTGTAGGGAGCGAAGGGAGAATAAATCAAACCTTTACGAATCTGCTCCCGATTAACTGAAAGATTCCTAATAAGGCTGGGCTCCATTTGGGATGCCACTGTCAGGAGCGCATGCAGGTGCCAGGCCCTGTGACCAGTAGGGCTTTGCAGGACCGGGGCCTTCCTAAGTTTGTTCTGGAGAGGAAAGGCGCGGCCACACAGGTGAGGCCATTTGGTAACTCACTGCACCTGGTGGCTAGAGCCGGGAAGGGATATAAGGTCAGCATTTCCCTTCAGCTCTTTGCCACAGCAACACATTTCCTGACTCGTTGTGTTTGGCTTCTTGCTTCCTGATCCTCAGACCTCGGCTTCTTGACTCCTTGCTTCTTGATCCTGGGACCCTTGACTTCATGACTCCCTGCTTCCTGACCCTCAGACCCCTGGCTTCTGGACTCTCATTCCTGCTCCCACCCTGACATCTTGCCCCCCCCGGTCCTGACGTCCGCAGCCAGGACTTTGATCGCCCGCAAACTGGACCATGACAGCCACAAAGCAATTAAGTCTGTTTTAGAGCCTAGATCTAGGTCTAAGTCTGGCTTTGTATGGCTCAGTTGGTTAGAGCATGGTGCTGATAACACCAAGGTTGCAGGTTTGATCCCCAAATGGGACAGCTGCATATTCCTGCATTGCAGGGGGTTGGACTAAATGATCCTCAGGGTCCTTTCCAACTCTACATTTTTATTATTAAATCTGTTTTAGGGCCTAAATCTAGGTCAAGCCTGAGCATAGCTCTGCTGATGCAACGACTATCCTCAAACCAGGTTTCATGGGGAGACATCTCAGAAAGTGCTTTGAGATTATTCAATCCTGCTATTTCCAGTTAGGCTTGTTAACAAAATTCTGTTTCATTTATCCATCAGATTGTTTGGAGGAAGGTCCATTTGGAAAGAACGAAGAGTTTTCCAAACTCGACCCCCGCCACACCCAATATGTCCTGTTGGTAGTCTAATTTCTGCCACACTTATTTCATCTCTAGGCTCACAATTTTTTGGGGGGGTGGATTTTAGCCTAATTCGAACCACTGACCTTCTGATTGGCAAGCCCAAGAGGCTCAGTGGTTTAGACCACAGCACCACCTGCACCCACTCTGCCAGTGTAAATAAGAAAACACATGCCTTCTTCCTCTGACCCTTCTGCCACAGGCTTACCTTGCCTGCGATAAATATAGGTAGCTGGCTCCTTCAGCAAAAGTCGACAGTGGGGGCCTTCAAGGCCAAGTGTGCAAGTCTGGGTTTCTGGGTAAAATATGCATCGCATCACTGAAGGCTGTGGTTCAAGAGTAGTCACCAAGCATGACTTGTCCTTGGAGCAGGCTGTTGAGAATGAGAGAAAAGGGCTGTGAGTTAGGTGGGTGGATGGACAGACAGATAAGCAATGAGAAGCACAAAGCTATTTTGATAGACCGATGAGGAGAGATATCATTGTATATAGGTAAATGAATGGAGAATATGGCTGGAGTTGGCACCACCCAAGGTTGGACATCTGCCAAGGAAGGGCCCTGTACCTGGGAAACCATTTGTGAAGGTGGAGTAAGGATCACAGAAGACAGGGTTGGCCCACTCATGAGGCAAGGTGAGGCAACTGCCTCAGGCAGCAGGAGCTACAGGGGCAGGAGGTCCCAATGTAGATCTTTGCTCACCCCTTCTTCCCTGGCGGGGAGGGGGGTGCCATTTTTGCCTCAGGGGTCAAAATGTCTTGGGCCGGCACTGACTGAAGTTAATGAACAAAGCACTCTTGCTGAGTGCGAGACATTTCTGCAGATATAGTCCAAGGAATTAGCAGATTTCCTCCGCCAATGGCTCAATCATAGTGTCTTACCAAAAAGATGATGATGATGATAATGATAATAATAATTTTATTTGTATTCCGCCCTCCCCAGCCAAAGCTGTGCTCAGAGCAGCTAACAACAAGTAAAAATAGCACAGTGTACATAAAATCACACAGTCAATTAAGTAAAATACATTCTAAAATCAATTCAGAATCAAATTAATGGCAACCATTGGGTTAGAGTTCTATGAGGATTACAGAAGGAGAGAGGGGGTCAGATTGTGCCTTGGCCAAAGGCCTGGTGGAACAGCTCTGTCTTGCAGGCCCTGCGGAAAGATGTCAAGTCCCGCAGGGCCCTAGTCTCTTGTGACAGAGTGTTCCACCGGATTGGGGCCATGGCTGAAAAAGCCCTGGCTCTGGTCGAGGCCAGCCTAACCTCCCTGTAGCCTGGGATCTCCAAGATGTTTTTATTTGAAGACCCTAAGGTCCTCCGTGGGACATACCAGGAGAGGCGGTCCCGTAGGTACGAGGGTTCTAGGCTGTATAGGGCTTTAAAGGTTAAAACCCAGAGGAAGATGGAGAAGCAAATGAAGGAAGGAAAATATACAGATAGCTGGATGAAGACAGGTAAAGAAATTTATAGACTGATAGGATAATAATAATAATAATAATAATAATAATAATAATATCTTTATTGTCATTGCCCCCTCTCGGGGACAACGAAATTACTTGGCTGCTCCATCCACCCAGGTAGGGCACTCCACACAAAATCAAAACAACTATAAAAACACTAATTAAAGCAATACAGTATAATACAGCAAGGAAGATTAGATGACTTTCAAAGTCCAGGCTTCCCATTCAGGGCCGAGATCGCTCTGGAGAAGAAGCTGTTCTTAAGACGGCTCGTTCTTGTCTTCATCGTCCTGTATCTCCGTCCCGACGGCAGGAGCTCGAAGAGACAGTGACCAGGATGCGATGGATCTTTTACTATGTCCAGTGCCTTCCTGTGGCACCTTGTGGCATAAATCTGCTCTAAGGTGGAGAGTGGGCAGCCAACAATGCTCTCTGCTGCCTTAACAACTCTGCACAACCCCATCCTGTCCTGGGTAGTACAGCTTCCGTACCACACACATAAGCCATAAGTGAGCACGCTCTCAATGGCACAGTGATAGAAGGCAAGCAGCAGTTTCTGTGGAAGATGGTTTTTCCTTAGAATTCTCAAAAAGTACAGTCTCTGCTGCGCCTTCTTCACAAGCCCCCTTGTGTTGACACTCCAGGACAGATCCTCTTGTAATTCAATGCCCAAAAATCTGAACGTTGTTACCCTTTCCACACAGACCCCATCAATCAAAAGTGGCTGGACATTGCTCTTCTGTCTCCTGAAGTCCACCACAAGCTCCTTTGTCTTCCTTGTATTTATGAGCAAGTTGTTAGCTCTGCACCACTCTGTCAGCCGCTCCACCTCATCTCTATAGTCCATTTCACCCTCCCTTTCAGAGATGAGCCCAATCACGGTTGTGTCATCTGCAAATTTGACAACCCTATTACTAGGGTGAGCAGCGACACAATCGTACGTGTAGAGAATATAAAGGAGCGGACTGAGTATGCATCCCTGTGGTGTTCCTGTATTAGTCTTAAGCATACTAGAGGTATAAGGGCCCAACCGAACCCTCTGGGGGCGGTCTGACAAAAAGTCCAATATCCACCCACAAAGTGATAACGGAAGCCCCAGATCTTCCAGTTTAGACATCAGACGTTGTGGTAGAATGGTATTAAATGCCGAGCTGAAATCTAAAAAAAGCAGTCTGGCATAACCCCCCCGCTGCTCCAAATCTGCAAGAACGGCATGGAGGGCAATCGCCACAGCGTCCTCTGTCGATCTTTTCGTTTTATAAGCAAATTGGAATGTGTCCAGTCCCAAAGGGAAAAGGAAGGGAAAAGGGAAAAGGGAAAAGGAAGAATGCAATCAGGTTAGGGAGTGGTTTTCAAATACGATTTTGCACTCAACTGTTAACAAGTCATGCACATGTCTATTTGTGCATGCACTCATTATTTCCCCCCTTGAAAAAACAACAACACCCAAAACTTTTTTCTTTTTTTTTTTAAAAAAACTGCTCCAAGAATTGGTGGATGTGTTTTCGTGATGTCGTAACCATTGGCCAATCCATGGCATCCACAGCCAGCCTATGCTGCAAATGTGCAGAGTATTTTTTTCAGAGCTCAACCCAAAAGGAGCAAAATCTTTGGGCTGAAAAATACGCTTGAAATGAGGAAACTTCCAAACTGACCCTGCTGCTCTACTGATATTACCATTTTCACCCTCAGACAAGCAGACAATAAGATTCAGCTGAGTCTGGTTTGGGGTTGCTGTTTTTTGGTGTGTGTGTGTGTGTGTTTTATAAGCCAAGCAAAAACCCTAAATAACACTAACAAGCAGGCTCAAAAAGCTGAATCAAGAACTAAGGCCTAGTTCCTCACGGAGATTTGGGCTGTACAAAACACAGCGATTCACCCCATCTGTTAGATACTCAGGCAAGACTTTATTTGTTCATACACAGAAAAGCACTGCACAACTAAGGAAGGTTCTCGGTTACGTTTATCTGCCTTGTAGACCACAAAATCTTTGAACAAAAGGAGGGCAATGCAAGACTCCTATAAAGGAAGTGGTGGGAAACAAAGCAAATAGAACTCGAGGGAACTATATTGTGCTTTTTAAAAGTTTCACAATTCAGTAACTTATTTTGCCTCCTCTGTCGATTAATTAGCAGATCCAGTTTGAAACAGTTCATCTACATCCCTCTCACTTTTTTAAAAGATTCAATCACCTCTGTAAATATCCTATTGAATTGTCCCAGAAGTGATGGTGCCAAAGGTACAGGCAATGACTTTCCGGAGCACCCCCCGTTTAAGTGAAATCACGTATATTTGGAACACCATTGGAAAAGCCCAGAGAAAAAACAATGGGATTAATAGGAAGCTTCTCACCTGAAAGGCAAAAGTCTCGCAAGGTGGCAAAATCACTGGAACCATCTCTGCTGATGTGCAGAATGTCAATCTTTGAAATGGAGGAATCGATGAGAACTGAGGCCCTGTCCACACGCTGCCAGTTGTCCAAAATCACTAGGAATCAAAATGCAGAAGAGTGAAATCCCACAAAGTATTAATTGATATTTTCCAAAACAACATAGAGCAACCTCATGTATCCCAGTGGTCAAATATTTAGATGATAGAAGGGTCCCTTTGCCCAACTCTGACTTTGATCTAATAATGGAACTATTCTGTGGCTCAGCTGGGCAACCCAGTAAACTAGGAACAGCCAACATGGCTCCCTCCAGATGTTGCCCAGCTATAGCACCCATCATCCTTGATCACGGGGAGTCCAAAAACATCTGGAGGGCACCGCGTTGGTTACCCCTGAAGTAAACACACACCGGATAGAGCTTTCTCATTATGCAGAGATAATGTTTAGTCTCAATACCTGTTTTTTCCTGGTTCAATAAGCTTTTATGGGCTGTGTTCTGGATTTGCCAGGGCATTCACAAGAACTATTCAGTGCATCAAGGTCGCTGAGGGGGAAATCTACTTAATTTACCTTACAAACACTTTTAAGAGTAACATAATAAAGGGTCCCCTAAGCATATAGGGAAGTATGGATCTGTACTCCCATCAGCCAACCCCTTTGAAAGAGGCCCTTGAGAAAGTTAGCTATGTGAATCAGATCTTTGTATTCCTTATCTCATGCAATACTTATCTTATACAGTGGTACCTCCGGTTAAGAACTTAATTCGTTCCGAAGGTCCGTTCTTAACCTGAAACTGTTCTTAACCTGAAGCACCACTTTAGCTAATGGGGCTCCTGCTGCCGCCGCGCAGCCACTGCACAATTTCTGTTCTCATCCTGAAGCAAAGTTCTTAACCCGAGGTACTATTTCTGGGTTAACGGAGTCTGTAACCTGAAGTGTATATAACCCGAGGTACCACTGTACGATACTTAGTCCCAATGTTTTATTTCCAGAGTGAACTTTTGCAGAACTGGGCATTTCAAAAGTACACATTGGGTTTAAAAAATAATAATACTGCAATTCACGCATTCCTCTTTTGCCTTGAAAACAACAACAAAAAGGGGAAGCTTTTCAGCAACATGAATGTAAGCAACATGTTTTTAAAGTCTAATTACACATCAATTTTCTGCAGTCAGCAACTGCGTTCCAAAGCGGTGGAAGTGGTATGTCTAGGTCCAGACACAAAGCTGAAAATGACTAGTTATGCTCTTTAGAAAAAGAATAGGCTTTGTCTGGATTCCATTGTGAGCCAAATTGTCTGGTTTCCTTGATGGTTTTCAGATGCATTCATTGCAATAGCGTTCCCATTCACGATCACGTCTACTGACTCAGTCAGCAAACTTGAGCAAGTCATGAAACCTCATGTACCACAATATTACGGCTACAGAGGCAAAAGTTTTGCCTTCAGGCATGTTAATCGGGAATAATTCTATGTGACTCAACTTGTCGATGACAACATGGCCAGAACAGTACGTTTGGGCCCACTGGAGTCTGTTTTACCATGGGGAAATGAGTCTTATTATTTGCTTTTCGACACATCAGAGACCACCTTCTATGAAAGGGCAGAGTCTTAATGCAGACTTTGCAAATGAGCAGAAAGGCCAAGGTGCTTTGAAATAGCCATGGCACAGGGAAGATCCAATTGCAGTCCTACTCACAAGTAGGCAACCATTTCCCACATTGCCTCCTGGGGAGTCTTCCTGGGAGGAGGGTGGGCAGATGTCATTGGTAAGTGGGACAAGAGGCAAAAGCAGGCAAAGAAATGAATGTAAATCTTCATACTGTAAGCCAGTTTCTAAACCCATCCACACACCCCTCTGACTTCCCTCCAAGGAAGAATGAAGCAGAGTTCAAGGGCACATTTCAGCCGGGCAGAAACACTCAAGCAAAGAAGAACCAGTGAAGGATATGGCTTGAGGGCCTGAGGATCATTTCAGGGGCCAGGCATAAAGGCTTGGAGGGCCACATTCAGTCCTGCTCAGTTGTATCGTTCACATGTCGTATGGATCTAAAGAAAACCACTGATCCCATTTAGCAGCAAACTCAGAACCAGATTTTGCTACCAGCAGAAGCGAGTGGCAATGCTTTATCTGAACTGAACTGTAAAACCATGCCATGATAAAGGTAGGGTATTGCATGACTGGGCACACAGAAAATTCAACAAAAGCTCCCTACAAATAGAACTGCCGCAGAATAATGGGAAGGCAGTCTGAACCTTTCTCCCTAGCATACTAATGACTGCCGTATGACACTCACCTAAGCCAAACCAGTCGTCTTGTTCGAACCCTGATTCTTCAGCTCATGGTTACATGAGAGCTTAACCCCAAGCCTTGGTTCAGAGTGTGGGAACGAAAAGGACTCAAGAGAAGTGACCCCAAGATCCCCTATAGTCACCTGCCTATTAAGCCATGGCACTGTGATCTAAACCACTGAGCCTAGGGCTTGCTGATCGGAAGGTCGGCAGTTCGAATCCCCGCGATGGGGTGAGCTCCTGTTGCTCAGTCCCAGCTCCTGCCAACCTAGCAGTTAGAAAGCACATCAAAGTGCAAGTAGATAAATAGGTATCGCTTTGGCGAGAAGGTAAACGGCATTTCCATGCACTGCTCTGGTTTCGCCATAAGCGGCTTAATCATGCTGGCCACATGAGCCGGAAAAACTGTCTGCAGACAAACGTCGGCTCCCTTGGCCAGTAAAGCAAGATGAGCACCGCAACCCCAGAGTCGTTCATGACTGGACTTAACTGTCAGGGGTCCTTTACTTTTGCCTTTACCTTTAAGCCATAGAATGGCTACCTGTGCCTTGTGAACCAGGCCATTGTCTTAAATGTTCCAACATGGCATTAGCAGCCATCTAACGCAGTGTGGCATCACTGCAAGACCATACAGAGAAATTTACAACCACAGTGTCTTGGGAAGAGAGAGAGAGAGAAAGAAAAAAAGCCTAAGGTAACTTGGAAGATTCAGGACAGGTTTTAAAAAGTACTTCTTCCCACATCTCATTGTTAGACTACGGAACTCTCTGCCTCAGGAGGCAGTGATGGCCACCAACTTAGATGGCTTTAAAAAGGAATTGGACAGTCTATCGATGGCCACTAGCTAAGGTGGATCTGTTCTGCGTCCACGACTGGATGCAGCAATGCTTCGGAATACCAGTTGCTGGAAACCACAGGAAGGGAGAGTGATCTTATGCTCACATCCTGCTTGGTGGTTTTGCATAGGCATCTGGTTGGCCACAGTGAGAACAGGATGCTGGACTAAATGGGCCATTGGCCTGACCCAAAAGGCTCTTCCAAAGAAGGCTGATCACCAAAGAATTGATGCTTCTGAATTATGGTGCTGGAGGAGACTCTTGAGAGTCCCGTGGACTGCAAGAAGATCAATCCTATCCATTCTGAAGGAAATCAGCCCTGAGCGCTCACTGGAAGGACAGATCCTGAAGCTGAGGCTCCAATACTTTGGCCACCTCGTGAGAAGAGAAGACTTCCTGGAAAAGACCCTGATGCTGGGAAAGATGGAGGGCACAAGGAGAAGGGGATGACAGAGGACGAGATGGTTGGATAGTGTTCTCGAAGATACCAGCATGAGTTTGACCAAGCTGCGGGAGGCAGTGGAAGACAGGAGTGCCTGGCGTGCTCTGGTCCATGGGGTCACGAAGAGTTGGACACGACTAAACGACTAAACAACAACATGTCCTTAACTTTCTGGGGTTGCTTTTTCCTCTGGGTGGGACAGGTGTCTCTACACACCATCCTACCCCAGGTCAATTGGTTTGTGCCTGACGTGACCACGACGAAGGGACTTTCTACAGCATCCGTGCAGGTGCCTCAACTCTACACAGCTTCCATGTCGCTGAGAAATTTCCCTATTCAACTCAAACCAGACTATGCCAACCTGACCACATTTCGGTAGCTGCTTTCGTCGCATAATTGTAGCCTTCAGCATCCAACGATGCCTGTAACTTTTATTGTTAAATTACAGGCATTCCGTGAAGATGGTTTCTGCTTTCCATATGTTATTTGCACTGGAATGCAGGAAGTGTATCAAGGGCCATAGTCGGGTTGGGTCATGAGTTATATGAGACTTATGGTGCTGGAGGAGACTCTTGAGAGTCCCATGGACTGCAAGAAGATCAAACCTATTCATTCTTAAGGAAATCAGCCCTGAGTGCTCACTGGAAAGACAAATCCTGAAGCTGAGGCTCCAATACTTTGGCCACCTCATGAGAAGAGAAGACTCCCTGGAAAAGACCCTGATGTTGGGAAAGATGGAGGGCACAAGGAGAAGGGGACGACAGAGGACGAGATGGTTGTACAGTGTTCTCGAAGCTACCAGCATGAGTTTGACTAAGCTGTGGGAGGCAGTGGAAGACAGGAGTGCCTGGCATGCTATGGTCCATGGGGTCACGAAGAGTCGGACACGACTAAACGACTAAACAACAACAACAAGTGTCTATCCAGGATTTCAGTGTGAAATCATCATTCCCAAAATCTGGAAATACCAGCATTTCCCACTAACAAGTGCTTTCTGAATACTCAGAAAGGTACTTTTCCATGATGCACAAAGGATTGTGCGCTGTTCAAAATGTGTGGTTTTTACCCCCTTTGCTTTCTTATTTAGGAGAAATTCAAACCGAATTACATTTATTTCAAGAATGCGCCCTGCACACATGTTTTTGCCAGTCAGTCTAGGTGGAAAGGACAGAATACACCATGTGCTATTCCCCCGCACACCCACACCCACAAAACTCTTCTTGTATAATAACTATAATCTTGCCCCTGGGAGTACTACTTTTCTCTGCACACAAAGCTGTTATTTCATGGCACGGAGAAGCTATCAGATGTGAAATGGAAGCCTTCTGCATTCCTTGGGTGGTGCCTGTTGTGGCACAGGGCATCGGGCGCAGGGGAAAGCGAGAGCACCAGATGTTTATCTCCATTTTAAAATAGGCTGCTTATAAATAGGGCAGCGCCTCCCTCTCTGAAATGGGCACTTACAAGCCCAGTTACGCCGCATACCCATGGCCTATTTGAGGTTATATACCTGAACAATCTCAGCTGAATTACTTTGGCACACGCTTCAAAAGGCTTTCTAAAGTAGGGATAGCTCTCCAGATCCTGTCAGACTCCAGCTCCCATCAGCCCCAGCCAACATGGCCAAAGTGAGAGACGGTGGGAGTTGTAGTCTGTTCACAACTGGAGCCCCACAAGTCCCCCCCTCCGAGGTCTAAGGAAAGCTTCAGTCAAGTTCCCATCGAGCCCAAATTAGTGTGCCAGAGATGAGAGGTGGTCTATTCTGGCTTGAAAGTGAAGTACCTCATAAAAAACCACGGGGACAAAGCCCTCCTGGAGCAGACCAAAGCATACCCTCCAACATTTCTCTGATGAAAATAGGGGCGTCCCATTCTTTAATGATAATTTTACTATTTATACCCCACACATCCTACTGGGTTGCCCCAGGCACTCTGGGCAGCTTCCAATATACATAAAAACATTAAAAAAAATAAAATGAAAAAGATCCCTTCCCTATACAGCCGTACCTCAGAAGTCGAACGGAATCCATTGCGGAAGTCCATTTGACTTCCGAAATGTTTGACTTCCAAAGCAGGGCTCCTGATTGGCTGCAGGAAGCTTCTGCAGCCAACCAGAAGCTGTGGAAGCCCCGTCGGACATTCGGCTTCCAAAAGAACGTTCAAAAACTGGAACACTCCCGGTTTTTGATCATTCAGGAGCCAAAAAAGTATGAGTTCCAGGGCGTTCAAGAACTGAAATATGACTGTACAGTATTGCCTTCAGATGGCTTGGGGGTCGGTTAACTCCATACCTTCCAACATTTCTCCAATTAAAATAGGGACAATCTAAGGCAGGGGTGTCAAACTCAAATTCATCGGGGGCCGTATCAGCAGTTTGGTCACCCTCAAAGGGCCGGTTGTATCTGTAGGACTATGTAAAGGACATGTAAAGTGGAGGTTTCCTGTGTAGAACGGCCGGCGCCGCTAGAGGGCAGACGTTCTCTGGCTTGTAGGCTGCCGTGCATGCGCTGAATAGGCGGCTTTCTTGTGTCAAAAAAAGAAAGAAAAGCGAGAATAAAAGGTGAAGGCTGGTGGCCGGCGGCGGCTACACGGGCCACATGACGAGGTCTGGCGGGCCGGATTCGGCCCGCGGGCCTTGTGTTTGACACCCGTGATCTAAGGGAAAGTGGGACATTCTGGGATCAAATCAGAAACCGGGACGGCTTCTCTAAATCAGGGACGTCCCTGGGAAATAGGGACACTTGGAGGATCTGCCAAAGTCCCACCTAGTCTGGCCAGGCACCCTGTTCCGACGGTGGCTTGTGGGGAAGCCCACTAGCAGAATTGGAGCATAAGATCTAGGGTTTCCACCAACTGGCATTCAGATAGTATACTACTTAGCCACCGTGTCTAGCAACAACTGAAGGCCTTGTCCTCCCCGAATTTGTCTACTTCCCTTTGAAAACTATCCAAGATGGCGGCCATCACCACAGCTTGTAAGCGTGAATTCTATAGTTTAACTATGGAACCACGTGTGAAGACCTGTCTCCTTTTACCTGTTCTGAATCTGAATCTGACTGGGGGCGGCCGCCGAGACCATATAACACTGGTCTTGAAGGACCTACATTGGCTCCCAGTACGTTTCCGAGCACAATTCAAAGTGTTGGTGCTGACCTTTAAAGCCCTAAACGGCCTCGGTCCAGTATACCTGAAGGAGCGTCTCCACCCCCATCATTCTGCCCGGATGCTGAGGTCCAGCGCCGAGGGCCTTCTGGCTGTTCCCTCATTGCGAGAAGCAAAGCTACAGGGAACCAGGCAGAGGGCCTTCTCGGTAGTGGCGCCCGCCCTGTGGAACGCCCTTCCAGCAGATGTCAAAGCGATAAACAACTACCTGACATTCAGAAGACATCTTAAGGCAGCCCTGTTCAGGGAAGTTTTTAACGTGTGATATTTTACTGTATTTGTGGTTTTTATGGAAGCCGCTCAGAGTGGCTGGGGAGGCCCAGCCAGATGGGCGGGGTATAAATAATAAATTATTATTATTATTATTATTATTAGCCTCACTGGGTTGTAGTATTATGGGAAAATGGACAAGAGTCTCTTCAACCACTTTTTCCACATGATACCTAATTTTATCCATTTCTTATCATGCTTCCCCTTCACCCAGCTCATCTTTTTTTTTTCTTCCTTAAGCTAAAAAGCCCCAAACGTTGAAAGCTTTCTTTATAAGGGAAACCCCTTGGCTCTCTGAAAAAGCTGTATTAAACCTCATGAAAACTGTGGGGAAAACCAGCATTCTTGGCTTCAGAATAAACAAAAAAAATGGAGGGCCAGCAATATTGAAAATAGGAAGAACTAAAGGTCAGAGATGCTTCATTATTTCAATGGTGTTCATGTTTCCTCCTTACCATTTTCTTGCCTTCTGGGTAGAACAACAGGTGGACAGACGGTGGGGACTTTAACTGTTGGAGGAGGAAAGAAGCCATTAAACCTTATGAATGTATTTATTTGCAAAAAAATAATTATTATAATCTTGGAGCACTTAAATCAATGGGACGTGGCAAAGTCCTTCTGTCCGATTATTGGTTAAAAATAAAGTGAGCAGAGTGCCTTTCTATTGCTGCCTCTGCCAAGGAAAACACTCACATCTGAGTGAGGCAAGGAGACCAAAACACTCATTAGGGGATCCATACTGCAGGTGGAGCTGTGGTCTAAACCACTGAGCCTCTTGGACTTGCTGATCGAAAGGTCAGTGGTTCGAATCTGCACAATGGAGTGAGCTCCCCTTGCTCTGTCCCAGATTCTGCCAATCTAGCAGTTCTAAAGCACACCAGTGCAATTAGATAAATAGGTACCACTGTGGCGGGAAGGCAAACGGTGTTTCCATGCACTCTGGTCTCTGTCACAGTGTTCCGTTGCGCCAGAAGCAGTTTAGTCATGCAGTTTAGACAAACGCCAGCTCCCTCGGCCTGAAAAGTGAGATGAGCGCCGCAACCCCATAGTCACCTTTGACCGGATTTAACCATACAGGGGTCCTTTACCTTTTTACCATACTGCAAGCAAAAGTCAATGGTATTTGGAAGAAGGAATTGATGCAACAACATATGCAGGAGCTGATTGGACAGGTCTTACTTACAGTAGCTTTGCGCAGTAAAACCTATTCTATGCATATTTATGCTGCGGCCCTGTCCGTATTGTACATACCAGGCTGACATTATGTGCTCATCGTCAAATGCAGCCATATATTATAGCCTGCAAGGTGCTTCTCAACCCAGCTGACATACAGAAGGGTTATTCAGCCCCCTTGTGGGCTTTCTTCCATGTTCAGCTGGCAGGTTTGCATTCAGCGCTGTGCATGCAGGTCCTGCCACAGCTGACCTCAGCTTGGGTAGTCCTGCCAGTGGATTTAACCACAGAGCCTAGGACTTGCCGATCAGAAGGTCGGCGGTTCAAATCCCCGCGACGGGGTGAGCTCCCGTTGCTCGGTCCCAGCTCCTGCCAACCTAGCAGTTTGAAAGCACGTCAAAGTGCAAGTAGATAAATAGGTACCACTCCGGCGGGAAGGTAAACGGCGTTTCCGTGTGCTGCTCTGGTTCGCCAGAAGTGGCTTAGTCATGCTGGCCACATGACCCGGATGCTGCATGCTGGCTCCCTCAGCCAATAAAGCGAGATGAGCGCCACAACCCCAGAGTCGTCCACAACTGGACCTAACAGTCAGGGGTCCCTTTACCTTTACTTTATCCTCTGGTACTGCTGCCTCTCACCTTCCTCTGTTTCCTTTGCATCATGCCTCATCACTAAAATATAGATTCTTCAGGCTACGTATTGCACAGGGCTTCCCCTAAAGAATCCCGGTAACAGTAGTTTGCCCCTCGCAGTGCTACAATTCCCAGCACCCTTAACAAATTACAGTTCCCGGGATTATTTGGGGTGCTTTAAATACACAGTGTGGACATAACTGCAGTGGTTGTTTTTTTGCTAGCGTTGTACTATAAAGAACCATACAGGGTGATAGCATAGGTATAAAATAAATACATAAATAGGCAACATTTTCCATTTCTGCTTCTCCGTTTCTTTGAGTAAACAAAGGCCAGATTTGCTTGAAAGGAAATCTCAAGAAACTACACCCACCCGTACAGGATGCCACTGTGGTCAGCTAGTTATACAGAACAGAGTTTCGCTGCTCAATATAGTTTAAGGGTCAGCGAGAAGACGAATAAAATATAAACCACTGTTTTAGGCTGAAATATGGGTGCCTACAGAAAAAGCCATCATCTGCGAGCTGGGTTCTAATTATCTGCCCCACTCTATAAAAAGGCCCAAAAGTTCAGTGGAGTTCAGCTACAAAAAAAAATTAACTTCTTTACATTCCAGATTGCCTATGCCTTTGGGATATTAAGTTATACAAAGGGAAGCTTTGCTGTCTCTGCGTTAAACAAATAATCGCTTACACATGTGCATCAGACAATATGAATGAAATCTTTTGATGCAGAAATGGGCAGGGCAGACCACACTCAAAAGCTGGGTGAGGTGGCTCATCTCATTGAATTCCTGGTGTGATTAAATGGAAGCAATTTTCAGGTTGGGTTTTTTTTGGAGGGGAGGGGTGTATTTGTGCACGAGTACATCAGCCTTCTCCAACCTAGTTCCTTCCATGTGTTTTGAGCAACAACCATAGCCAGCACATTCAATGGTCAGGGATGATGGAAGCTGTAGCCCAAAAATTTTGGAAAGGCATCATGTTGGAGAAGGTTAATGTATGTTTATACACAAACACCTGGGAACCAGGCAGAGGGCCTTCTTGGTAGTGGCACCCACCCTGTGGAACGCCCTCCCACCAGATGTCAAAGAGAACAACAACTACCAGACTTTTAGAAGACGTCTGAAGGCAGCCCTGTTCAGGGAAGCTTTTAATGTTTGATGCATTACTGTATTTTAATATTTTGTTGGAAGCCGCCCAGAGTGGCTGGGGAAGCCCAGCAGATGGGTGGGGTATAAATAATAAATTATTATTAGTAAAGGGAGGTAAAGGGACCCCTGACCATTAGGTCCAATCGTGACCGACTCTGGGGTTACAGCGCTCATCTTGCTTTATTGGCCGAGGGAGCCGGTGTACAGCTTCCGGGTCATGTGGCCAGCATGACTAAGCCGCTTCTGGCAAACCAGAGCAGCGCACGGAAACACAGTTTACCTTCCCGCTGGAGCGGTACCTATTTATCTACTTGCACTTTGACGTGCTTTCGAACTGCTAGGTTGGCAGGAGCAGGGACCGAGCAACGGGAGCTCACCCCATCGCGGGGATTCGAACTACCGACCTTCTGATTGGCAAGTCCTAGGCTCTGTGGTTTAACCCACATTATTATTATTATTATTATTATTATTATTATTATTATTATTATTATTACACTTGTTGCTGGCGTCCATCTGTTGTCTTGAGAGGCAATGAAGTGCACCTCCAGGGGTGAGCATGGAGGTCCTGGGCTGCCCAGATGAGAAGACCCCCTTCTCAGCCTTGCTGATGTGGTCCAAATGAAAGCAGAGCAATACGTTTGACACCAGCTGGGCTGCAGCAGTTGCCAGAAGGAGCCGTACACAAGGCAGAGGAGGTTTAGGATCAGAGTTTTCCTCCTCCTTCCTGGGCTGCCCCTCCCTCCCCTTTACAACATTTGCAGAAATTGCCTTCTTGATCGTTGGACCCACTATTGGTCTCTCCTCTCAATTTGCCAGAGCCTGTCTTTGCTAACTCGCCAAAGGTTTTAGCTACCCTCACCTGGTTTAGCCAGCCAGCCGAAGCCATTTTCCAGGGTGTGGCTGCTGTCGCATGCTGACAGCTTCTAGGAGCCACAGGTGAGTGCAAGGTGGGGACCAAATGGGGGCAAACTACCCCAGAAGAAGCATTACACCCCACCCCAACATGGCATATACCTCATTACATAATATTACAGTCAAATCTCGGATCCCGAACACCTCTGTTTTGGAACGTTTCGGCTCTCAAACGCCAAAAAACGGGAAATAAATTGTTATGTACTGAGTTGAATAGGATCCAAAAGGCAGCAGTCTGCTTGGTCCTAGAACAATAAGGTCCAGAATGCAGCAGTCTGATTGGTCCACAAGAGCCACCCAATCCAGCTCCAGGTGGAAGTGAATCCACAACCTGATTGGCCTACAGGTGAATCCCGGAGTTAGCCAATCACGTGGGGCCCATTGTGTAAATAATGTATATAAAGCAGACATTCTGGGGGAACTTAGATTCCTCCTCAAGACTATGAGCTGAATAAAGAGCATGAAATCCGCTCTCGAGTATATTTCATAAATGCTCCAGTTTTCAAATGTTTTTTGGAAGCCGAACGTCCGACACAGCTTCCGCTGAGTGCAGGAAGCTCCTGCAACCAATCGGAAGCTGCACCTTGGTTGTTAAACATTTCGGAAGCCGAACAGGCTTCCGGAACGGTTTACGTTCAACAACCAAGGTTTGACTGTATGTATAAAATATTACAGCGTTCACGCTGCGACTCACCTGTTCTTTGATACCAACCAAAGGGATGGACCCTGGTTTCTGTTTCTGCAGATGTGCAATCTGAAAGCTGCCAGTCGCTTCTTATTTCCTCACTGCATGTTTGGATTCCCAAACTGTTCAGAACCAAGCACGAGACCTTGCCGCCTGCAAGGGGAAGGAATATACATTTATGGCGGTCCCCTTTTCTACAGATGGGTGGAATTCAATGTGGCATTATTCCGATTGTTTCGACAGTGCAAGCATTTTTGCTTACCAAACGGAACTTTCTCCTATCTCCTCCCACCACTTGCGGTTCTGGGGGGTTGTCCTGACCTCCGCAGAGCTGATTTGAGGGTGCACAGAGGCACAGGAAGGGACAGGGGAAAGCTTCACTGTGCTAAAAGGACTCATTGTGCTGGCTCCTGCTGTTTTCAAAGGGAGGTCCAGAAATCAAGTTCAGAAAAAATGATGGGTGAGCATTTGTGAAATATTGACTACTTCAAAGGGATGTTTTATTAGCGTATTTCAAATTTACTGCCTCCCTCTGTGTCTTTCAGATGTGGGAGGTCGCACATGTAAATAAATCTGCAATACACGGCACTTCTGGCAGAAAAGTATCTGGCTCCGATTGGCTAAGCTGGTGTGGCAGGCTCAGAAGGTTTTGCCACTCGGGAAAGAAAGCAGTTTGCAGCCCAGGTTCTGTGAGGGAAGGGATAGTTGTCAGTTTGGTGGGGAATCCCACACAAGATGGCCAGATCATCTTTTATTTTCCCTGCGAAATAAGATAACCCACCGCTTATAGGTTTGCAGACACACACACACACACCTGTTCCTTGGGAAGCATTTAAAAGTCCAAAGCCCAAGCAACAAGGATCAGCGTCGCAGAGATGCTCACAGTCGAAAAACCTGCAGGAAAGACAGAAAGTATTTGAAACACAAAAACTGAGATCATTTCACAACTAAGTTGTGAGCTATGGTTCACTTCTGTACTTGACTAACAGCATGATCCAACGTATATTTACTGTGTCCAGTGAGCCTTACTGTAAGGAAAGGAGGCATAGGATGCCTAGGGGTGACAGGATGTCACTTTGAGCTGAGCGGTGAAAATTGAACTGCAGCTGGACTGTAGGTGGGGATAGACAATCTCCAGCATATTATTCCAGTGCTCAGAAGTCTGCACTGGCTTCATAATGGTTAGCGTGTTGGGCTAGGACCTGGGAGACCAGAGTTCGAATCCCCACTCAGCCATGAAGCTCATTAAAAGGTAAAGGTAAAGGTACCCCTGACCATTGGGTCCAGTCGTGACCGACTCTGGGGTTGCGGCGCTCATCTCGCTCTATGGGAGCATTTGTCCGCAGACAGCTTCAGGGTCATGTGGCCAGCATGACTAAGCTGCTTCTGGCGAACCAGAGCAGCACACGGAAATGCCGTTTACCTTCCCGCCGGAGCGGTTCCTATTTATCTACTTGCACTTTGACGTGATTTTGAACTGCTAGGTGGGCAGGAGCAGGGACCGAGCAACGGGAGCTCACCCCGTCGCGGGGATTCGAACCGCCGACCTTCTGATCAGCAAGTCCTAGGCTCTGTGGTTTAACCCACAGCGCCACCCGCGTCCCCATGAAGCTCATTGGGTGACCTTAATCTCTCAGCCTAACCTACTTCACAGGGTTGTTGTGGGGAGATAGAGAAATAGATAGATGATAGATAGATATAGATAGATGGATGATAGATAGATGGTGATAGATATAGATAGATAGATAGATAGATAGATAGATAGATAGATAGATGATAGATAGATAGATAGATAGATAGATAGATAGATAGATAGATATGATAGATGATAGATAGATAGATAGATAGATAATAGATTTTCACAGATTTATGCAAAAACGGGGGGGAAAGAACTTATGAATAAGCACGTGTAAAACTGACATGGAGTGGGAACAGAGTAATCCATCTGTGGTCTAGAAGATGCAGTTAATTTAAGCAGTAAGGAAGTAGGTCTACTGTAACACAGAGAGAAGTGGCTTGGTGCATGCAAGAGATACTCCATCTGGTCCTGGGAAGACCTCTGAGGCCTGTCTAGTCCTCTGATTTTAGCCTCCTGCCTATACAGGACAAATCTTAAATTGCTCAGATGAAGTTGCAAAGAGCCTCACATTCCAAAGCAAAGATGAAACAAGCATACCCGTTCGATACAGTTTTTCCAGACACATCCATCTTGTTGCTCACAGAGATTCCTGATACTCTACGGAATGGTAGGCGGGTGTAAAAGTTCTTTATGGCGCCTTCGAGAGAGACTGCAAAACAAACAACAACATTCACAATTTTAAAAATATTGAAAGCTCCTAGTTTGAAGCTCGCTCCAGTTCCCACTGGTCTCTTTGAGCAGGTACTTGCATTGTGCTACAGGGGCTGGAGCCACTGTAGGGGTTGTGTCCCACCCACAGCTAGGGGGACACAAACAGGCCTGAGCCATGTTGTGACCACTGATTTTCCTCAACAGGAAAGCTTTCGCTTTAGGCTGGGACTTCCCTGGGCAGCAAAAGCCGTTTCTGGCTTCAGCGTTGTTCTGTGACTGGAGCAAACCAGCAATAAATCACATTGAGCAAGTTGGAGTTAACTCTTTAATAGCAGAACAGGATCTTCACAGGAATGTCAGGCCTAATGAGCACAGTAACTCATCTCTGGTAGGTCTTGCCCCCATGAAGTAACTGGCGTGTGACTAGAAGTCCCTGCCTCCCCAGCAACTGTCCATGTCTCCTCTTCTCCAGAGTTTTTCCCCCAAGAAACCGGAGACTGCACCCGTGCGTCTGTCTTTGCTCCTCCCTCTTTATGCCTTGCCTGTCCTGGGAGACGAGGGTGGAGGGAAGCTTGTTGCAGCAGGAAGGGGAGACAGCCTTGCCTCTTCACCAGCCGGATTCATCTCTGCCTCTTGGCCTCCCTCCTCCCCTGCTTCAGTTGCTGCCTCTGATTCTAAACTTCTGTCTGCCACAGAATCTCCCAGCTCACTAAGCCCTGTTACCTCAGTTACCTCTGGGCACCACAGTTCAAGAAGGACACTGACAAACTGGAACGTGTCCAGAGGAGGGCAACCAAAATGGTCAAAGGCCTGGAAACGATGCCTTATGAGGAACGGCTAAGGGAGCTGGGCATGTTTAGCCTGGAGAAGAGGAGGTTAAGGGGTGATATGATAGCCATGTTCAAATATATAAAAGGATGTCACATAGAGGAGGGAGAAAGGTTGTTTTCTGCTGCTCCAGAGAAGCGGACACGGAGCAATGGATCCAAACTACAAGAAAGAAGATTCCACCTAAACATTCGGAAGAACTTCCTGACAGTAAGAGCTGTTCGACAGTGGAATTTGCTGCCAAGGAGTGTGGTGGAGTCTCCTTCTTTGGAGGTCTTTAAGCAGAGGCTTGACAACCATATGTCAGGAGTGCTCTGATGGTGTTTCCTGCTTGGCAGGGGGTTGGACTCGATGGCCCTTGTGGTCTATTCCAACTCTATGATTCTATGACTCCTCAGCTTCCAACATCTCTTCCCAGTGTTCTCCCTCTAACCACTCATTGCCATCCCACCACCAATCCCCGGGCCCTGAGCCTTCTTCCCTTGGGGGTTCTCCAGCTGGTTCCTCTGTGTCCAACCAGTCCATGACCTTCTTAGGCTTAGCTCTTCTTCCTGGCTCTGACCCTTGGGCCTGACCTCCTAGGCTCCTGCTTCCAGCTCAGCAGCTGCCTACAGCTTCACCCTCAGATCCTTTCCTAGACACAATTCCCTACTATTCGTAAGATTCGTTCCTCCGCTGCAATACCTGTTTTTTTTAAAGGCAAGGCGCAGATTCGCTCACACAGAGGGTATGGCGTGAATGTGAGAGAGACACCTGCTTTTAACTCACCTGTCTTCTGATACAAAAGGTGCGGCTTCCGAGGCAACACAATGTTGCAGTTCTCAGGGATGTTGTTAATGAAATTGTCACAAAATTGGGCTGCTGGATAGAGGATGCAGGGGAAGTACGTTCCAGTTGTGTCGTTGCGCATATCAACCAGCTGGCAGAACTCATCTTCTACACAACCTAGAAGAGATAAGGATCCCTCAGTAGGTTGTACTGAGAGCAGAGCCATTGAAAGAAATGGACCCAAGTTAGTCATGTCCATTAATTTCAATGGGTCTGCTCTGAGTATGGCTAAAATGGGACACAGCTCTTGGACATCCTATGCTCCACCTTTGCTGCAACTCCCATATTCCTCATCCCACTGAGTCTTACTATCTCATAATGTAGAGGTCCCAAATTCTCAGTAGGTTCCCTTCCCCAAATTCAATCTCTTGCTGCTTTTCCTTCTCCCGTACCAACCAGGGAGAGAAAACATCTTCTTCTTTCTTTTGGGCCAAAAGAAAGCACCTCTCAAAATTTCCACAATGGCTATTTTCTACCTCCACTCCTGGAAGCAGTATTGCCAGGAATCATAATATTATTAATAATAATTTATTACTTATACCCCACCCATCTGGCCGGGCCTCCCCAGCCACAGAATATTAAAAACACGATAAAACTTCAAACATTAAAAGCTTCCCTAAACAGGGCTGCCTTCAGATGTCTTCTAAAAGTCTGGTAGTTGTTCTTCTCTTTGACATCTGGTGGGAGGGCGTTCCACAGGGCGGGTGCAACTACCGAGAAGGCCCTCTGCCTGGTTCCCTGCAACCTCACTTCTCGCAGTGAGGGAACCGCCAGAAGGCCCTCGGAGCCTGGACCTCAGTGTGGAGAAATCACAAGAGGAGAAAAGCTCTGCTGCACTCGGGTTACGCTTGAGGGCTTCCTGCAGGCATCTAGACGGCCACTGTGAGAACAGGAGGCTGGACAAGGTGGGGCATTGTCCTGATCCGTCAGGGCTCTTATGTTCTTAAGAAACAAAGGAGGAGGAGCTGGAAACAGCAACAGTTGAATGCTGCATTTCCCAAGAGCTCCCCAAAACATGAGGCCACCACTGAATATGTCCTTTGCGAATGACTAGCCCCATGATCTAAGATTTCTTACGTGCAAGACACCAGTAAAGAGCCTGCTCCACTGAATATCTGGGCTTGAAGAGCCAGTACTCTTGGGACGGTAGGGAACGATTGTGGTCGATCAGGATTTGGCTGCTTTCCATCAGAGAAAAGAATTCCCTTGCAGAAGCTAATGAGCCCAAAGAGAAAAAGCAGAAGAGATACTTTAATGCAGCTGGTCAGGATTGATGGAAGTTGTATTTCAAAACACCTACAGTCCACCATATTAGTGGAAGCTGCTTTTAATCCAAGTACTAACTGGGCCTGACCCTGCTTAGCTTCTGAGATCAGACAGGATTGGACATGTTCAGGGTAGTATGGCAGTAGATAGGTGCTTTTATATACAGTATATAGCTATACGCAGTGCTTTTTTCTGGAGGGACACAGGGGGGTGCATACCCCTAAACATTTTGTGAATCTTTGTACTTTTGTCCATTTACTGTATTTTTTTCCCCAATTTGAACTATAAAATGGTGGTTTTCTTGAGTCAAAGTGAGAGCAGCCCTAAACATTTTTTTGGGGGAAAGCAGTGGCTATATATAGATATATCTGTACCCCATCTTTCCATATTCTGTGCTCAAAGCAGCTAACAAGAATAAGTCGCAGGAATTACAATAAAACCACGCGTCTCAAATTTCAGGGAAAGGAATTAAAAAGTATCCTGATAAAACTTTAAGAGAGTAAAACAATAGACCAAGTCAGAGAAATAATCAACCTTGCAGATCCAATGCCTGTCGGAACAGGAAAGTCTTCCCCCAGGGAGTTCTAGAATATTGACAACCTTGGGTGTAACCGGACTAAACACTGAGAAAAATGGTTAAAAAGCAGTTGCAATGAGAACTGTGGAGGAGGCCTCCCTGGCAATATTGTGGCCATCTGCTATTTGCTGTGTGCCAACTCGAGGGAAGGTCTTCTCAGTGGTGGTGCCTCAGTTATGGAACTCAGTTCTTTCAAAAATATGGCTGGCACCAACTGTTTTGAACATATTTCTTTACTTATTTGTTGGGCATTAGTGTCTCAGCCTGGCTGCTGATGAGTTTGTCATTCTCTGGTTCTCAAGAGTGGATTGGCACACTGATATTTTAGTATATGTTCTGTACTTGCTGCTAGAATTCCTGATCTATGATTGCAGTCATGGGATTGTTGTCTATCACATGACGATGTATGTTTTGACTCCACAGAGTGGGGAATGACGAAGACAGGATGTTTGTATTGTTGTGTTCTGTGAAGTGGGACTATTGTCCTTTGCTCTTTTTCTCTTTGCTGTCTGATGCGCGAGAGAGAGGGAGCCATGTTGCAGTGCTCTGTGGGTGTTTATATGCAAATAAAGTAGATTAGCCAAAATGCTGAGTTGCTGAGGTCTGTCACGCAAGGTGCGCAAGACTCTGTGGATCTCTAAGTGTGCCGGTGTCGATTGGCATCGGTCGCTGTGATGTTCGGGCAGAAGAAAGCTTATGAAGCTCCTGAACGATCGACCAGGAAGGGAGGGAACATGCCACTCAGGGCATGTGTCTCTGCCAGGTTCCTACTCGAGTGTAGGCTGAACTCCTGACACTTGCAGGGGAAATGGGCCCATTTTATCCACTCCTGGTTAAACCCCCCCCCCAAAGCAGAACATTGAGATTGAGATATATTATTTTGAAAAGTCTGGCGCTAACTCAAACACATAATCCGTTTCCCTTGGTATACGTTGGAATACCTGAAAGCTGTGGCTCAGTCGGAGAGACAGCGCCGTCACATGAGCCGGACCTCACTCGGGTCATCATGTTGGAATCTAGAATGAGACGGGACTCAGTTTGAGACACTTTGGTGGCACGATTGTCCTCCAAGACGTTAATGAGTTGATAGCCAAATGAGAACTGAGCATGCTCAGTGGTGGCGGAATGCCGGTTGTGTATTGGGGTGGAAAACCTGGGGAGATGTGGAATGAGATGGCATACACTGGAGCTCGAATCTGGGACAGGAGCACCCCAGAGACGGCAATAATTTGTTGCGGGTCCCACAAATTGATCAAGTTCTAGCGGAATAAGCATATGCAATATTCCTTTCAGGCTATCAGAAAAAGAAAGAGGGGGATGGGCAGCAAACTGCTTACCTCTCCATAGATAAACACGCTGAAAGCTGGAGAAGGGACTGTTGGCTTTTTCTGTTGGCTCGGAAGCTGATGAAGGAAGGAAACACTATTTATTTCTGCTTACAACTATCACCTGCATCTTAGTGCTGGCCACAGGGGTCAAACAATTTCTGCACATCTTTAGTCCCCTCCTTCTAAAATAACTACAGTGGTACCTCCGGTTATGAACTTAATTCGTTCCAGAGGTCCGTTCTTAACCCGAAACCGTTCTTAACTTGAGGCGCGCCACCGGAGGGTGACTTCCACTCTCATCCTGGGGCAAAGTTCACAACCGGGAGCATCTACTTCCAGGTTAGTGGAGCTTGTTACCCTAAGCATTCGTAAGGAGGACGGTACATAACCTGAGGTTCCGCTGTACCTACTTTGCATTGATCTTAATAGTATGATTTTATGTTGTGAACCGCCCTGAGATTTACGGGCAATATACAAATTTAATAAATAATAATATATCACGGGTGAGGAACCTCAGGCCCAGAAGCCTCTCTATGTGACATTTGGGACTCCCCACAAGCCACAACCCTCACTGGCCCTTTTTAGCATCCTTCTTGAGCATTTCTGCTGGAAGACATCCCTGGACTCACGAGACTGCCTCCTCCTTGCCTGGATGGATGGCAGAGAATGGCGCACAAAAGTCTCCTGATGTACAAAGGCAAAATGTGCATTCATCCCTCCAACGCCGTTTGCCTCTGGCCCAGAACAACACTGTCATGTGGCCCCTGAAAAGTTGCCCAGAAGTGATGGTGGCTCTCGAGCTACAAATGGCTCCCCATACCTGCCATACATGAACACTGCTTCAATAAGACAGAAGGAAATGCTCTCTGACTTCAGTCCTTTAGAGAGAGGAGGGATATATTATATTTACACTGCCCATTCCTACACCTGAGTAGCAAACAAGAACAAGACTGCAGTATAAGACTGGCATACTTACACCCTGTGAGAACTTGGCCTCCCAAACTGAAGGCATACTGCGTCTTCCCAGTATTGTACTTTACTTTTTGGCAGGCATCGCCTCGTTCACGCGTCGAGCTTGCATCCCAGCTATTAACGTTGCAGATGAATGTGTCTGGGTAGCTCATCAGGCCGCATATGATGCTACCTGGATAAAGCCAAGGAAAGAATTGCAAGTTTGCAGCTCCACCTCCTTGTTGAACAATCTTGCCTTGGCCATTATACTGTTATTTTGACACCAGCGGCCCAGTCTTGGAAAAAGGTCCTGTTTATAAAGGTAAAGGGACCCCTGACCATTAGGTCCAGTCATGACCGACTCTGGGGTTGCGGCGCTCATCTCGCTTTATTGGCTGAGGGAGCCGGCGTTTGTCCGCAGACAGCTTCAGGGTCATGTGGCCAGCATGACTAAGCTGCTTCTGACGAACCAGAGCAGTGCACGGAAACTCTGTTTACCTTCCCGTCGGAGTAGTACCTATTTATCTACTTGCACTTTGACGTGCTTTCGAACTGCTAGGTTGGCAGGAGCAGGGACTGAGCAACGGGAGTTCACCCAGTCACGGGGATTTGAACCGCCGACCTTCTGATTGGCAAGTCCTAGGCTCTGTGGTTTAACCCACAGCGCCACCCATGTCCCTGTCCTGTTTATACATCACAGCAAACTGCTGCTCTTGGAGCCTGCTGTTTATCTTGCCCGGGAGCAAGTATAAAAATTATCCAAGTAAATAAAGATCAGACTCTGCTGGGATCGGGGACGGTTCCTTTATTTCCCCTATAATTCCTCCTATTCCAATAACCAGGAGACCCTTTACACGGCTACACCCCTCCCCCAAAAAAGAAAGGTTAATTCCATGCCAAACTTCCATCATTTAATAACATTTAATAAATACAAGTTGCCATGAGTGAAGATTAATCACTTAAAATTTTAAAACTCGGCTCCAATTTGAGATGAGATCAACAAGACCAACCATTTCTGCTTTCTTTTGCTTGTTTGTTTGTTTAAAAATGTTCTCATTAAGTGGGATAAATGGAAGGATGACCTTTGCCTTCCACATCTGTCGCCTGAGCAGAGTTACCTCCATCAAGTATGACCTGGCTCAAGATAAACCCATCACAGCAAGCATCTTGGCTGCAGGCCTGGCGGCAGAAGAGATGAACATCGGTCAAAGATGTACCAGCTGCTGAGAGGACCAGATTGCGGTACACGCCAGAAACAACATCCTGGAAATCAGTCCTCTCAAAAGTCTTGACTCCAGCTGTCATGAACTCTTGTCCTGAGAGGGAAGGGGGGGGGAATAACATTTTTAAAAAAGGAGCTCTGCAATCCAAATTGGAGCTTTGGGGCAAATGACGTGAGGCAAATACCAGGTTGCTTTCTCAAGGCTTTAGGAAGAAATAGACCTAGAACAGCTGCATCAAGCAGTTGCTAGGATTCACAAAGGAGGAGAGTGCTGCTGAGAACTTAGGTCCCTGCTTGAGGGCATCTGGTTGGCCATTGTGAAAACAGGATGTTAGACCAGCTTGAGCCAGCTCTTTTTATGCCCTTCTGATATTATTTTCTACCTGAGAGACCGGGCATTTCCACCAAGAGACAATATGTGGACAAATTGTCAGAGTGGATGTAAGGCTGTGGCCTGTATTCTAAGGCTGGATCTAGGCACATCAAAAAAACAAACACGTTTCAGGAAAACGTGTTGTAAACCTCAAAGTGGGAAATCATGTGGTCGAAAGATGGAACTCTGCAGTGCCATCTGGTGTCACAGTATTATAACGCATTCAAAACACTTTTTGTTACTAATGTAGTTGAGTCCTAAGACGGTCCCCATATGATGCTGTGCTCCAGCTCCCTTCATCCCTATCCATTGGTTATCTTTGCTCAGACTGATGGGACTTGGTGTCCATCTGGAAAGTGAAAGGCTGAAGGATAGCAATAATATGAGAACACACACACACCAATAATTTTTGGTGCTCTCTTTGTTAGGATATAGTTCTGTTCCACCTTTAGAACAGGTACATGCCAGGAAATGATATTCCTGCAGATCTGTTGTCTAAGGTTGTTAACAGAGAACAGCTTAGGGTTTATGTGCAGCAGTTACAATTGGGTTGAACCACAGTCACTACAGGTTACACGGAAAGGGGGAGGATGTTAGGATATAGTTCCGTTCCACCTTTAGAACAGGCATGTGGAGTTGTTGTATGTTTACTCCACAGTCTGCTGGGAACTTCCGTTGTATATAGCTTTTGCCTATGCTGTTTGCTTGGACACGAAGGGGAGCAGACATGTTTTTCTTTTGTCCTGATGCTGAATAAATGCTTGTAAATATGCTTACATATGCCTCTGTCCGCTACTTCTGTTGCAAAGAGTTCTTATCTCTGCTGGCTTGCGTGCTCAGTCTCTAAAGGTCTCTGAGGCTTGAGTCGCAGTTTTGATGCTGTTCTGAGAACCGGAGTTCACCTGGCTGCCGGCCTGTGGGCAGGAGCCAGCTGGGGGCCTGTCAAATGCCCCCGTCTCCCCAGACGCATCCCAACACTCCTTTGCTCATGTTATTTAGCACATACCTTTCTTCAGGTACACTCTCACTCCATCCTTATCTTGGCTTCTCACTTTAACCAGGCAGCTGAGATGAGCCACGCTTGTGGTGGCAACGTTATCCCAAGCACCTTGAACCTGTGGTCAAAAGATATGCACATAAAAATTTGTGATGGTAAATAATGAGCATTCACACTTTCCAATGTGGGTGCCCTTTGTGGGATCGCGCACGGTGCTAAAGTTCCCAGGGAACTTTCTAGTAGACAGGGGGCTGGCTTGCCTCTCAGTGTTATTATTTGAAGGTTCACATCCAGCCTCAATAATGAAGTTTCTTGCTGGGAGGTGGGGCCAGCCCCATTTATAAATAGGGGGTGGAGCTGACGATAGCCAGGCAGTCGGCTCTGGAGATTCACCCTCCCTACCCTCCCTTTGTTTAATGTTTTCTTGTTTGCAGGTTAACTTTTTCTTCCTGTTTAGCGGGCGCTGCTATGGTCTTTGACTGGTTGCTGTTGAAGGACCGGGAAGAAATTTTCCTGCATTGGCAGGTTTTGTCTTCCCTGTAGCAATTTGTCACAACTTTGGCGGTTATGAGAGCCAGTGTGGTTTAGTGGTTAAGAGCGGTGGACTCGTAATCTGGTGAACCGGGTTCGCTTCCCCGCTCCTCCACATGCAGCTGCTGGGTGACCTTGGGCTAGTCACACTTCTCTGAAGTCTCTCAGCCCCACTCACCTCACAGTGTGTTTGTTGTGGGGGAGGAAGGGAAAGGAGAATGTGAGCCGCTTTGAGACTCCTTAGGGTAGTGATAAAGCGGGATATCCAATCCAAACCCAAACTTTTCTTATGGCCTTGGACAGAATCCTTTAGTCTTTTCTTCCTTCTTGGTGGGGGGGCGTGAAGTGGTGACTCACCCTTCTGCGGCGGCGATTGCAGGGTCCCCTCTCAAAGGGGTTATATATATGGGTGTCGCTGTCCATACACTGAAAGGTCGTCAGTGAACTACCCTGCTTGCGGGGATATGGGCTGGGCTGCCTGATACACTTACGTCTCGCAGAGCACCCAAATATCCCATTTACCCTGATGTGCCCCAGTTCCCCTGGCTGGGGGGCTGGGAGGGATACACGGCCAAGGCCAAAGCCAAGGTCTTCCTACATTCAGAAGTTTAATAAATTCTTGGCCTAATTTTAATTCCATAATGTTGTCAGAGTCTTTATTCCTTTCTTATGATCCCTGGGGGCTGGGGCTGTTGCGCCTGGTCACACAAAATACCTTCTTTCCAGCAGGTTGGTACACAGCCAACATTTTGAAAAACCAAAAGGATGGCTGGTATCCATCCAAGCTTCATTCCCCTGGAAGATTCATCATAAAAGAACTGTGTTCAGTTACCAGTCCAGAGGTGGAACAATTGTAGTTGCTCTCCCGAGCGCTGTACAGCTCACACAGTGTCCCCGTCCCAGCAGCAGACAAGGTGAGGAACCCACATGACTCGTCCTTCTCACACTCTGAAAGGATAGAAAGACTCCTTGCATTTAACGTTGGCCAATGGAAACAGGCGTCTTCCACAGTTTAAGTTGGGTGAATGTAGTCTGTTTGTTGAGGATGTCAACTGAATGGGGCACCGCTCCAGCAACTGCACTGGCTCCCGTTTGTTTTGGAACATCAAAACTACAGTGATCAATAAAGCGTCAAAATCGAGATGTGGAAAATATGGAAACAACGAGGAGAGGCAGGATTGAGATGTAGAGATCCAGAAAGTGGGGAGCTCCAAAAAATTAATAATTATAATCTGGACTATAATTTGGTCTTTTTTATTTTAGTTTTTTATTTTAATTGGAGTATTATGATTGGATATACAGTGGTACCTCAGGTTACATACGCTTCCCAGAAATAGTGCTTCAGGTTAAGAACTTTGCTTCAGGATGAGAACAGAAATCGTGCTCTGGCGGTGCAGAGGCAGCGGGAGGCCCCATTAGCTAAAGTGGTGCTTCAGGTTAAGAACAGTTTCAGGTTAAGAACGGACCTCCAGGACGAATTAAGTACTTAACCTGAGGTACCGCTGTATTAATTGGATGCTTTTCATTGGAAAATCAATAAAAATGATTAAAAAAAAATACAGTGATCAAAACCTTTCTCTAGACTGATGCTCTGAGACTTTGCTGCATAACACAGAAAAAGAGATCATCCTGCCTAGGAGTCCTGGAAGATCTTCTCCTTGCCTTGCAGGCCTCCCTTCCACCCCTGGCCTGGGTCACAGGGTTGCCATATTTTGAAGAAGACACAATTTCCAACTTCTACTTTTAACTCGGAATCGCTATGACGACTCTCATTTTACACACCCATGAAAAAGAGGATGTGTCCTGGAAAAAGAGGACACATGGCAACCCTAGCAGAGAGGGCAGGGCCCTGATTGGCTCTAGCAACAAAAGCTGAGGCTGCAGAAGAGGCTGCTGAGGCTGTCTCTTAGCGCAGACCCAGGTCGCTGAGCCTGAGCTTCCACAGCTGCCAGCCGCCATCGTCAGGACTGGAAGCAACAGCAGAATACATGTTCTATTTTATTCTCTTGCCAGTTCTGCTGTTTTAAATGTGCATTTTATATTTCACTTCCTTTAATAATGTTTACTTTTCAAATGTTTAAGATAAAAATGCGGTATTGTATTCTCAGTTGTTTTCTGGGTTTTTCTCCCCATTGTACATCCTTTTTTTTCTATTTCTAGGTGCATTTTTATCTGTTACACTTATCACTTTTACTGTAGTTTTTATGTGTCCATATTATGGTAATACAAAAGAAATAAAAATAAATGCTAACTTGGCTGCATTAAATAGGCACTCTGCAGTTGGCCTGGTTTTATTTTGAAATCTTTAAGGTGGTATTTTAGCTTCTGGTGAATTATGTTGCTTTGAATGTATACTTTATATTTGACTTTATTCAGCAAAATTTTACTCTGGATTGTTTTGTTTTATGTTTTAATATGTTGTAAACTGCTTTGGATTCCCCCCCCCCTTAAAAATATGAAGCAGTATAGAAATGAAATGAATAATAATAATATGCAGTAAGATGGGCACTAGCAGACAGACAGACAGACAGACAGACAGACATCTGAGCAGCTGAAGAAAAGGACTTGCCCCATCATTAATGGCCTTCTTCCCTAGTACTTCTGATGCTGCCAACCTCCTCTGGAGGAGAGACTAGGAAGCCAGTGGTGAACCATCACGTCTCACCCCATTAAACTATAATTAAAGTAGACTGCTAGGGCCCTTTGGAGTGAGACCAGACTAGAATTAGGTGTGCATCTAAGAGTCCCAAGGAGGGAAAGTTCTCAGAAAAGTTGGAACGTTTTCCCAAACTGACTTTTGCCAAGTCATCAGCAAAGAAGAAACGGAAATCCGCTCTCTTACCTGCCATGCACTGTTGGAGCACACTCTCAGGTTCTCCTGGGGTGGTTTTGGATCCAATCGTTTCTACCTCTTCTGTCGTGAAGGAGAGCTTGGAAGCAGGAACTCTCTCAAAGCGCCTGAAGACTGAAACAAAAGCAGATCCAAGAACAGTCATATTTGATCATGACCCGTCCGTTTTGAAGCACACATTTCAGAATGATGTGAAGGTCTTTACAAATTTAAATTCTGTGTGTTCTTTGGAGATCCAGATAGCTCGGTGGTGATGGGGTGGGGGATCAAGAATGAGAGATTGGGGACCCAGATCCACCAACCTGTAATTGGCTACATACATGCTTCTGAGAATATGGATATCTGCTGATTAGGTCAAGGGCTATCTCAGCTTTGATGACACCTATAAACAGTTGGATGAGTTTATGTGAAATCCAGCACTCATACCTGCATAATAATAATAATAATAATAATAATAATAATTTATTATTTATACCCCACCCGTCTGGCTGAGTTTCCCCAGCCACTCTGGGCGGCTCCCAAACTAGCATTAAATACAGCATTAAATATTAAAAACTTCCCTAAGACAACTTCAGATGTCTTTTAAAAACAGGATAGCTGCTTATTTCCTTGACATCTGATGGGAGGGCGTTCCACAGGGTGGGCGCCACTACCGAAAAGGCCCTCTGGTTCCTTGTAACCTCACTTCTCGCAGGGAACTGCCAGAAGGCCCTTGGCGTTGGATCTCAGGGTCCAGGCTGAATGATGGGGGTGAGGACGCTACTTCAGGTATACAGGACTGAAGCTGTTTAGGGCTTTAAAGGTCAGCACCAACACTTTGAATTGTGCTTGGAAACGTACTGGGAGCCAATGCAGATCTCTCAGGACTGGTGTTATGTGGTCCCGGCAGCCACTCCCAGTCACCAGTCTAGCTGCTGCATTCTGGATTAGTTGCAGTTTCCGGGTCACCTTCAAAGGTAGCTCCACGTAGAGCACATTGCAGTAGTCCAATGCTATCAGATATGCCAGTTTAATGCTACTGGAGATGTTCATTGAAACTTCTGGAGAAAGGGACTGCCTGTTAAACACTATGGGGATTCTAGCTCTGTTAGAGGAATAGGGCGTCCTAACAATTGTCCGCACCCTTAACAAATGACAGTTCCTAAAGAAAATGATAACATTTCATCACCAGACAAGTAAAAGGTATAATGGTTCCTCCAGAATAACACATTCCAATGGGTGTTGAATTCACCACCATATAAAGGCTGCTGATTATTATTTTTCCTTCCAACAAAGCAGGCCTTTGCCTGTAAAACTTCATACCAGAATAAATGCATTCGGTTCCAAGAGACTTTGGGACTCTTTCTTGCTTTTCTTGCTACTACAGATTACCTAACACAGCTACTTGCTTGGAATCTGTCTCTTTTCTACAACCTCTCTTAAATGAATGCCAGAAATTACATTAGGAGCGTGTTGAGGCAGACATTCAAGAGAAGAGCGGTTGCCAGCTTGGCCTCGAAGGATAGGAGATAGAAAGCGAAATTAACCTCTCATTAAAGCAATTTAGGCCAATCACTTCTTGGCCCTCAGGATCAAGTCTTGCCAGACTCCCCAGCTTTGCCTCATAAAAGAAAGAAAGAGAAAGTCCACACCCTTTGCCTGAAAAGCCATGCCTGGGAATTAGAACTTTTAAAGGTGTGAGAAGTAACAGCTTCACTCAAGAGACCAGAGATTTCTGCATCATTGTTATGGCTGGCTTTGAATAGCCCTTGATCAGCAATGCCAGTCTGCCAATCACTGATAAACTTATTTACCTCACAACAGGCCTTGCATCAGAGGGTACACAGACAGCAAAAATTAAGAAGGATATAGAAGCTACAGCAAATCACACATGCTACAGTTCCAAAAATTGATTTTACTATTTCTTTCAGTTGGGACACGGGTGGCACTGTGGTCTAAACCACAGAGCCTAGGGCTTGCCGATCAGTAGGTTGGCGGTTCAAATCCCCATGACGGGGTGAGCTCCTGTTGTTCAGTCCCAGCTCCTGCCCACCTAGCAGTTTGAAAGCACATCAAAGTGCAAGTGGATAAATAGGTAATGCTCCGGCGGGAAGGTAAACAGCGTTTCCATGTGCTGCTCTTGTTCGCCAGAAGTGGCTTAGTCATGCTGGCCACATGACCCAGAAGCTGTCTGCAGACAAACGCCGGCTCCCTCGGCCTCTAGAGCGAGATGAGCACGCAACCCCAGAGTCGTCCGTGACTGCAGTGGCGTAGCGTGGGGGGTGCAGGGGGGGCCGGCCACACCGGGCACAACATCTTGGGGTTAGGGCAAATCCACAGGTTAGGGGGCACAAATCCACGGGTTAGGGGGTGCAAATCCACGGGTTAGGGGGCGCAAATTACTTGCCTTGCCCCGGGTGCTGACAACCCACGCTACGCCACTGCGTGACTGGACCTAACGGTCAGGGGTACCTTTACCTATTTCTTTCAGTTAGACCAGGCTTGGCCAAACTTGTCCCTCCAGCTGTTTTGGGACTACAGTTCCCATCATCCCTGACCACTGGTCCTGTTAGCTAGGGATGATGGGAGTTGTAATCCCAAAACAGCTGGAGGGGCAAGTTTGGCCATGCCTGAGTTGGACCTAAATTCAAGATTTAAATTCAGATTTAAGATTATACTACGAGGCATCTTGCCTATGCTGGATAAAAGATTGGGTCAAATTAGTGAATAAGGAGCTACTCGACTTGGAGGGCTTCGATAACAGGTTCGGCTGGCACGCCTATTTGTGGGGAGGCAAGAGGAAGGTACACAAGGGGTTTGAGAATCATATTTTTAGGGGGCCAGTTATTGAGACATGGGAAAGATATAAAAACATATTAGAACCTAAAACTCCGCGCTGGCTCTCACCTCTTGAAATGATGAGTGTCAAGAAAATCAATATGAGAACGGATTGGGCAACATATGGTCAACTGTTAATGAAAGAGGATGGGAAATGGAAATTAAAGCCATATGAGCAGATTAAAGAGCATGTATATGATTGGTTTCAACACCTTCAAGTTAACGAGCTGTTCAAAAAAGAGATGAAAGAGAAAGGATGTGCGGATAAAGATTCAAAATTCCAGACGGAGATTATAAATAATGATGTGAAAACAATATCTAAAATGTATAAGATGTTGTTGGACTGGAATCTGCGAGACGAGGAAGTCAAAACTGTGATGAACCGTTGGGTTAAGGATGTGGGTTACGATATACAATTTGAGGACTGGGAGAATCTATGGAAGGATGGTTTGGATTTTACGGCATGCATAACGGTAAAAGAGAATGTCATGAAGATGTTCTACAGGTGGTATATAACACCAGTAAAACTATCGAAAATGTACAAAGTTGACAGCAAATGTTGGAAATGTCAAGAGAAGGAAGGCTCCTTTTACCACATGTGGTGGGAGTGTGGGAAAGTGAGAGAATTTTGGGGAAAAGTATATACGGAGTTAAAGAAAGTGCTAAAATATACGTTTAGGAAAAAACCTGAAATATTCCTGTTAGGGATATTAGGGAATGAAATAAAAAAGAAAGATCATAAATTTGTATACTATGCAGTCACAGCAGCAAGGATAACCTTAGCTAAATTGTGGAAAAAACAAGAGATGCCAACAATAGAGGAGTGGAGAACAAAATTAATAGACTACGCGGACTTGGACAGGATGACGGGAAAGATAAGATACTTAGGAGACCAAAAGTTCATTAAGGAATGGGGAAAATATGTAGATTACCTGGAATGTATTAGCAAAGGACAAATAACGCTAAGGGGATTCAGAGAAGCACTGTGAAGAGACCAAGAGTTATTGTTTAATAAAAATAGAGGAAAAGAAATGTATAACGACAATACAAAATAGGAAATGCTTAATTATGATTTTTATTACGGAAGATTTACGGACGAGCTGAAGGAAGCCCAGAAAGAGACGACAATGTAATATTGTAGGTGAAAAATCTTTTATTGTGTATATAGCATACTTCTTATGTATTTTGCAGTGTTTTTTTTTTCCTTTGCGGGTTGTAGGTGGATTTTTATGGGTTTTTTTTTCCTGTGGTGATGTATGTTTGTACTGTTTTTATTTTTTCTTCTTTTTTTTTCTTTTTCTTTTTCGAAAGCTAATAAATATTCATTTGGAAAAAAAAAAATTCAAGAGGAACAGAGGGATGAACAAGCAAGACAAACGGAACAGGTAAGGCTTACTTGTCTCTCAGCCTGCCTTCCACCAATCTATGTTGCTTCAATCAAAAGGCACCATTTTATCATTTTAGGGGATCTGCTGCAACTCAGTGGTAGAGCATTTGCTCTGCATGCAGAAGGTGTCATGTTCAATCCCCAGCACCTTGAGGAAGGGCTGGGAATGTGTCCTTTCTGAAACCCTGAAGGTTAACTGCCAGTCACCAGTGTCAAAGCGATGATTCTTCGACATCAGCTTCGTTGGACTGGTCGTGTTGTGCGAATGCCTGATTCTTGTCTTCCAAAGCAACTACTCTATTCCGAACGTAAAAATGGAAAGCATAATGCTGGTGGTCAGCAAAAGAGGTTTAAAGATTCTCTCAAGGTAAATACAAACAAATCCAGTATAAACACTGACAACTGGGAAACACCGGCCTGCGAGCGCTCCCAACTGGAGAACAGCCTTTGCCAAAGGTGTCTTGGGCTTTGAAGACGCTCGAACTCAGAACAAAAGGGAGAAATGTGCTAAGAGGAAGGCACTCTTGGCAAACCATCACCATGATCAACTCCTGCCCAGAAATCTATGTCCCCACTGTGGAAGGACGTGTGGATTCAGAATTGGTCTCCACAGTCACTTATGGACCCACTGTTAAGACCATGTTCATAGAAGACAATGTTAATCAGCTACGAGTGGAAGAAGAAGAAGAAGAAGAAGAAGAAGAAGAAGAAGAAGAAGAAGAAGAAGAAGAAGAAGAAGAGAGAGAGAAGGGCACTGACTAGCAGTTCTCCAGGATTTCAGACTCAGCCCTTCAGGTTCATCCACACTTCTTTTTGGTCTGAGATTCACTCTGCTTGTCCCATGACTTCTAGGCATCAGCCCAAGCAGGTTTGTTGTTGATGATGTTGTTGTCCTGCCACTTGCCCTGGGAAAACTCACGGCTTAGCTCTGATCAGAACCAACATCAAAGTGTAGAAAAACTAGATGGACCAAGAGTTAGGATCCCTGTGTTCCTGCCTACTTTAGAAAGACCTGCCACTCCATTCTTCAATTGTACCCCCCTTCTCCTACTCCTAGTGGCACCTGCTGTCTTCGTCCTCCGATACCCGAGCATTAGAAAAACCCGAAGAAACAGGTAACAATTCTGGGTGTGCTCCACATTGGAGCCTCATGGCGAGAACCGCCAGGAGGATCTGAGCAAAAGCGACACCACAAAAGAAAAGTCAGGGAGATAAACCTTTCCAAAGAATCATTTGTCTCCTCGAAGCAAAACCAGCCCACGCTAATCAGAAACAAATGGTCATTGTTGTCAGCGCTGCGGACGGCCGCAGGTGCTTTTAATCAAACCCTCATTTCTGCTTGGAAAGGGAACCCCAGGTTTGAGCCAGGAACAGAAAGCGGGTGGAGGGGAAGAAATAGCCCCGCATTTGAGACCAGGCAGAAATAGGGCTACAGACTATAAGAGGAAGCAGTATTAATTATTGCAAGTCGTCGTCGCCTGTGCAGCACTTCTTTCATTCTCAAAGCGCTTCATAATTTTCATCGCATTTTCACAGCAGAGAAATCAGCAGAGACTGAATTTTTTTGTTATTGATTGATTGATATTTTATTAGAACAACAAGAGAAAGCAGAGATAAATAAATAAGGGATAGAGGAAAAGGGAAAACCAACTGTGAAAAAGAAAGGTGCAAAAGTACTACGACAGGTAAAAATCAATACATTTCCGTACATTGTTCTATAAAGAAAAATGATGTTGTACTTCTGATACAGAGATAAGCTGTGTGGGAATGTACATTTTAGAGGACATCTAAAGGCAGACCTGTATCAGAAAGTTTCAAATGTTTGGTGTTTTATTGTCTTTTTATATGTGTTGAAAGCCGTCCAACGTGACTGGGGCCAGATAGGTAGGGTATTATTATTATTATTATTATTATTATTATTATTATTATCATCATCATCATCATCACCACCACCACCATCACTGTGCAGATCTACAAGTCTGGGAGAGAGGCTCAGGGGTCAGCAAACTTTTTCAGCAGGGAGCCGGTCCACTGTCCCTCAGACATTGTGGGGGGCCAGACTATATTTTGGGGAAGAAAAATGAATGAATTCCTATGCCCCACAAATAACCCAGAGATGCATTTTAAATAAAAGCACACATTCTACTTGTAAAAACACCAGGCAGGCCCCACAAATAACCCAGAGATGCATTTTAAATAAAAGGACACATTCTACTCATGTAAAAACACACTGATTCCCGGACCGTCCGTGGGCCGGATTTAGAAGGTGATTGGGCCGCATCCGGCCCCCAGGCCTTAGTTTGCTTACCCATGGAACTGAATGGACAAGCCAAGGGGGGTAAAGACACAGGAATTTGCATCGTACCAAATTAGACGATTGTCAACACCAAAGATGGCTAACCTCTTTGACCAGAATACCAGCATCCTCTTCTTGTTCCATTTCCCAGGAACTGATAAGCCCACTGCTTTAATATTTCCACAGCAAGGGGGAAATGGGAGCAAATAGGAGCAGCTGACCTACATCACTTGGAAGCCACAGACATACCTCCTCTCTGAGTGGCTAAAGCTGAAGTTTAAGTGGCCGCTGAGTGGCTAGCAGACTCACATACCCACCATTCGTAGGGACAACTGCTTGCGTTTCCAGGTTCCACCTGCATGGGATAAAAGTTTGTCTGGTCCACTCACCTGAACACTGGGAGTCTGTAACTGGGCCATCTGTTTCGGTCCAGTCCAATATGTTTCCAAGGCTATCCATGCAGAAAGATTTGTTAGTAGCAGGGTCTTCAAAGGAAGGCCTGTACTGACCGTTTTCCTCACACCGCACAGCTCGTTCATCCCTTTGGCAGTCAGTGACACCTTATTTGCAGGGAAAGTTAAAGGGAGAGAGAGAGTTGGTGTGCCATTTTGTGGAAGGGATTCAAGAGCACCCCGTTAATTTAGGTTTGTACGATTAAAGTGGGTTAAAGCTCTCTATTGCCCTAGTCAACATATGCAGAATGAGGTGGTGCAGTTCACTGGTAGACGTCTTAGGACGTATGTAAAATCAAAACAGGTCTTAAAGCTGAGGCTCCAATACTTTGGCCACCTCATGAGAAGAGAAGACTCCCTGGAAAAGACCCTGATGTTGGGAAAGATGGAGGGCACAAGAAGAAGGGGACGACAGAGGACGAGATGGTTGGACAGTGTTCTCAAAGCTACCAGCATGAGTTTGACCAAACTGCAGGAGGCAGTGGAAGACAGGAGTGCCTGGCATGCTCTGGTCCATGGGGTCACGAAGAGTTGGACATGACTAAACATCTAAACAACAACAACAAAAATCAAAACAAAACCTTACACATCTGAAAGGAAGGTTTACTAGAGCTCTCTGTGTCACATGCTAGTTTATCTTATGCAATGAGATTTTATGTGGGGGATTGTTGAACAATATGACGTGTGGTCCGACTGGCTACAATCCAGAATTCTACATTCAGATTGTTCAGTTTGGTTGTATGTGGGGGTTTTTAAAGTTTTATTTACCGTTTATGACTAATTTGCTATGTTGCAGTTATGCATATTTTTTCATGTTGTAAGCCACCTTGAGCATGGTTTGAACTGTGGAAAGGCAGCATAGAAATAAAATTATGTATGTATGTGCAGTCTCATTCTCTATCATAGAACCAGTATTCTACAAATGTATTGCTATAGGTTTGAGGGATATGTCTGGATGAGATCCCTCCTGGCCTGTTTGTCCTATATCCACTGAGGTTCAGAAGGTAGTAGAAAAGACTGCTGAACTGGTCAGACAAGTTTCTTTGTAAGATAATGGCCTTGGCTGGCCATTTAAGTACCTTCATTCACATGTCCTAAGAGGCTGCCATAGAGACAAGTTTGGTGGGGCTTTTCCCATCTCAGCTGGCTGGATGCCACACCATCCTAAGATGGGGAACAATAGGCCAATGGGTTTTTGTGTGAGTGAGTCTGGCTGATGCTGGAAGCTGGAGACACAGAGGCATGTCTTGCCTTGTGCTGGACCTAAAACTGTGTCTTGGGGCTTCGCTGGACATGGGGAGTCCAGATCTGTTAGAGCATTCGTGTTGTGAGCCTCATCCTTAGCCAATGCTCAGGTTGTAATATATGTGTCAGTTTGCATTTCTTAATGCAGAAAGTATTGATCTGATCTATACATATCTTTCCTATTCTAATTAGTTCAAATTCAATGAATTATTTAGGAGGCTCCTCCTTCCCTCCCACCCTGTGCTGTTGGTGGTTGCTATTGGCAAGCCGTGTCAGTTTGCATTTCTTAGTGCAGAAAGTATTGATCTGATGTGTAGAGATCTTTCCTCTTCTGGCTAATTCAAGAGGGCTCTGGAAGCTTCTCCGTGTGAAAGAAGCAAGTAGAAGGTTCATGATGTTTGGGTTATTCCTTCAGAGAAGCTGAGTACAGCTGGCTTAAACTCTTATCTCTTTCAGTCCAGGTCATGCTGACTATAAAAGTAGGGCCAGAAGGAGCCTAGGTTTCACCTGTCTGTCTGTCTCTCTCTTTCTTTCTTTCTTTCTTTCTTTCTTTCTTTCTTTCTTTCTTTCTTTCTTTCATCTCTCTTCCTTCTGGTGTGGTGTTCTGTACACAGATAGTTTTAAGGTTTAGTCTTATTACAAGTTATTGTAAGTTTAAGTTAAGTCTGCTGCAACTGGATTTCTTATGGACAGTGCCAATCCTGAGTGTATTGGATTTGTGACCGTTATGCTCATTTGCCTTCAGTAGCAGCGAAGCTCCACTGGATGAAATATTGACTGCCTCTGGTCTATTTTGGGGGGAATCCTGCAACGTGTTTAAGTTTTTACTCTGTTAACGATACACTGGAATCTACTCTGGATCAATATTGAGTAGAATTCTATGACAATATGTGCCACTGACATTCATTCCAAGGACCAGAATGAACCCCTGAAATTGGAAATTGATTGGGGTGCGTGTAACTGTATATTTTCAGCCTGGAAACCAATATTTTCCCAATGGAAAGATACAGAACACAGATTTTCCCAGACCCTTACAGTGCTCAGCTCTGAAGGCTCCAGCAGAGACAGTTGTTTTCCCGAGAGGACATCTGATGCAGGAGGAACTTCCCGCTTGATCTTGATAGAATCCAGAGGGGCATGGAAGGCAGCCATCGTTCTGGAAGGAGGTGCCTGGAGGGCAGACCACTGCAGAGGGGGCAAAGGATGTATTAGTCCTATGGAATCCAAGGATAATTTTAAATTCAACCAGAAGTCACAAATGTATATGCATGGGAACCATGCTGCGGCATCTGGAAGTCTGTAGCTCAAAACTAGCTTTACCTTAAAACTAACCTTTGCAACCGATTTAACAATAAATTATCAACATTTAGAATAATAAACACAATAATAATAATAATAATAATAATAATAGTAGTAGTAGTAGTAGTAATAAATAATAAGGCATTTCATTTCAAGCAGTAACATTTGCCCAACATGCTCACTTAGCGACTTATCCTACGCTTAACAACAAAAGTTTGAAATACCCTTGATATCCCTGTGAGGAATGTGGAAGTTTTGTCTCCTCTCAAGGGTATATGTGGACGTAGCAGAAATAGCACAGCTTCATTTGCACTTGCTTGGGCTTTTTAAAAAATATAAATGTCCAAATTATAGGCTCCTAGTTTTTCCTCACTCTTTATTTAACATTTAAGAGGGCTGAAACAAGGAGGGGTGCATAATTCACTTTTGGGTGGGTGGTGGGGACAGAGGTCTCTTGCAAAAAAAAAAAAAAAACCCTATTCCAGGAACAAAGCAGGATGAAAATATTCTCACACTCACAGGGAGAGAAGAGTGATGTTGTCAGACAGCCAAATCTGATTAGCTGTGTAGCACCATGATGTCATTATACTGGCAATGGGAACACTTGCTGTCTGGCTGGTGCAGCTGGCAAAAGCCCTGGTTTTTGGTTTTTCAAAAAAAAAATATGTGCCAATTCAGCTGCTGAGAGTTGATCACAGGCATTTTGCTGCCAGAGATGGGCTTGATAGTTTCTCTCTCTCTCTCTCTCTCTCTCTCTCTCTCTCTCTCTCTCTCCCCTCTCCCCTCTCCCCTCTCCCCTCTCCCCTCTCCCCTCTCCCCTCTCCCCTCTCCCACTTTCCATGTAGAAAAGCCAACTGGACCAGTCATTGAATATTTCAAAGTTGGTTAGAGAGCATGGTGCTGATAATGCCAAGGTTGCAGGTTCGATCCCCGTGTTGGACAGCTGCGTATTCCTGCATTGCAGAGGGTTAAACTAGATGATTCTCAGGGTTCCTTCCAACTCTAGAATTCTATGTTTCTAAAACTTTGTCCCCCAGCAGAGGAAAATGTCCAGAGATCTCAGGAAAAACAGCCGGGGGGTTAACCTCAGAATCTGCTGTCTGGGGCGGTCACTTCACATTGCCTAATGGTAGGGCTGGCCATATAAGAATGACAGTGAACAGGGGGGGAATGGTATGAAATGATAACACCAATAGCAAGGGCGAGAGGTCTCTCAAATAACATAAAGTCACCTTCTTTTAATTGAATTTTTTTATTGTGTACAGTGATACCTCTGGTTGCGAACAGGATCCATTCCAGAGGCCTGTTCACAACCTGAAAAGAATGCAACCTGTGTCTGCGCACGCACGGGTCGCAATTCACTGCTTCTGCGCATGCGCGTGACGTCATTTTGCGCATCTGTACAAGCAGCGAAACCCAGAAGTAACCCTTTCCGGTACTTCCGGGTCGCCGCGGGATGCAACCTGAAAACACACAACCTGAAGCAAACGTAACATGAGGTATGACTGTATTTTAATTCTGAAAGTTTATATTTTTACCTTTGTGTGAACATTTTTGGCATTTTTTGGAACTGAATGGTATATATATATATATATTTAAAAACTGCAATACTCAGAATAATATTTCTAAAGCCCCAACCCAAACCCAACCCCAATCCCAGCCCCGCCTTTGTGCATGAAAAAAGTTAACTCGCGAAAATTCAGCTAAGTCCTACCGCTGTGGTCTCTGCTCAGTTCTCTGAAACCGTGAACTGGGTGTGTTTTTATTTTCACAACCTAAAGCATATTGTGAGTCTGTGAATTCTTTTTATATGTTAATGATGGGAAGAGGAGGGGGAAATCCAAGAAAAATAAGTCATCGGGTCATCTCCAGATGTCAGGAACTGAAGTTTCTACCTGGCAAGGCCTTCTAACTTTATATGTGAGTTTTGCGCTGGCAAGATCTCTGGGACTGAATGTCCTTGAAGCCTTATTTATGCCGAGAGCTGTTGAAGAAGGGGAAAGGCTGGAATGTCCAGGTTCCCAAATGTTCTGCATGTACACATGGCCAACAACATACTCAGTTTGCTGTCAGAAGGAAGAACTGGGATTTTTTGACAACACTGAAAGAAATGTGTCATCGATGGACCACAGCAGCGCGTTATCAAGCGTTATCCACAGGAAGAAGTGGGGCTGTGAATTTGCACCAAAGGTCCCACCTTCAATACCATGCAGTCCACTGCTCCCACCCCAGACGTCTATCCAGTGTTTCCCAACCTTGGGCCTCCAGCTGTTTTTGAACTACAATTCCCATCATCCCTGACCACTGGTCTTGCTAGCTAGGGATGATGGGAGTTGTAGTCCAAAAACAGCTGGAGGCCCAAGGTTGGGAAACACTGGTCTATGCTTCGATGCAGACATATTCAATTCTTTTCGCACAGGCTTCCGAGAGATTGGGGTCCCACACCTTGGAGAAATGAGGATTTGCACAGCTTTTAAGAACACCGAACACCTTCCTGAGTCTCTCAATCATTTGTTTTCATTGTCTTCCTGTAAATGTCAGCCATCTCCTCTATCTGCTCCATCTCAGCTTCCCAACATGTCAACACACTGCTTTAATCCACATCTGCTTAGTGATCTGCACCATTTAGCACCATGTGCTCCTTGCTCATGAAATGAGTATTTCTTTTGTTGATGTCTTACCATACGCCTCTTTAATTTTCTTCCCCAGCATTCAGTATTTTAATTTTACCATTTTACACTATTTCTTTTGACACAAGCAGGACACAGCTCTCCTTGGGCTCGCAAAAGGCTAATTTCCTAATATATTTAAAGTATGGATTATGAAAAGCTCAAGGCTGCTATGTGGAAACAAAGCAAATGGCATGCACCCAGCAAATGACTTGAAAAAAGAATCTAAAGTCTTGGACACCTCTCTATTTAATTCTTGGACGAAGAAGGGCCTGAACTCTAAGCACTTTCAAATAAAGTTGGCAACAAATTATTTAAGCATTAATCTGTCAGTTGCACCTCTGGGAAGTAGAAGAAGGAAGCAGCTTTGAAGGTAGCCAAAGGAAGGCTGATCACTGAAGAATTGATGCTTTTGAATTATGGTGTTGGAGAAGACTCTTGACAGTCCCGTGGGCTGCAAGAAGATCACACCTCTCCACTCTTAAGGAAATCAGCCCTGAGTGCTCACGGGAAGGACAGATCGTGAAGCTGAGGCTCCAAGACTTTGGCCACCTCATGAGAAGAGAAGACGCCCTGGAAAAGACCCTGATGTTGGGAAAGATGGAGGGCACAAGGAGAAGAGGACGAGATGGTTGGACAGTGTTCTCGAAGCTATGAACATGAGTTTGACCAAACTGCGGGAGGCAGTGGAAGACAGGAGTGCCTGGCGTGCTCTGGTCCATGGGGTGTCAAAGAGTCGGACATGACTAAACGACTAAACAACAATGGAGCTCAGAGAAGAAATGTTTCTGAACTTTGCTCAGAAGTGACTGATAACTGCAACACATTAAGAAAACAAACAGATAGAAATGAAGATGGACCATACCACATCCTTGGAGACTTGGGGCAACTTCTCCAGCATTGAAAACCTTCCGGAAGCCACTTCTGCATCCCAGGCGGACTTCAGGAGATGTGCCATTCCTGAGGAAACTGATGGAAGTGTCTGCTTGGAATTGCCCAGGGCCCAATTGGAGGACAAAGCCGCCACTCTTGACCAGTGCCTCAAAGCGCCCAACGAGATTGTCCCCAACCATTGCTCTTTCTATAAGGAAATGAAATACAACAGGGCATTAAGGGAGAGGTGGTGGGAGAAGAGAATCAGGGCTCAATATTCTGCACCATTTGCAAAACACATGTGTTTGTAACACAGGTTTCCATAGACAAAAATATGTACAGCAGGATTTATAACTTGGAGATCCCAATGCAATGATTTCAGAAAACAAGATAAACAAGTCTAATCAACAGTTGAGTTCCGTTCACCTTGAAATCATTACTCCATATGGAAAGATGGGACACCAAGATTGTTATTCCTTCATTTTCTTTTTATGATATTTTGATAATAATTCTTTGTATAGACAGTGAACAGACTCAGATTGTCCTCATGGTGGTCCAGAGGAACTTCCAAAACAAACATTCAATACGTGTCTAAACACCACTTGCTTTTTGATACATAGGATGTACTTGATACGCACAAACATACACATATAGCTGCTTCCCCACATAATCCAGATGCATAAATGTAAACACAAATAGATAGCAGAACTGGATACTACACATAATCATTGCTCCCAAAGCCAGCTTTGGGAGATGTTTGCATTTGGTCCTCATTAAGAAAATGGGGAAGACAGATATGCAAAGTCCAGGAGATTCCAAAATGGAAAATGAACGCATGCAAAATTTCTGGGAAGAGAATGACAGAGTTGCTGATGGGGTCTGGCACCTAATCCAGGCAGTAGCATTAGTCTGAGGGAAGCTACACTTGGAATTTATGGCCTGACTTCATGATAACCATCTTTAAATATCTCAAGGGCTGTCACATGGAAGATGGCGCAAGCTTGTTTTCTTGCTCTGGAGGGTAAGACCATAACCAATGGATTCAAATCACAGGTTACTCTGCGTAAAAATCTGGAATAACTTTCTGATGGTAAGAGCTCTTCGACAGTTGAACAGACTCCTTCAGGAGGCAGTAGGACTCTCCATCCTTGGAGGTCTTTAGGCAGAGATTAGATGGCCATCTGTCATGGATGCTTTATGTCAGGGAACTGCCATCGGCTCAGAGTCAAGAGGGGGAAGGGCAGATGAGCCCTTGGAGACAGAGAGCCTCCAAAAATCGTGGGAAGCAGCACTTCCTCAGTGGAGGAAGGAAGCCATGCCTCTAGTGGGGAAGAGCTGCAGGGCTTGGAGGATGCAAGGCAGTGCCAGGACACCTTGCCTGAGCAAAGCAGGGAGGAGGGAGGTCCCCTTTTACCCAAGCCTTCCTTGCGCAGTAGGCTTTCGTGCAGAGAGGGGAGGCGTCACCTAGGGGTCAAGAGACTACTCTGCTGGGGAAAGTTTAAGGACCGCCCACTCTCAGATTCTGCTAGTGATTGAGCAAGACATGGAATAGAGGCATTCTGCATTGTAAATGTTTAGCACCAATAATAAAGCCTTTGAAAAGACCAGTGAGGGATCTTGCCTGATCACTCTCGAGCAACCACACCGATAGGTTGCAGATTCCTGCATTTCAGGGGGTTGGAATGGATGACCCTTGGGGTCTCTTCCAACTCTACATTTCAGTGATTCTATCACTTTTAATGGATGGATAGTCTTTTGCTTGTGCAAGACCATAGGGTCCTTCTAACTCTTCATTGTCTACAGTGATTTCACTTTGTCAGATGAACCAGACCACCAACAAATGGCCCAGTTCCCCATGTTATACACTACAAGTGCTGGTGCTATTATTGTTGGTCTCCTCCCAGTGCTGCCACTCCCATCCCAAAACAAAAAAAATTCCTTCCAGTAGCACCTTAAAGACCAACTAAGTTAGTTCTTGGTATGAGCTTTCGTGTGCATGCACACTTCTTCAGATACACAGTGTATCTGGTTGGTTCCGCTGTGTATCTGCAGAAGTGTGCATGCACATGAAAGCTCATACCAAGAACTAACTTAGTTGGTCTTTAAGGTGCTACTGGAAGGAATTTTTTTTTGTTTTGACTATGGCAGACCAACACGGCTACCTATCTGTAACTCCCATCCCAGTAGCTTATGCCTCTGGGAATGTGGAACTAGATATATTTTTGTTAAAGGCCAATTAGAAAGAGCAGAGGAGGAAAACCCTCAGTGATGATCATATTTAAGCACGATTCCGTCCCAAGTGGATAGTTAAACCAGATTTTCCTCTGCAGTGTCAAATTTCAGGTTGGTTTTTTCCCCCAACATTCCCTTAGTTCCAGGGAGAAACTGAAAAAATAACAATCAACAACCTCACAATTTTCCTGGCAGATTTCTAGCACACGTCTATGAATAGGGAGACAGGAATCATTTTGGAAGAACGGGACACATTAACAGCTAAACCCACCAATGTTGTGCAAATCTGGAAGTGAAGCAGCTGGGACTTCCTCAAGAAAAGCTCTCCAGGTGATGTTCACTCCTAGACGGTCAGCAGCAAGGCACTGGACCAGCACAGAAGAATCATCGCAGACAGGAACAGACACCAGGTGTCCAAAAGCATTTACCTTAAGAAGAAGAAGAAGCCAAATGTTTCGATGCATGACTTTTTCACCTGCTGGGTGTATTACAAATGGGTAGATCATGGTGGTTTTTCCTACCTAGCAAATGATGGGAGGTGAAGAGCGTAACCAAATGAGGTTGATGGCTCTGAGTGGTCTTTTTCTCTGTGTGTCACAGTTTCAACAGAGAGAGACCGAAGCAGAGAGAGAGACTTAAGACAGTGGGTTTTTAGCAGAGGAAGAAGGAAGAACAGTTGGCGTGTAGTTGCTCTGTGGGAAATTGATGCAATATTATGGTTATGCTGCCTATTGGAGGAGTCTGTATCTTTCCACTATGCTCTGATTGTATATGGTAAACTAGGTAAAGGTAAAGGGACCCCTGACCATTAGGTCCAGTTGTGGCCGACTCTGGGGTTGCGGCACTCATCTCACTATATTGGCCGAGGGAGCCGGTGTACAGCTTCCCAGAGGTCATGTGGCCAGCATGACTAAGCCGCTTCTGGCGAACCAGAGCAGCGCACGGAAACGCAGTTTACCTTCCCACCAGAGTGGTACCTATTTATCTACCTGCACTTTGATGAGCTTTCGAACTGCTAGGTTGGCAGGAGCAGGGACTGAGCAATGGGAGCTCACCCCGTTGTGGGGATTCGAACCACCGACCTTCTGATCAGCAAGTCCTAGGCTCTGTGGTTTAACCCACAGCACCACCCGCATTCCTTCTGGTAACTAGGCTATATGACAAAACACCAGAAAATTCCTGTGTTTTCTATCACTGCAGCATGTAAACAAGCTGCTCTTGCAACTTCCTACCACAGGAGAGCAAATCCCTCTTTATGTAATAATTACCGCTCATCCATCTAAGTGATGGGCAGGGTTTGTGACCCAGCGTGGGCTTCCTGAGCCTGAGTGACACCCCTCCTTGCTTGTTGGCCATCGCTCCGCCCCCTCCCCATTCAGCCAATCAGCTGTTGGCTGGGGGGCGGAGCGAAGTCCAGGTAGGGCAGGCTCCAGCCGCCCATCTCTCCAGTCTGTCTTTGGAGAACAACAGGTTGTGAAAGGCTATCCTGCAAGTTTGCAGACTGTTCACGGCTTTGCTGGTTGGACCTGATGGGAGTGGTAGTCTAAAACATCTGGAGGGCATGGTTTGAGGAAGCAGCTGGAGGGAATGAATGGGATGCTGAACCAGTTTTAGCCAAAACAGGGTGAGATGACAATCCTACCAGCCTTCCCCATGAATTCTGAAGCGCTAAACAAGGCACATGCTAAAATAAGGCAGGCCAAGTGGAAAACCTTTTATGTGACTTGGCAATCTTCAATATAATGACCATAACGCACTGGAATATATATCCTTCTACGTTTTTTGAAGCTGCCCAAATGAGCTAGGTTTTCCGGTGCACATTTGTTTTCTTAATTATCCCAAGTTCTGGAACAGCAGATGTAAAGGAAGAGGGGGAAATGTATTTCGCAATGCCCCTAAAAGTTAGTTGGTTCCACTGCCAAACTTGACAAAGGTTGGTTCTTTGTAGCGTTTAGCTGAGGATCGAATTAGACACGATGAGGCACTTCCTCACTGGATATTGGGAAAGGTGATATTAGTTTACTTGTGCACTGACCCGTTCACATCCACACCTATTTAAAGCACCATTATATCACATTAACATTCATGGTATCCCTCAGAGAGCCATGGGAATCACAGTTTGCTAAGGGGGCTGAGAGTTGTTAGGAGTCTCCTGGGACAGTTAGGAAACTAGGGATCTGTGCGACATTGTTGTGCAAAATTCAATCCTGGACCGACTGCAATGGCTGCCAATCGGTTTCCAGATGCAATTCAATGCGCTGGTTTTGACCTATAAAGCTTAAACAGCTCAGGACTGCAATAGCCTTAAGAATCGCCTCTCCCCATATGAACTGACCCGGGCCCTGCAATTATTATCCAAAGTCCTTAGTTGTGTGCTTCCTCCACGAGAGGCCCAGAGGTCAGCAACACAAGAATGGGCCTTTTTGTGGTGGCTCCCTGTTTGTAGAATGTTCTCCCCAGTGAGGCTGGCCTGGCATATTCAGTACATATATTTAGACACCAGGCAAAAGTATTCTTCTTTCTCCCCACCCCCCGGCCATTGGTATTTTGAACTGGGGGCAGGGAGAAGAGATTGTTTTGCTTGTTATTATGCTACTGTATGTATTTTTGTGTTTTTACGCTGTAAGCCACCTTGTGATTCCTGGATTTTTATTTTGTGTGTGATCCTTGAATTAAGGACGGTGTATCAAGTATCAATAGGGAAGCAGGTGGCGCTGTGGGTTAAACCACAGAGCCTAGGACTTGCCGATCAGAAGGTCGGCGGTTCGAATCCCCGCGACGGGCTGAGCTCCTGTTGCTCGGTCCCTGCTCCTGCCAACCTAGCAGTTTGAAAGCACCTCAAAGTGCAAGTAGATAAATATGTACCGCTCCGGCGGGAAGGTAAACAGCATTTCCGTACGCTGCTCTGGTTCACCAGAAGCGGCTTAGTCATGCTGGCCACATGACCCGGAAGCTGTACGCAGGCTTCCTTGGCCAATAAAGCGAGATGAGCGCCGCAACCCTAGAGTCGGTCACGACTGGACCTAATGTTCAGGGGTCCCTTTACCTTTACCTTTATAAATTAAATAAATAAATACGTTGACCCTTGGATTGCCTTGGAAAGCTGCTATGAATTATTAACTTAAAAATGGAAAGTGTAATGCTGGTGGTCAACAAAAGAGGTTTAAAGACTCTCTCAAAGCCAAAACTAAAAAAAAAAAAAAAGTAGTATAAACAACTGGGAAACACTGGCCTGCGAGCGCTCCAGTTGCAGAACAGTCTTTACCAAAGGTGTCATGGGCTTTGAAGACACTCAAACTCAGGACGCAAGGGAGAAACATGCTAAGAGGAAGGCACGCTTGGCAAATCCACACCGTGATCAACTCCTGCCGAGAAACCAATGTCCCCACTGTGGAAGGACGTGTGGATCCAGAATTGGCCTCCACAGTCACTTACGGACTCATTGTTAAAACCATGTTCATGGAAGACAATCTGACTTGGCTACGAGTGATCACCAAAAAAGAAGACGGTATGAATACCTGAATATGACAAAAGCCACGGGCCTTCATCTCATCCAGAATAAAGATCTGGAATGCCTCTAGCATCTTGGAAAAGTCTGGACCACAGGTCTTCTCAGGAGGCAAGACGAGTTGGAAGTGGGTTTGAGTTTGAACGCTCTGGAACGGCTGGAGCCCTTGAAGGAGAACAAAGGAAACCAGTGTTACACAAAACACTCAGACACATGTTCTCTCTATTATTATTTTACACATATTTTTCAATCTCCTCGTCAATGGGGGCTTTGGGGGGAGAAGCCAAGAATTCAGACTGGACTAGCAGCGGGTGACTAAGACAAAACCCACCTTCTCTCTCATTATCCATATCTAATGCTGGAACAAAGGCATTTCACATGCAAACCTGTGCACCTTAGGAGATATTTGCACCCTAAAGCTGATTAATTTTCAGGAGGACTAATGTGTAAACTAATGTGGAAATGTGGAGAAGTGGACTTTAGGCTGGAAAAAATGAGAAACCAGCACTGACAGATTCGTTCATCCCTAGTGCTAAGAATCCAGCTGCCCACTAGCTGAGGGTTACACCCCATGACGTCATTCTATTACCAAAAGGACTTCCACCTGCGCTATGGAATTTCACCTCTCGCTCCTCTCTCTATGAGCATCAGCCCAAAAATGTTCCAGAGGGTCAGGAGGGGGACCCAGAACCAATTTGGGGGTTGTAGAAGACTAGCAGGGAGAGGGAATCCCATTGCGCAAGCAGAAGTCCTTCCGCTAACAGATTGACTTGGTTGGATCCAACCCATAATTTCTCCAGAGGCATCTAAATGTATATATTAGTCTGTGCACATTTTAGGCTAATTTGTACATGAACCTGTGTCCCAAGTTCTTTTAAGTACAGTCATAGCTTGGTTATCGAACGGCTTAGCTGCCAAACAAATCATCTCCCAAACGCCGCAAACCCAGAAGTATGTGTTCCGGTTTGCAAACGTTTTTCGGAAGCCGAACTTCCAACGCCACTTCCGCTTGAGTGCAGGGAGTTCCTGCAGCCAATCAGAAGCCACGCCTTGGTTTTTGAACGGTTCCGGGAGTTGAACGGACTCCCGGAATGGATTAAGTTCGAGAACCAAGGTACCACTGCACCTAGCAAAAGCCCTGTTGGACACAGAGGGACTTGCTTCTGAGTAAAGATGCAGAGGACAGAACTATAAAAGAGATCAGCTTAGGCTGTTTTGTTCTCATACAGGTTTAAAAGGTAGATTCATTACAAACACAGCCCAAAGGTGAATGGAGATAAACTGCACAGGAGGGGAAAGTCCATTCAACCTGATATGCAAATGCAAAAGGCATGTCTTCCGCTGTTATATGCGGGTCACAACTCCTCTCTATTCAAGAATGTCGACATGCCCAGATGGTTCATCACGTGCAGCCAGAAGGGTTAGTGGTGTGTGCCAAGATTCAAAAAAATCCCCCCCTCCAATATTTGCTTTTATTCTTCCATAGGAGGGGGTTGACTCAGAATGCCAAGTGGCTGGGAAGGCAGTAAGGATAGCAATAAACCTGGAGGACCAATTGCTTCCAGCAGCAGCAGAAAAATAAAAATAAATCTATATACAGAAGTCACCAAATTCTGGAGATTACGTGAACTGACAGTAGCTGCCAAGTTCAAACATCTGGTGCTCATCTGTTTAGCTCAGAGTAAGCACCTCCATCAGATTCGTCCAAAGCTTGGAGGCAAATCTCACTGAAGTCACTAGATCTCAGTTTCAGGCAAACACATTGAGGACGAAGGGGCTGAGGTTTTTAGGAATTGGCGATTTTGGAGGCCACAGGCTAATCATTTGTCCCTCCCGCGGCAGTTCAGGAGTAGCTACAGACCCAAAGCGACTCTTATTAAATCCTCTGATTTTCCACAATGTTGTTCATTTGGAAGGTGGAGGTACTAAATGCAGGGGGAACAATTAAGGATATTGGGCCACATCCAAAAATCAGGCTGGAGCAACACAGCTTCCTCTTCCATCTGCTCCTGTAGACTTCTAAAACATTAGCAAAGGGAGTGATCTTAAAAGATAGTGGCCTGGATCCAGGCTTAGGTCGTACTTAGAGTAGACCCATAGAAATCAATGGGACTTGAATTCAGTGTTACTCTAAGCAATAGAGGCTAGTCTGTTGTGATTGTTAATATTATGCATGCGGAAGCTGCTGGATGAATAAAAACTGACTCTTGCATTGAAATAGAAAATCTCCAGTCCAAAAATATGGTTCGAAAGTTTTACTCACAGAGTTTAAAACAACAGTGGTGCCTCGCAAGACGAAATTAATCCGTTCCACGAGTCTCTTCGTCTTGCAGTTTTTTCGTCTTGCAAAGCGCGGCTATTAGCGGCTTAGCGGCTATTAACGGCTTAGCGGCTTTAAGAAAAAGGAAACAAACTCGCAAGAACTCGCAAGACGTTTCGTCTTGCGAAGCAAGCCCATAGGGAAATTCGTCTTGCGGAACGACTCAAAAAACGGAAAACCCTTTCGTCTAGCGAGTTTTTCGTCTTGCGAGGCATTCGTCTTGCGGGACACCACTGAACTTAAAACAATGAAAATTGCATTGTTAGTTGCATAATTTCTGGGTGTCTTCGCTTAGGGGGTGACATTTGTGTTTTTTTAAAAAAAAATTATTGGTTTTACAAAATTTTAAGAACAAACAAACACTTAAAAAGACATACAAACACGTATAATTTCATAATGTTTTTCATAAACCTCTTTTCTGAGACTCCCCCATACCCCCCCCTTTCTGCATCCCAATGTCCATAGTTTTATAGCAACTCCCAATGTTACTTTCCAACCTCTGTCCTTAGTTATCTCTATAATCTGACCTTATATCACTGTATCCCTTTGTTTCTGAAAACCATAACACTCTAACATTCATCAAGTTTATAATAGTCCTTAAGATAACTTTTGAATTTTCTCCATTCTTCTTCCACCGTCTCTTTTCCTTGGTCACGGATTCTGCCTGTCATCTCGGCCAGTGTCATATAGTCCATCACTTTCATCTGCCATTCTTCCAGAGTGGGTAGATCTTGTGTCTTCCAATACTTTGCGATAAGTATTCTTGCTGCTGTTGTAGCATACATAAAAAAAGTTCTATCCCTCTTTGGCACCAATTGGCCGACAATGCCCAAGAGAAAGGCCTCTGGTTTTTTAAGGAAAGTACTTTTAAGTACCTTTTTCATTTCATTATAGATCATTTCCCAGAAAGCCTTAATCTTCGGGCATGTCCACCAAAGGTGATAGAAGGTACCTTCAGTCTCTTTACATTTCCAACATTTGTTATCGGGCAAATGGTAAATTTTTGCAAGCTTGACTGGGGTCATGTACCACCTGTAAATCATTTTCATTATGTTTTCTCTTAAGGCATTACATGCCATAAACTTAACACCGGTGGTCCATAACTGTTCCCAGTCAGCAAACATAATGTCATGACCAATATCTTGTGCCCATTTAATCATAGCTGATTTCACCGTTTCATCCTGTGTATTCCATTTCAGCAACAAGTTATACATTCTTGATAAATTCTTAGTATTGGGTTCTAACAGTTCAGTCTCTAGTTTTGATTTTTCCACCTGAAAGCCAATTTTCCTGTCCTGTTTGAAAAGCTCCATTATTTGATGATATTGAAGCCAATTTTGTACTTTATGTTTCAATTTCTCATAACTTTGTAATTTCCACTTATCTCCATCCTGTTCCAAGATTTCCCAATACTTCGGCCATCCGACCTCCATATTGAGTTTCTTTACTGCTTTAGCCTCCACTGGTGACACCCATCTAGGGGTTTTGTTTTCCAACAGATCTTTATATCTTATCCATACATTAAACAATGCTTTTCTAACAATGTGATTTTTAAAGGCACTATGCAGCTTGATTTTGTCATACCATAGATATGCATGCCAACCAAAAACATTGTTAAAACCTTCCAGATCCAAAATGTCTGTGTTCTCGAGGAGCATCCATTCTTTCAGCCAGCAAAAAGCTGCTGCCTCATAGTACAATTTTAAGTCCGGCAGGGCAAAACCCCCTCTTTCTTTAGCGTCTGTCAATATTTTAAATTTGATTCTGGGCTTTTTGCCCTGCCAGACAAATTTCGAAATATCTTTCTGCCACCTCTTAAAACATTCCATCTTGTCAAGAATCTGCAAGGTCTGAAACAAAAATAACATTCTAGGCAATACATTCATTTTAATCACTGCAATTCGGCCTAACATTGACAATTTCAAATTTGACCATATTTCTAGATCTTTTTTGATCTCTGACCAACATTTTTCATAATTATCCTTATACAAATTCACATTTTTAGATGTCAAATAAACCCCTAGGTATTTCACCTTCTTAACCACCGTCAACCCTGTCTCCTCTTGGAATTTCTCCTTTTCCATATCTGTTAAATTTTTTCCTAAGACTTTGGTTTTTTGTTTATTCAACTTAAATCCAGCTACCTGGCCAAACTGTTGGATTATTTCTAGAACCTTTTTCGTACTAGTGTTTGGCTCTTGCAAAGTCAATACTAGGTCATCTGCAAATGCTCTTAACTTATAATGTTTAGCTCCGACCTGCACTCCTTTAACCTGCTGGTCATTCCTAATCATATTCAGCAACACCTCCAGAACCGAAATGAAAAGTAATGGGGAAATTGGGCACCCCTGTCATGTTCCTTTTTCTATCTTAAGCTCCTCAGTTATCACATTATTTACAATCAATTTAGCTTTTTGTTCAGAATATATTGCAGCCATGCCATTCTCGAAGCCTTGTCCTACCCCCATCCCATGAAGATTCTTTATCATAAAGCTCCAAGAAATATTGTCAAAGGCTTTCTCCGCGTCCACAAAGATCAGTACTGCTTTAGTATTTATATTCACCTCTAGCTTTTCCAAAATATCTATTATATTCCTTACATTGTCTGCTAGGTGTCTTTTTGGGAGAAAGCCTGCTTGATTCTTGTGAATCTTTTCCATCAACACTTTTTTAAATCTTTTTGCCAAAATGTCTGCAAAAATTTTGTAATCCACATTAAGTAGTGATATTGGGCGGTAGTTCTTCAGTTGAGTCTTTTCAGTCTCTGTCTTTGGTATGAGTGAAATGTATGCTTCTTTCCACGATTCAGGTGCCTTTTTTCCCTCAAGAATCTCATTACAGACTTCTTTTAGTGGTTGAGTCAACCATTCCTTCAAGGATTTGTAGTATCTAGAAGTCAATCCATCTGGTCCTGGAGATTTGCCCAATTGCATATTCTGAATGGCATCCTCTATCTCTTGTTCTGTTATTCTCTGGTTCAGGTCTATCTTACTTTGATGAGAGATTTTTTGTAATCCATATTTATCAAGGAATTTGTCTATATCTTCTTCATTTTGCGGGCCTTGGGTATAAAGTTTTTTAAAATAACTCAGGAAGCAATTTCTAATTTCATTAGGTTTAGATATATTCTTTCCATCCACTTCTAGACTTGTAACTGTATTTAATTTCTGCCTTTTCTTCAATTGCCATGCCAGAAGTTTGCCACATTTATTTGCTGATTCAAACGTCTTTTGTTTCATTTGCTTTATCTTCCATTCAATCTCTTGGTTCATCAATTCCATATATTGTGTTTGATATAACTTAATCTCTCTTAAGATTAGGGGGTGACATTTGGAGTGCTCCCCGCCCGTGACTCCCAAGCCTACCCCGAGCATTCTGCCCTTCCCCCTTCATTTTGACAGCTTGGGGGAGGCTTGGAAGTCGCAGGTGGGCGGCACACCAAATGTCCGCCATGCGCGGCTCGCTCCGCCCCTGGCTGCAGGGTGCGTGCGCCGCCCCGTGCACCTAAGCGGCTATCCTGTACCTGGGAGGGCACCCTCCACACCCTGCCCCTCTTGGGAGTGTGCCCATCCTGGGCAACGCGGGCATACGCTCCACCGCTGCCGGGGTGAAGGCGTCCTCTTTTATTTGTCCCCGTGTTAGTTTCAGTCTGTTGGTTAGCTTTTCTAGTAAGGCTGTTTCCCATACAATTTGGTACCAGCGAACCACAGTCACTCTCTGCTCCAGAAAGCCACTTCCGCCCTGCAGAGGAGGCGGGATTGCAGGCGTCACGGCCCCACCACGCGCGAGGGGGCTGAAGCCCAGCCCCTGCGCGATCAAGGGAATCCCCGGCCATGTCACCCACTAGCCATCCAATCGGCTGGCTCTGAGGGCGTGGCCTGCCCTATTTAATGCTGGTGCGGCCGGAGATCTCCCTCTTTGCCGCCTGCCAGCTGTTCCTGCTTTTCCCACCCTCCCGCCCTATGAGGTTTTCGTTCCTTGACCTTGCTATGGACCTCAGTTGGTCGCCGTTGAGGGGCCTGCTAGGAATTTTTCCACTTGGCAAATTGGCACCAGCCACTTGGTTTTCACCTACCTTGTAGTAAATCATCACAACTTTCTTGGTATTGGCAGTTAGGCATTGGTATTGGTATTGTTTTGTAGATGGAAGAGGGGAGGAAGCACCAACACCTGTCCCACATATTGAAGGGTAGTCCGATAAAGGATTCCAGGAGGTGTGGCCCTGTCCGAAGCCTAAGGAGGTGAGGGCCTAAGGCACGCCCCCTATCGTGACCCCGGGGGAGTTCCCTTCCCGGACTTCAAGCGGACGGGCTGAAGCCGGATATAGTTGGTTAGGACCAATGCCTAAGCTAATTGGTTACAATACACCTGTAACCAATAAAGTTGTGGCCTTATTTAGACCATTAACCTTAATAATTGTGTCATGTGTCTTTATTTCCACTGGGTGGACGGGAACTCACCATGCAATCCCACAAACCCCCTCAACGCAATCAAAAAAGAATGGGAGCACGACATAGGCTACAAAATAAACCCTACCCAATGGACTAAAATCTAGCTTTTTCATGGCCATGCTGAATTCTCTACTAGCCACAGCCCAGCAGAACCTCCGGCCAAGTCAGCAAACTCTTAACTTCTGCACTTACTCTGGCAGGTCTGGGAATGGGCTGGATCTCCTAGCCAGAGGCCAGTCTCCGTATCACAGAGCAGCAACTCTTCTCCGACACTGTGGAAGCCTGGAGAGCAAATCACTTGGCATTTCTGAGTTGTCGGAGCATCATCGGAGACACCGCAGAAAACGCCACCGTTGGTGACATAAGGGGCATCAAAAGGCAGGTGGCACCGAGGACCTAGGAAGGACATTGTCAGCAACAGTTACACACAAGTTGTCTCAAATCGAATTACGAAGCCGTGAGTGGCAAAAGCAGCTTAGCGATAATTCAGACCAAAGGCATACTTTGAGAGAAATGCAATCCGGTTTCCTAAAAGCGTTCACGCAATGTTAACTATGCACAGGACAAATCTTACGCCATCTTATTAACAGACGAAGGCCAAAAATTACACCATGGACTGTGATCTGAGCTAATGAGAAATAGCCTAGATGAACAAGAATGATATTGTTTTCATAAATGGATTAATCGCCTTCCATATGCGAATCTCAAGGTGATATACAAGATACAATAAAAATGGCATAAAAGAGTAAAAAACCATGGAAAACAGCAATTATTTATTATTTTTTAAAAAACACACTGATGATGATAAAGTAACCATGCTTCACCCTATCTTCAGGGTGCTTTAGAATCTAAAATTGTGTACGAGAGAGAAAAAGTCCTGCTAATTTTTACAGCAGCTCCCAGTTCTTGCACATTCTTGTATCATTTAGGCCTGCAGGAAGAGTGTTTTTGAAACATTTCCACACGAGAAGATAATCCCTTACAAACAAAAAAAGGTAGCAGAAGAATGAGATGGCTTATCAGGAACACGTCTCCCTGTTGTGCTAGCTTTCATCTTGCGAGGATCCGTGGGAGAGCATTCAGAAACGTACTCTCTCCCACCTAACTTTTTGAAGGCTGCAGTGGTACAGTTTACTCAGCCACCTTATCATTTTTCCATCCCATTCTCCCTGCATCTGTAGATCAAGACTTCTTTAATTTCCTCTCCTGGCAAATGTGCACAGCGAGTGGGGATGTGGGTGGTGGTGTGTGTACTAAGATACGTGGCGTTAAAATCCCCAACATGTACAGCAACATGAAAATGCTGGATTTTCCTAACTAGGCTAGATGCACGGAGCAAAATGACCATCGGGGGAATCTCCCTCATACGGAACTGATTAGTTTAATGGAAACCTCATTGGACGCAATGGGCATTCCACAGTTACTACTCGTCTATCTTAAGATGCCTCTTGTGATAAAGAGGATGGGTTTATTGTTCTTTCCCACCCCAGCTGTTACATCTGCCGACAGCCCGTGTTCCCATCTTCAAGTCACGCCCAGAATTGCAAACAGGCTTTTGCCTCGTTGCTGGCTTTCTCCTCAGAGTAAACTGGAAGAAGAAGAGTTTGGATTTGATATCCCGTTTTATCACTACCTGAAGGAGTCTCAAAGTGGCTAACATTCTCCTTTCCCTTCCTCCCCCACAACAAACACTCTGTGAGGTGAGTGGGGCTGAGAGACTTCAGAGAAGTGTGACTAGCCCAAGGTCACCCAGCAGCTGCATGTGGAGGAGCGGGGAAGCGAACCTGGTTCACCAGATTACGAGTCCACCGCTCTTAACCACTACACCACACTGGCTCTCCACACTGGAAGGGGTGGGGGTGGGGAACGAGACAAAATAAGAATCTCACACAGATCTCGGAAGTGAAACCTTGGTCAAAACTGGCCACTGAATAAGATTTCGAAATTTTGATTTTTGGTTTTAGAATAACGAAGCTTCAGATTAATTGCAGGAGAACCCATAAACTCATTTCCAAAACCCAACAGATTTACAGACCCTCCAAGCGTCCCAACTTCCTAGGAACAGTCCAGGATTTACAGAAGCCATCCCAGTTTCTGATTTAATTGCGGAATGTTTCGCTTTTCCTTAGGTTTCATCAGAGAAATGTTGGAGGGTCTGGAGTTATGTGACCCCTGAGCCAAGGACATAAGCTGGGGGGTTTTCTGGGGGGACGGAGGGGTACGCATACCCCTAAAGATGTTGTGAATCTTTGTACTTTTGTCCATTTACTGTATTTATTTTTCCCAGTTTGAACTATAAAATGGTGATTTTCGTGAGTCAAAATGAGAGCACCCCTAAACATTTTTTTACGGGGGGGAGGACTGGACATAAGTAACTATGCAACCTTTAGAAGACCTCTTCTGTACAGGGAAGGTTTTTTTAAATGTTTAATGCTTTATTATGTTTTTATATATGTTGGAAGCCGCCCAGAGTGGCTGGGGCAACCCAGCCAGATGGGTGGGATACAAAATAAAACAACAACAACAACAACAACAACAACAACAACAACAACAACAACGGAATAGGTCACGGTAAAGGGACCCCTGAGCATTAGGTCCGGTCGAGGCCGACTCTGGGGTTGCGGTGCTCATCTTGCTTTATTGGCCGAGGGAGCCAGCGTACAGCTTCCGGGTCATGTGGCCAGCAGGACTAAGCCACTTCTGGTGAACCAGAGCAGCGCACGGAAACGCCATTTACCTTCCCACTGGAGTGGTACCTGTTTATCTACTTGCACTTGGATGTGCCTTCAAACTGCTAGGTTGGCAGGAGCAGGAACAGAGCAATGGGAGCTCACCCCGTCGCGGGATTCGAATTGCCAACCTTCTGATCAGCAAATCCTAGGCTCTGTGGTTTAACCCACAGCGCCACCCGCGTCCCTCTAATAATGGAATAGGGCATCCCTATTTTCATTGGAAAAATGTTGGAGGGTATGGATTTAAGTACCTTCATAAGCCTGTACTGCAATCAGATTTTATAGGGCTTACAAAGTGGTCTATGTCGTCTGTTCAGGATTATATGCAAATTAGAATAATAGCTTTGGAAGGTTATATTGGAAGTCATTTAGTCCAAGGAAGGAGTTTGTGCCATGCATAGAATGGGAAAATAGCATACCAAGGAGAAGGTTAGGTTGGACTCTTCCCACTGAGGGGAGGGATTTGGGGGGCAAGAGAGCATTTTGACCACGTCAACCTCCACCTGTAGTCTGAAGTAGTACAGTCCAGGAAAAAGCTTTATCATTTGGTTCTGCTATACATATATATATATATATGGATTGGCCCTGAGAGCCACCAACTCGCATAGAATAGAATCATAGAATCATAGAATCATAGAGTTGGAAGAGACCACAAGGGCCATCGAGTCCAACCCCCTGCCAAGCAGGAAACACCATCAGAGCACTCCTCACATATGGTTGTCAAGCCTCTGCTTAAAGACCTCCAAAGAAGGAGACTCCACCACATTCCTTGGCAGCAAATTCCACTGTCGAACAGCTCTTACTGTCAGGAAGTTCTTCCTAATGTTTAGGTGGAATCTTCTTTCTTGTAGCTTGGATCCATTGCTCCGTGTCCGCTTCTCTGGAGCAGCAGAAAACAACCTTTCTCCCTCCTCTATATGACATCCTTTTATATATTTGAACATGGCTATCATATCACCCCTTAACCTCCTCTTCTCCAGGCTAAACATGCCCAGCTCCCTTAGCCGTTCCTCTTAAGGCATCGTTTCCAGGCCTTTGACCATTTTGGTTGCCCTCCTCTGGACACGTTCCAGTTTGTCAGTGTCCTTCTTGAACTGTGGTGCCCAGAACTGGACACAGTACTCCAGGTGAGGTCTGACCAGAGCAGAATACAGTGGCACTATTACTTCCCTTGATCTAGATGCTATACTCCTATTGATGCAGCCCAGAATTGCATTGGCTTTTTTAGCTGCCGCGTCACACTGTTGGCTCATGTCAAGTTTGTGGTCAACCAAGACTCCTAGATCCTTTTCACATGTACTGCACTCAAGCCAGGTGTCACCCATCTTGTATTTGTGCCTCTAATTTTTTTTGCCTAAGTGCAATACTTTACATTTCTCCCTGTTAAAGTTCATCTTGTTTGTTTTGGCCCAGTTCTCTAATCTGTCAAGGTCGTTTTGAAGTGTGATCCTGTCCTCTGGGGTGTTAGCCACCCCTCCCAGTTTGATGTCATCTGCAAATTTGATCAGGATGCCCTTGAGTCCATCATCCAAGTCGTTGATAAAGATGTTGAATAAGACCGGGCCCAAGACAGAACCCTGTGGCACCCATTGGATCCAGGGAAGGGTCACCTGACAGCCTTCCAGCCAATAGCAGCTTCCTGGGCCAGAAGGTTTTTTGCTGCAATTCTTCTGACTATAGGCACAGATTCATCCAGCTGCTTCTAAGAGCAGATCTGGAACTATAATGTAATCAGGCATCTATTCCATTTGTAGCAATGACAAACCTAGACAGCATCTTAAAAAGCAGAGACATCACCTTGCCAACAAAGGTCCGTATAGTTAAAGCTATGGTTTTCCCAGTAGTGATGTATGGAAGTGAGAGCTGGACCATAAAGAAGGCTGATCGCTGAAGAATTGATGCTTTTGAATTATGGTGCTGGAGGAGACTCTTGAGAGTCCCATGGACTGCAAGAAGATCAAAGCTATCCATTCTTAAGGAAATCAGCCCTGAGTGCTCACTGGAAGGACAGAACGTGAAGCTGAGGCTCCAAGACTTTGGCCACCTCATGAAAAGAGAAGACTCCCTGGAAAAGACCCTGATGTTGGGAAAGATGGAGGGCACAAGGAGAAGGGGACGACAGAGGACGAGATGGTTGGACAGTGTTCTCGAAGCTACGAACATGAGTTTGACCAAACTGCGGGAGGCAGTGGAAGACAGGAGTGCCTGGCGTTCTCTGGTCCATGGGGTCACAAAGAGTCGGACATGACTAAACAACAACAAAATTCCATTTGTAACTTTCTGAGACCTCAGGGGATGTGACATTATTACATACATGCCCCACCTAAACAATCCCGTGAAGACATTCCAGTGTGATCTTCCTAAGGCTACCCTGAAAGCTTTTTTGAACGCAGGTCTCCCTATTTCATGTCCAGCACTGCTTAACTAGCTTTTCAATCATGCAGAAAAGTCTCATTGTCAATGCGTTCTCCGGAATCCTAAGCATAAGAACTCCTAGAACTCGATATCTATCTATCCATCCATTCATCCATCCATCCTATCAATCATGACCTGGAGATAGAGATAGATAGATAGATAGATAGATAGATAGATAGATAGATAGATAGATAGATAGATGATAGATAGATGATGATAGATGATAGATGATAGATGATAGATGATAGATGATAGATGATAGATGATAGATGATAGATGATAGATGATGATGATAGATTAGATAGATAGATAGATAGATATAGATAGATGATAGATAGATGATAGATAGATGATAGATAGATGATAGATAGATAGATAGATAGATGATAGATAGATAGATAGATAGATAGATATAGATAGATGATAGATAGATAGATAGATGATAGATAGATATAGATAGATAGATAGATAGATAGATAGATGATAGATGATAGATGATAGATTAGATTAGATGATAGATAGATAGATAGATAGATAGATAGATAGATAGATAAGATAGATAGATAGATGATAGATAGATAGATAGATAGATAGATAGATAGATAGATAGATAGATGATAGATGATAGATAGATGATGATAGATGATAGATGATAGATGATAGATGATAGATGATAGATGATGATGATAGATTAGATAGATAGATAGATAGATATAGATAGATGATAGATAGATGATAGATAGATGATAGATAGATAGATAGATAGATAGATGATAGATAGATAGATAGATAGATATAGATAGATGATAGATAGATAGATAGATAGATAGATAGATAGATAGATAGATAGATAGATAAGATAGATAGATAGATGATAGATAGATAGATAGATAGATAGATAGATAGATAGATAGATAGATAGATAGATGATAGATAGATAGATAGATAGATAGATGATAGATAGATGATAGATAGATAGATAGATAGATAGATAGATAGATAGATATATTTCATTAAATTCTCAAAGTTCCCACATGAATCCATGCAATGCAAACCAGCGTTTCCCAGTGTGCAGATTGGCCACAACCTCTCTAACGAAAGCACAAAACTGCCCAGACTTCCAAGTTCACTCACGTTCGCATGAAAGCTTTTTTCCATTGATTCGTGTTCCAGGAACCTCCTCTCCATTCTCAAAGACACACCAGCTGCTTTCCTGGTCTTCGGTCCGTTGCACGGGTGAGAACCCCCCACTGCTGCCTTCACACTGAGGGATGTAACCTCGACCCATTTCCCGCAAGAGAGCCTTGGACTCCAGCATCTTGCAGTAACTGGGGCCTTTCGAAGAGGAAGAGAGAGATGGTGAAAAAGAGCCCTATAAGGCTAAATGCATGGCTATGGGCAAAGATGAGTTGTGCATCTGGGCTGAGGGGGGGAGCACTAACAGTGACTCACCCAAAGAACTCAATCATTGGGCAAGGATATAAGGAATTAGGTGGTCCTTGACAGACAGTGTACCTAAATATTATCATTATCATTCATTAAATTTGTATACCACCCTCTACCCACAAGTCTCAGGGCAGTTCACGAGATAAAAATGCATCCGTTAATGGAAATAACATACAGAAATGCATTATATTAGGTAGAATTGCTGACAAAAACCATGTACACATCTGTTGGAAAATTCTATTCCACCTTAAGTTGCAGACGTGTGAGATTGTTACATGTCACATGTCTGTTTACGTTCCAGCACAGTTTGCTGGGAACTTCCGTTGTGTATAGCTTTTGCTTTTGACTCTCTCTCTGAGGAGACGAGAGACGACATGTTTCCTTTGTCATGATTTATGCTTAATAAATCCGTAGCTTGTTAGTATGTTTCCACAAGCCTCACGCCACTTCTGTTTGCGCAGTACGCTCTGCTGATATAGTGTGCTCAGGCTTTGAAGTCTGAGTCACTGATTTACGTCACACCAGAGGTCTGGGTTTCGTCACGGCTGGAAGGGCATGATCCAGAGGTCCGTTCTTAACCCGAAACCGTACTTAACCTGAGGTGCGCTTTCGCTAATGGGGTCTCCCACTGCCGCATCTCCGCCGCTGCACGATTTCTGTTGTCATCCTGTGGCAAAGTTCGCAACACGGAGCAACTACTTCTGGGTTACCGGAGTTTGTAACCCAAAGTGGTTGTAACCCGAGGTGCCACTGTACAGTGGTATTTTTCTAGTAAAAAAGGTGGTGGAACTCCCCATGAACGCCTCCCTCCTTCTCTTAGAATGGCAATTGGCACCCACCTGAGAGGTGCCGGAACTCAGTTCCGGAGAGTTCCAGCTGAAAAAAAAAGCCCTGTATGTATATTAGGAGAAAGTAATCCTAACACACTGACGAGAAAAGTGCACTGAGATGCTGAAGAATCTTCACAAATAAACTGAAATTGACAGGTTTGTCCATCCCCAGAGCAGAAGGAAAGGTAAGGAAGGCGCTTACAGTGAGCTCTGCCATTTGCATCAACGTCGCTCTGCTGAAAGGCTTCGCCAGATGTTGGATCTACACACCAGGCCCTGGTTTCTGACTTCTGTAGCACAGCATAGGCACCAGTCTAGAAGGAAGCAGCTGTGTTATAGTTGCAGAACGAGAAGCCTTCTGTAAGGCTGCTATTTATCTAAGGACCGTTATCTGAGAAATGGTGGGTTGCATCTAACAAAGTTATCCTTTTCGCTCAAGGACTTCTGCTTACGCTATAGGATTCTGCTCTCTCTTCAACCTCAAATGGGCAGCTTGTCATGGAATTCTACTCAATATTGACCCAGAGCCGATTTCAATGTATTGTTAGCAGAGTAAAAACCTAAACACGTTGCAGGATTCCCAAAAAAATAGACCAGAGGCAATCAATATTCCATCCAGCAGAGCTTTACTGCTACTGAAGGCAAATGAGCATAATGGTCACAGATCCAATACATTCAGGATTGGCACTGCCCATAAGAAATCCAGTTGCAGCAGACTTAACTTAAAGTTACAATAACTTACAATAAGTCTGAACCTTAACACTATCTGTGTACAGAACACCACACCAGAAGGAAAAGAGATAGAAATAGAAAGTGAAAGGAAATGAAATAAGTAAAAAAGATTGTAAACTTTTCCAATACGCAGTAACAGCGGCGAGAATACTTCTAGCCCAAAGATGGAAACAGGAAGAATTACCAACGGTTGAAGAATGGAGAACGAAATTGATGGACTTTGCAGAACTGGATAAATTAACAGGGAAGACTCGATATTTGCGAGACCAGAAGTTCATCGAGGACTGGGGGAAATTTACAGATTATCTGAAAAGTATATGTGATGAACAGACAACGCTTGTAGGATTTCAAGATGTTCTGTGAAAATATGAGGAATATTGTAAAAAAGGGAATAAAGATTGGGGAGGCTATATTTTAAAGGCAATATTAAAATTAGAAAATGTGTAAACAAATAAATAAAATGGAAGATTGGCAGAGAAACTGAGGGAAGTAAAAAAAAAGATGATTATGTGATAAATTTTGATAATGTTTGTACAAATTTATATTTGAAAATGAGTAAAAATATTTTTTTAAAAAAAGAAATAGAAAGTGAAACCCAGGCTCTTTCTGGCCTTACTTTTATAGTCAGCATGACCCTGACAGAAAGAGATAAGAGAACCAGTTTAAGCCAGCTGTACTCAGCTTCTCTGAAGGAATAACCCAAACATCATGAACTTTCTGCTTCTTTCTTTTACACAGAGAAGCTTCCAGAGCCCTCTTGAATTAGCCAGAAGAGGAAAGATCTCTACACATCAGATCAATGCTTTCTGCACTAAGAAATGCAAACTGACACAGCTTGCCAATAGCTACCAACAACAGCACAGGAAGCGAGAGGAGGAGGAGGAAGGGAGGAAGGGAGGAAGGGAGGGAGGGAGGGAGGGAGGGAGGGAGGGAGGGAGGAAGGGAGGAAGGAAGGAAGGAAGGAAGGAAGGAAGGAAGGAAGGAAGGAAGGAAGGAAGGAGCCTCCTAAATAGTTCATTGAATTTGTGTCCTTGTGTCCTTCGTAAAAATGGGTGACTTATCCCTGACTTCACTATTTGCTAAGGTGGAGGTGAATTGCGAGGGACACTTTGTTCCATCCCACAAATCACCAGGACTGGATTTATTTCATCCCTACCCAAAAACGAAATGCACATTTTCCAAAATTCAGATTGGAAATGTGCAAGGTTCAGATTGCAGTCGGATAATTCCTATAAACCAGAGTAATAATCCGAAAAGGTTTCAGCACTACTGGACTTGCCTCTGCACAGGAGGGTGCAAACAGGTCTGATGAAGTAACATTAAATGTCAATCCAGTCCGTCTCCAGCCAGAGATTAAGGCATTCACTTGGGAGCGTTGACATGGCGTCTGACCTGCATTAAAGTAATAGTCTTCCTCAGTCATGAAAGTTCCAGTCAGAATATCACCTTGCATTGTCAATCGCTTGTTCTGCCATACAGATGGGATGACAGCTGCAAGGACTGAAAACTAAGGATGCAATCCAGCCAAGTGTATTACCACAGCAAGTAGTTGCAAATTCAGACACACAGGGAAAGCAGTAAGGAGTCAAATCCATCCCTAGAGTAACTTTGATGACTTCAACAGAGCCAGAGGGAAAGGGGTGTGTGTGTGCGTGCGTGAAATATGCTCCCTGAATCTGCACTGAAACTGACTCTCAGAGCAAAGAAGTAGTTACAAAATACCGTATTTTTTGCTGTATAAGACACACCAGACCACAAGACGCACCTAGTTTTTGGAGGAGGAAAACAAGAAAAAAAATATTCTGAATCTCAGAAGCCAGAACAGCAAGAGGGATCACTACGCAGTGAAAGCAGCAATCCCTCTTGCTGTTCTGGCTTCTGGGATAGCTGCGCAGCCTGCATTCGCTCCATAAGACGCACACACATTTCCCCTTACTTTTTAGGAGGGAAAAAGTGAGTCTTATAGAGCAAAAAATATGGTACATCTCGTGTATCATGTACAGCTCATGGCCACCAATGGAATTTCTAAGGCATGACATTGGTCCATTTATGTGGGTCGTCTTATACATGGTTAGCAGCGGGCCAGTGGGTGACTGGTGGCAACAGCCAGCAGGAGATTGTCAGTGGCGAATGGGCTTGTGAATGGTTGCTGCGGCAAAGGCTGCTGGTGATTGGCTACAGCTGTGGCAATTGGTCGTGGTAGTTACGGCAGCAGCGAGGCATGTGTGCAACCAGCTGCAGTGACACCCCTCCCCCAGAAAAAGCTTAACAACCTTGGGCAATCCCCCCCCCATAAAATTTTGTTGCGGTCCAAAAAAATAGGGGTCTGCTTGTACATGAGGGCATGTTACACACTGAAAAATACGGTACAGATTCCTGCCTTGCAGTGGGTTGGCTTAGATGACCCTAGAGCCAGTGTGGTGTAGTGGTTAAGAGCAGTGGACTCATAATCTGGTGAACTGGGTTTGCTTCCCCGCTCCTCCACATGGCAGCTGCTGGGTGACCTTGGGCTAGTCACACTTCTCTGAAGTCTCTCAGCCCCACTCACCTCACAGAGTGTTTGTTGTGGGGGAGGAAGGGAAAGGAGAATGTTAGCCGCTTTGAGACTCCTTCGGGTAGTGATAAAGTGGGATATCAAATCCAAACTCTTCTTCTTCCTTAGGATCCCTACAATTCTATGATTCTATGACAAGGACAAAGCTTTGAAAGAGGAATACGACTTACACTGGGGCAGCTGTGTTGAGTGCGTCACCAGGGAATCTGATATATAGCGTCCTCTCTCATCCACACACCAGCAGTGGCCTAAGATGCAACAAAACATATATCTAATATCTGCAATAGTCAGATACCCTGGCACACTCAATTGTAGTGGATGGAATTGGACAACAGGTTCGAAATAATGGAATAAATTGCACCGAACTAGCCCTCGGCATCGTCTAAATTGGTTGCTATGCCCACAATCATCCTTTCCTAACTTGTTTATTTATAGATGAACTGATATTACAAAGGCACTGCTTGTCTCCATTTCTCTCTCTACCAGCGGAAGTCAATCCTGCAAAGGATGTGCTGATTCCCCAACATTTGCAAAGAAATGAAATGCTGGTTTTGCACTCTGCGCTTCCCCAAGCGCTATGAGCAAGTTCCAGGGGGCAACCTTTTACAGGTTCCATTCCTTGTGGTGAAAAATTATTGGCAAGAAGACCTGGTTTTTAAAAGCAGGAACTAGGAATCTTTTTTCCCCAGCTTGAGGGCCACATTGCTTTGTGAGCAACTTCCGGGGGCCACACGCTGGTGGTAAGGTAAAGGCAAAAAGGTAAAGGACCCCTGGATGGTTAAGGCCAGTCAAAAGCGACTATGGGGTTGTGGTGCTCATCTAGTTTTCAAGCCAAGGGAGACGCTGTTTGTCCGCAGACAGCTTTCCGGGTCATGTGGCCAGCAAGACCAAACTGCTTCTGGCGCAACGGGACACCATGTTGAGTGCCAGAGTGCACGGAAACACCGTTTACCTTCCCACGAAAGCGGTATCTATTTATCTACTCGCGCTGGTGTGTTTTCAAACTGCTAGGTTGGCAGAAGCTGGGAAAGAGCAACGGGAGCTCACCTCGTCACACAGATTCAAACCTCTGACCTTCCAAATGGCAAGCCCAAGGGACTCAGTGGTTTAGACCGCTACCCCAGTCCCTTGGTGGAGCCAGAGGGACAAGTGGGCAGAGTAATGGTGGCAACCCTTACCAATAGCTGATATACCAGCCACAGAAAAGTTAGCCAGGGTAGGGAACAGAGGGCCCAATGCAGCCCTCTCCAGGCTTCTGTGTCCAGGTCTTAATTCTCCCCCATCATATCACACCCCTCACCAGTCCTGTCCAACCCCCTCCTCAAACGGTTCTTCAACAGAATCTTTTGGGGGGCAGTAAAGGAAGAGGGGCCACAGAAACTAACCATGGCCTAGGACTCCTCAGCTGTCCTAAGTGCTGCCAACTGGCTTTTTTCACCCTCTCTCTCACCTGAGCTGTCATAACACTGGACAGGTAGCCAGTTCCCCAGCCCATCACACTGGGGGATGTAAGGCTGAAATCCCAAGCGCACGGCCTCTCCTGAGGAATTCTGGGATGTGGAGAAACTCCTCCAATAGAAACGCAAGGCTTCAAAGAAAAACAAGGAACAAAAGCATACGATCTCAGCAGGTATATTCAGCATGGAGAGGTAGACAAGCAAGCTGCTTTCCTGCAGGTTCATAAATAGCTGTGGACAACTGGACAGACTTGATTATTGTAACTCACTCTACATGGGGCTGCCCTTGAGACTGACCCAGAAACTCCAGCAGGTGCAGAATGCCGCGGCAAGACTCCTTACGGGGTCCTCGCCATAGGATCACATTCACCCGGTGCTATACCAGCTGCACTAGCTCCCGGTGGAGTACAGGGTCAGATTTAAGGTGCTGGTTTTAACCTTTAAAGCCCTATACAGCCTAGGACCCTCGCACCTACGGGACCGCCTCTCCTGGTATGTCCCACGGAGGACCTTACGGTCTTCAAACAAAGACATCTTGGAGATCCCGGGACACAGGAAGGTTAGGCTGGCCTCAACCAGAGCCAGGGCTTTTTTGGCCATGGCCCTGATCTGGTGGAACGCTCTGTCACAAGAGAATAGAGCCCTGCAGGACTTGACATCTTTCCGCAGGGCCTGCAAGACAGAGCTGTTCCACCAGGCCTTTGGCCAAGGCACAGTCTGACCCCCTCCTTCTGTAATCCTCATAGAACTCTAGCCCAATGGTTGCCATTAATTTGATTCTGAATTGATTTTAGAATGTATTTCAATTAACTGATTATGATTTTATTTTATGTAAACTGTGTTATTTTTACTGTTGTTAGCCGCTCTGAGCCCAGCTTTGGCTGGGGAGGGCGGGATATAAATTTATTATTATTATTATTATTATTATTATTATTATTATTATTATTACTACTACTACTACTACTACTACTACTACTACTACTACTTTTGCATCTGTGGCATGACTTCCCTCCAAGGTCAAATGACACCTTTTCTCCAAGGTGACCTGCATGGTTCTTCCCCTCTTCATTTTATCCTCGCAATACCCTTGTGAGGTACATTAGCTGGAGAGGCCATGACTGTCCAAGGTCGCCTGGCAAGCTTAATGGCCGAGTGGGGAATTTGAACCCAAGTCTCCCAGGTCTTAGGCTCAATGCTGCTACCTCACACATTGAGGAACTGCTACCTCACACATTGTTAACAGTAATTTATTGATTGTCATCTACAACATCATCTCAAGGCGATGTACAATCAAAATGGCAAAAAAACAACAAGTTTTTTTGTTTGTTTTTTAAAACCCAGATACATTTGAAACAAAACTAAAACAAGACAAAATGGACACTGGTGGCAAAGACTGATTTATCTAGCTGAGAAAGCCTGGAAAAGTGGGAGTTTGCCATGGATATCTATTTCCTATTGTATTTTAGCCCCAGTAGCTGTTTCCCCCAGTTTCGGGAGAGGTTGATGTTCAGCAGAGCAATGGCAAGGTGCTTATGCCACCTTGGGCTCCATGGAGAAAACGGTGGGATGAAAATGTCATATATACATATATATACATACACACATAACAGCCCTCAACAGGGTACCACATTGGCTGTCTTCATTAACTGGTAATGGGTCTCCAGGGTTTCAGAAAGAGGTCTTTTCCAGCCCTTCCCTAAGATGCCATGGAGACCATCTTTTGCATTATTCCCCCACCCTCTGGCAAATGGGAAACCAGAACCAGCTTCTTCAAGATCCCCCAAGGGCCTGATTGGTTATCTAACTCTCCCATAAGAGTCCACCTGGCCAACAAAAGTTGAGGTCCCTCCACCAAAAATAACATCTGTTTCACCAGATCAACAGAAACCATTCTCCCCACCCACCCACCCACCCCCATTCCAAACATACTCGATTGCGCAGCCAGCCGAATGGCGTAATCGCTTCCGGTCAGCAGCCCTTCTGAAATCGTGATGCTCGCCGATGGAGAAATATCGCTCAGGAGCTCTTCATCTGTCAGTGTGATGCCTTTCGCTACTAAAAAACTCTGCCCAAAAGGAAAGTGGGAGCTGTTGGAGTCCTTAATGAGTTGCTCCACTTTGCTAACGAATTGCATGGCGTCTCGCTTGGTGGCTTCACACTCTCCAGGGCCTGTCAGAAGGGGAAAGTATTGTTATGGGTGTAAGAAGGCATTGGTTTCCGTTCCGTTCCATTCCTCCCTGTATATGTTGCTTGCAATGCTGTCTCCCTTCCACTGCAGTTCGCTTTCCGTTGAAAATTACAATATTCACCTCACTGTCCGCCGTGGTTGAATTATGCTATTTACATGATTCATTGTGTAACTTACGTTGTCAGCATGTTATTCCACCTCATTCATTTCAGCACAATGGAAGCACAATGCAAATCACGGGAGGCAGCAAAGGGAAGAATTGGGGGGGGGAGGCTAGGAGAAGAAAGGGAAGCTCTCAGGTGAGAGTTAGGAGGGTCCACCCCTCTCTGCGTGAGATAAGGGTTAAGGTCTACCTTTGAGAGAGGACTTTGCATTTTCCTTTCTCTTTCTGCTTTTGCTTTTGTTCAGACTATTTTGTTTTATATTGCACTGTATTATGAAAAGCCTTAATAAAATATTATTTTAAAAAGATGGCCACTAGTCCTAACTTTAAATCTAACTCTATGAGCTGCCCTCAGAGCTGGCCAGCAGCTCTCTGTATATGACTGCAGGGGAAGGAGAGCTGGAGAAGGCAACTGCCATCAAGTGGGCTATCTATAAACGTGGAAAACAGGAACATATTTTCATCATGGGAACAGTTACGGAAAGAGGATTTGAAGTTTACAGCCTGCTGTTCATTGAAAGAAAATTACAGTGGTACCTCGGGTTACAGGTGCTTCAGGTTACATACGCTTCAGGTTACAGACTCCGCTAACCCAGAAATAGTACCTCGGGTTAAGAACTTTGCTTCAGGATGAGAACAGAAATCGTGTTCCGGCGGCGCAGTGGCAGCGGGAGGCCCCATTAGCTAAAGTGGTGCTTCAGGTTAAGAACAGTTTCAGGTTAAGAACGGACCTCCGGAATGAATTAAGTACTTAACCCGAGGTACCACTGTATATGAAAATGATGTACTGTTGGTATTTGACACCTCATAAAATTGCGAAAATGTATAGAAAGAGTTCAAATGTGTGTTGGAAATGTAAAGGGAAAGAGGGTGCTTTTTACCATATATGGGGGCTATGTGGAGCGGTAAAATCTTTCTGGGAAATGAAATATAAAGAGTTGAAAAAAATGTTTAAGATAACTTTTGTTTAAAAAAAACAGAGGACTTTTCATTAGGTATTATAGGTGCGGAACTACCAAAGAAAAAAGAGAAAATACTGTTTATGTATGCAAGGACAGCAGCAAGGATGCTTCTTGTCCAGAGATGGAAAGAAGAAGTACTGAAAGGAGAAGAGTGGCAAACCAAGCTGGTGGAATATGCAGAAATGGCGAGACAGACGGGAAAGATCAGAAATCAGGAAGACCAAGTATTCTTAACAGACTGGAATAATTTTCTAAAATATTTGAAAGACCACTGTAAACAGCTGAAATCATTGGCAGGAATACAATGACACTTGCAAAGTAATATTAATTTTGGATACTATGATTATATGACAAAGGTAAAGGGACCCCTGACCATTAGGTCCAGTTGTGGACGACTCTGGGGTTGCGTGCTCATCTCGCTTTATTGGCCGAGGGAGCCGGCGTACAGCTTCCGGGTCATGTGGCCAGCAGGACTAAGCCGCTTCTGGCGAACCAGAGCAGAGCACGGAAATGCTGTTTACCTTTCCGCCATAGCGGTACCTATTTATCTGCTTGCACTTTTGATGTGCTTTCGAACTGCTAGGTTGGCAGGAGCAGGGACCGAGCAATGGGAGCTCACCCCGTCACGGGGATTTGAACCACCGACCTTCTGATTGGCAAGTCCTAGGCTCTGTGGTTCAACCCACAGCGCCACCCGCGTCCCATATGACAGATAGATCACAGTAAAATACGCAAGAATAAAATTTAGAATTGGAACCCATGGAGGGAAGGGAAGAGGCCTGAAGTTTCGAAAGAACCCCTTTTTAATGTTGATTATGTTACGTTTGTTGTGTACAACTTTTGTGTAAAACTAATGCAAAAATGTATATATATAGAAAAGGAAAGCAGGAGGCTGGACTAATCCACCACGGCTCTTCATATGCCAGTCCAGAATTAATTGTAGAAATCCTCCTAGTTAAACTGCCGGTTAGGAGGAACGGAATAGCAATCAGAGTGAACTCATGGAACAAAGGGGAAATGTATTTGGCCTCAGATTCTCATTTATTCTTACATTTCCTTCTGTTTCCACTGTCTGGATATATATCCTTAGCGTTCTCATGGAGATGAGAGACTGCCACAAACTTTATATTAATCTGGTATGTAGCACTGCAGACACAACTGTCACATATCCTGTGTCAGAGCACACCCCAGAGGACTAGGGAAGAGATTCCTAAGAGATTCCCTTGTTCACTCCTTGGTCCTTCCTCTTTAAAAACAATGCAAGGCTATATTCCCAGCCCTTATTATATGAAGGCACGTTTGAAAACCTGCGAGCAATTTCCAGCAGTTGCAGAGTCAGGTTCATGTATTTATTCCTTTGCAATGTCCACTACTGTGAGCCCTCTCAGCAACTTAGGTCATCCAATGTCTTCCTCCTAGTCCAGGCACCCAATTCATAAAATGCAATACCGCCTTGTTGAAAAGCATTCCACTTCAGCAAAATCACTGTTCATCGTATTACGGACCAGCAGCCTCATACTTGGTCCTGCTCAGGAATTCTAAGAAACCTAAAAAATCAGCACAGTTCTGTAAGGATCCGTGCACAACCTCAATTCAAAGTGGCACCATTTTTTGAGTCGTTCCGCAAGACGAATTTCCCTATGGGCTTGCTTCACAAGACGAAACGTCTTGCGAGTTTGTTTCCTTTTTCTTAAAGCCGCTAAGCCACTAAGCCGTTAATAGCCGCTAAGCCGCTAAGCCGCTAAGCCGTTAATAGCCGCTAAGCCGCTAATAGCCGTGCTTCGCAAGACGAAAAAACCGCAAGACGAAGAGACTCGCGGAACGGATTAATTTCGTCTTGCGAGGCACCACTGTACAGACGGAAACCTGATCTCAGGAGCCATCACGCTAATTTGGTTACCATATCTTAAGAGGTGTCCAAATACATAGGAAACAAGAAACTCTCCAAAATATAGAGTACAGTGGGTTCGAAAATCGAAAACTCAATAGCTGACAGCTAGGCCTCAGGATCTTGTGCTCAGCAGAAACCACGTGGCATGTTCAACCTCCGAGGCATGTTCGAAAACTGAAGCTTTTACTTCCGTGTTTATGGCATTCAAAAACCGAAACGTTAGTCAACGGAGACGTTTGAAAACCGAGGTACCACTGTAGATGTTTCACCCAGTCCAGATTTGGTCTGGATCACAGTCTTCACCAAACTGGTGTCCTCTGGCTGTTTGGGACTACAAGTCCCATCATGGCTGTCCTGGCTGTGCCTAATGGGTGCCAGATTTGCATATAAACTAAACAAGCTATAGCTTAGGGCTTCACTCTCTTGCCCCCCACCCAAAATAAAATTCACTATTAATATACTTTTTCTTAATTGTATTTCAGTTCAGCAATTACTTTGATAAAATGCATATTTTGTTATGAGCAAATGGCTTTAGATACCTATTAGGTCCATAAATTACCATATTGCATATATTCAACACAAAAACAGCAACAATTTGTTGTTGACAAAGGACAGCTGGACATATAAAGGGCCCCATTACCTTCAGTAGCTTAGGGCCTCATCAAGCCTAAATCTGGCCCTGTTCCAAATCCTCAAGTTGGCCAAAGTTGGCATGGACATTTATAGTACAATTTAACCACAAGGTCTAATGACTAGGGTGAGTTACTTACAGTCCGGGATCTTGTTCACATCAGCTTCCTTTCCTTGCATTTGCCCCCTTTCATCAGCGCACCAGCAATTGCGAAGGTCAAAGTGTCCTAGCAGGGTGCTGAAATCGCTGAAAGATCCTGGGTAATGAGTGAGGTGTCCCTGAAGGAGCTGCCAAAACGTGAACGGCTCCAGCAAGACATTCTGTGATGGACCTCCTGTGGTCTTGCCTTCCAGCACTTCTTGAGGAACTTCGTCAAAGGAAGGAAATTTGGCAAACTCTGGAAAGACCTTCTGGTGGCCGGCACTGTAAAGGATTTTGACGAAGTCTTCAAAGCTTTGCTGAGATCTCTCTTTATAGTTGAGCAGGATGCCCACCAAATCACCGAAAGGAAGAGCCCTGCCATTATTATTCTGGCTGATCCACCTTTGATACCACTCAAAAGTTTGTTCCGGGGGGCCATTGCATTGGACCTGCCTCCACCGACCATCGAGACCACACTGTGGGATGTAGACGCTGGACAGCTTAGGCAGGGACGAAGGTTCCAGTAGAAGTTGCTGCACAGTTCTCAGGAAAGCCCGACCGCCTGCTAGCTGGCAATCACTCGGACCTACAGGAGGCAAAGACAACACGGCTTGCTAAGCACGCAATAAAGAGTTGAAGGGAGCATTGCAACATTCAGTTGTGTCATTGGTCAGATTATTTCCAGAGGGTGTCAACACGAGAACGGGCCTTCTCTGTAGTGGCTCCCATTTGTGGAATGCTCTCCCCAGGGAGGTTTGCCAGATACCTTTATTATATGTTTTAAGGTGCCAGGCAAAAATGTTCCCCTTCAACCAGGCCTTTACCTTTACAGCATTTTAAATGTGTTTGTGGGAAGGGGTGGGGTACTGTTTTGCTATTTTGTTTAACTTATTTTCATGTTTTTATCCTGTATTTTATTCTTTGAACCGCCCTGAGATCTTATGAGGAACGATGGTATATAAATCTAACAAATACTGTAAGAAAATAAAAATTCATGAGGTAAAAAAAATCATTAAAAGGTATGCCTGATTAATTGGGGAGCAGACAAAAAAAATATATGGCGAGTGGCAGATATTATGGTAAAAAGAGGATTGTTTCTTCTCTCACACATGGCTCCTAGTCTGTTCCTCATGTGCGTCATCAAACAAAACCTGTACTTCCCCCCTACAGAACAATTGGCTCTATTTTTCTGCAGATCTAAAAGACTGTCTAATAAATTAATGCTCAGATAAGATTTATTCGGGACGCGGGTGGGCACTGTGGGTTAAACCACAGAGCCTAGGACTTGCCAATCAGAAGGTTGGCGGTTCGAATCCCCACGATGGGGTGAGCTCCCATTGCTCGGTCCCTGCTCCTGGCAACCTAGCAGTTCGAAAGCACGTCAAAGTGCAAGTAGATAAATAGGTACCGCTCCGGTGGGAAGGTAAACGGCGTTTCCATGCTCTGCTCTGGTTCGCCAGAAGCGGGTTAGTCATGTTGGCCACATGACCCGGAAGCTGTACGCCAGCTCCCTCAGCCAATAAAGCGAGATGAGCGCCGCAACCCCAGAGTCGGTCATGACAGAGTCGGGTCAGGGGTCCCTTTAAGATTTATACAGTCATTTGACAGACATGATTTTATCCAAATATGAATCTGCTTCACAGAAGAAGGGCTGGAGCTCAGCCAGAGGGATTTCAGCACTGGTAAACTCAAGACCTGACTACTGCAATTTGCTCTGTGTGGGGCATCCCTTGGGCCTGGGTCCAGAAGCGGCAGCTGGAGCAAAATGCTGCAGTTAGACTGCTGCAAGAGACAGGCTTTAAAAACTAAAAACACAAGAGTCTTTTAGCAAAAGAAAAATCAGAGCATGTACACATGTGGAAATACAAGATAGGGAACTTACACTGCAAGGGCTGTTCAGCAGTTGCACCTTTTCCAGGAATAGTCCTGCCTTCAGAATCGAAGCAGACACAATTTCTTCCATGGCACTGAACCGGCAGGAATTTCCCTTCCTGGGTACATGAAGGAACAAACAGCTCAGAACCAGCCGGCTGGAGTCTTTGCAAGCGTTGGAGGTCTTCCCTCTGCTTTTCGCACAGGGTGGGGCACCTTGGGCGTGAGCCACGGACTCTGGATCCCAGGATCTCTTTGCCACGTGAGTCCACACACCAGCAAGCACCCGCATAGCACTGCACTTCTTCGTAGTTCCCTGCTTCTGTGCAAACCGGGACAAACAAACTCTTGCCTTCCTCTGCGCAGTCTTTGGATCTCAGCGCAATCCTCACGACGTCACCCAAATCTTCGGCAATGCTCTCGGGGACCGAAACCACGTGTTGCAAAAATACGAAGAACTCTGGGGCTTCAAGGAGGGAAGCTAGAGATCTGACGGCATTCTGGTTGTCCTGCAAATTGACAGTGCGGCCAAAACTGTCTATGACAGGCTGGCTCAGATTGAACCTCTCTGGTGGGATTTCCAGAGAAAGTCGTCGAGCCAGTTCACTGAATCCACCGCTCACCCCTCTCTGCCGGAAATACTGGTCCAAATTAAATTTGCCATTGGGGCCAAGGGCTCCTGTGAAGTTGAACTGGACCACGTTCTTCAAGAACTTCCCACCAAACAGGTTTTCTTGGAACCACTTGGGGTTGCTGGTGAAGCGGAGGGCGATGCGAGCAAGATCTCTCGAAGGAAACATCCCTCCGATAGCTTCGCTGATGGTGGATTCCAGGGCGAGCAGCTGAGAATCACTTGGTTTGTCTATGATGGAAGACAGCAGGCCTGAATCCACAAACAGCTCCTTGAATGATGGAGGACAAGATCTTGAGGACTCGGCTATCCGCTGCGGCTCTTGAGTGGAGGAGAATAAATGGTCCTGGCCAAAGCGTCTGATGGGGCCATAAAACAACCTGGAGAGAGCTCGCCGTCTCTCAGAGACACAGGTAAGTTCCTTGCCTAGACAAAGGAAAAGATGCTGCAGATGTAATACAGTGGTACCTCGGGTTACATACGCTTCAGGTTACATACACTTCAGGTTACAGACTCCGCTAACCCAGAAATAGTGCTTTAGGTTAAGAACTTTGCTTCAGGATGAGAACAGAAATCAGGCTCTGGCGGCGCAGCGGCAGCAGGAGGCTCCATTAGCTAAAGTGGTGCTTCAGGTTAAGAACAGTTTCAGGTTAAGTACGGACCTCTGGAACGAATTAAGTACTTAACCCAAGGTACCACTGTATTTGTCCAAGCTAGATTACTGGGAAGTTTTCCAAAGGAAAAACATTGTGGAAGGGGTGTTTCTAGGACTTTAAAGCTCCCTTGTTATTTTTGCAATCGTGTTTTATAGAGTCGTTTTTGTTTTTGTTTTTATTATGCATTTTATGTTTTTATATTGTGATTCCCCCCCCCTTTTGAATCGCCCTGAGACCCGTGGGTATAGGGAGGTATACAAAATTAATAAATAACAACATATAATAATACTTAAATGTTGCTTTTTTGGTATGCTATTATATTTGCTATTGTGTTGTTTTGCTGCGCTGTTGCAAAATTGTTTTTACATTGCTCGGCTTCGAAATGCATTCCTGCTTTCTTTTTGGTCTGCTGCTTTGAGCATTCGTGTGGAAAAGCGGTATACAAATGAATTGAATGAATGGATTTTGATGTGTTTTCTTAAGAACATAAGAAGAGCCTGCTGGGACAGGCCAATGGCCCATCTAGTCCAGCCTCTTGTTCTCAGGGTGGCCAACCAGATGCATTGCGGAAACCTATAAGTAGGACCCAAAAACAAGAGAACTCTCCCCTCCTGTGGCTTCCAGCACCTTTCTCGCCCTGACCTAGGCTCTGTGATCCACGCTACGGTCACCTCCAGACTTGATTATTGTAACTCACTCTACGTGGGGCTGCCCTTGAGACTGACCCAGAAACTCCAGCAGGTGCAGAATGCCGTGGCGAGACTCCTTACGGGGTCCCTGCCGTGGGATCACATACTCCCGGTGGAGTACAGGATCAGGTTTAAGGTGCTGGTTTTAACCTTTAAAGCCCTATACGGCCTAGGACCCTCGAACCTACGGGACCACCTCTCCTGGTATGTCCCACAGAGGACCTTACTTACAGTCTTCAAATAAAAACATCTTGGAGGTCCTAGGCCACAAAGAGTTTAATCTGGCCTCAACCAGAGCCAGGGCTTTTTCGGCTGTGGCCCTGATCTGGTGGAACGCTCTGTCACGAGAGACCAGGGCCCTGCGGGACTTGACATCTTTCCGCAGGGCCTGCAAGACGGAGCTGTTCCACCAGGCCTTTGGCCAGGGCACAGCCTGACTCCCTCCTTTGGCAATCTTCACAGAACTCTAGCCCAATGGTTGCCATTAAGTTGATTCTGAATTGATTTTAGAATGAATTGATTTTCGAATGTATTTTAATTAATTGATTGTGATTTTATGTAAACTGTGTTACTTTTAATGTTGTTAGCTGCTCTGAGCCCGGCTTCGGCTGCAGAGGGCGGGATATAAATACAATTATTATTATTATTATTATTATTATTATTATTATTATTATTATTATTATTGCTGCCCCCATCTTTGGAGACAGAGAACAGCCATCATGGCTAATAGCCACCAACAGCCCTTCCATCCATCAATTGTCTAATTCTCTTTTAAAGCCATCTGGGTTGGTGGCTTTCACTGCCCACATTTGGGCGTGACTACACTGCTTTAAGAAGTATATTCTTTTGTAAGTTCTGTCTCCCTAAAGCAGATAGAAATTCATTCATGTATGTTACTACAGCGGCAAGAATGCTACTTGCCCCAAAATGGAAAGAAGCAAAAGTCCCACGAAAGGAAGACTGGATACAAAAACTTACGGAATATGCAGAAATGGCAAAACTTACCGGAAGAATAAGAGATCAAGATAACAATTTTTTTCATAAAAGAATGGAAATGGTTTATTGAATGTTTACAGATAAATTGTAAACAGATAAAAATATTGGCAGGATTATTGTAATAACCTGCAGTTTCATAAGAGTATGTATTTAAAGAAGATGACTAAACGAGCAAATTAAGTTCATTTGGATATGAGGAAGATATTAATAATAAATTTAAGGAACCATAGAAAGAGGGGGAAGCAAGTCAAGTTTTAAAATGTCAAAATGATTGTGAAATTAGTGAAATGTGTAAACTTGAAAAGTGTGTGTGTGTGTGTGTGTGTGTGTGTGTGTGTGTGTGAAGTACAGTCATACCTTGGTACCTGAACGCCTTGGTACTTGGATGTTTTGGCTCCTGAATGCCGCAAACCTGGAAGTGAGTGTTCGTTTGCGAACGTTCTTTGGAACCCAAACGTCCGAAAGGGCTTCTACGGCTTCCGATTGGCTGCAGGAGCTTCCTGCAGCCAATCGGAAGCTGCACTTTGCTTTCTGAATGTTTTGGAAGTCGAACGGACTTCCGGAACAGATTCCATTTGACTTCCAAGATACGACTGTATCTTCTTTTATGTATCCTGTTCTTCAGAATGAAGCACAGGCCAGATAACCCAACAGAGCTGTTCTAAGGCTCTAGTTTCACATACCACAGGATAAATCCTGCCCTTTCTTTCTTGTGCCAAGAAGTTCCTGCCCATTGGCATCCACACACCAGCACTGCCCATCCAGCTGGCACTGGGTTGTCTCATAGGCTCCATTATCATCACAAGTTGGCCTGTAACTCTGTTCAAAACGAATGGCGGTGGATCTTTCGGTTTCACACTTGGAGGGACCTGCGAAGGAAACAGGAGGAAAAGATGGGAGCTAATCAGAATGATTTGCACTGACTTCTGTGTTCGACCAGCAATCAATCCCTAAAGAGATTAGAACCCAATTGCTTGTTATTTTTATTTACATAGTCATAGCTCCACTTTCGCTTAAGATATCACAGGGCAATAAACAGACTAAAAATGCAGTATTACAATAAAAACATCAAACACATCAGCAAGACCTGCTTGGCAAAGAATCTCATGTTTGAATGGTCTGTCTGAATAACAGAGGTTTTTAGAAGTTGCCTAAAAGCAACCTCTAGTGGCAAGGAGTTCCACAGGACAGGTCTTGCCACACTAAAGTCTCAGCCAAACCTCAGGACTACCAAAAGTGACCCCATCAGAAGAACTCAGCAGTCGAGGTGGAGTGTAAGGAAACAGGCAGCCCTTACTTTGCAGCTTGGGTGAATTAGATGGAAAAGGTCACTTACAGTTTATGGAGTTCAAAGGTTTAGTTCACACAGGAACTATTTAGAGGACGAGTGGAGATGAGAGAGGGAAAATAGGAGGCATACTGTCCAGAGCCAAACAAAATGGCTCAGCTTTTAGAGGTGGTTAACTAAGACAGAGAGGCTTACAAACAAGCGGTGGCTAGATTGCTACACAAACCCTTATGTGGTTTAAACTAACACACGCATTAACTAGAAGTTCAGGAGGAGGAAATGTATTTGCTTTCCTCCAACATTCTGGGCCTTTGTGAATTTACACAAAAGCCTTGAAGTTGGTAGCCTATTGGTAACTACAGTATAACTAACTTCTGGTGATGTGCTGCCTCTTTTCTGGAGATGCATAAATAGCCACCTGCCAAAGACCATGTGTCAATACTTCATCTCCTAGTGGACAGCGAACAATATACCCTTCCTGGTGCTTCTGACTACAGCCCTCATCAGCACAGCCAATGGCCAGGGAAGACAGGAGCTGTTGTGGTCCTGTTGTAGATTAATTCTGTTGTAGGTTAATTCTGTGCCCAGGGCAGCTGTCTACCAGCTCCATCTGGTACGCAGTCTGAGACCCTACCTGCCCGCAGACTGTCTCGCCAGAGTGGTGCATGCTCTAGTTATCTCCCACTTGGACTATTGCAATGCGCTCTACGTGAGGCAAACTTTGAAGGTGACCCGGAAACTGCAATTAATCCAGAATGCGGCAGCTAGACTGGTGACTGGGAGTGGCCGCTGGGACCTGAGAGATCTGCATTGGCTCCCAGTATGTTTCCAAGCACAATTCAAAGTGTTGGTGCTGACCTTTAAAGCCCTAAACGGCCTCGGTCCTGTATACCCGAAGGAGCGTCTCCACCTCCATCGTTCAGCCCGGACACTGAGATCCAGCTCCAAGGACCTTCTGGCGGTTCCCCCTCATTGCGAGAAGTGAGCTTGCAGGGAACCAGACAGAAGGCCTTCTCGGTGGTGGCGCCCACCATGTGGAACGCCCTCCCTTCAGATGTGAAGGAAATAAGCAGCTATCTTATCTTTAAAAGACATCTGAAGGCAGCCCTGTTTAGGGAAGTTTTTAATATTAAATGCTGTATTGTTTTTAACAATAGATTGGGAGCTGCCCAGAGTGGCTGGGGAGGCTCACCCAGATGGGTGGGGTATAAATAATAAATTATTATTATTATTATTATCATCATCATCATCTAGCAGCATCTGGAGGGCTTCAGATTGACTCCCTTTGTTTAAATTTAGTGCATTCAAGTTACCATGCCTTACAGTCTTAGGTGCTACATACATCTGAATCTGCCAGTTGTAGCCAATTGAACTCCCAGAAAGCGTCTCTGCAGGATTCTGTACATGCTGGTTTCAGCGAAAGACGGAACAGGCTCCAGCGATGCAAAAATAGTGTCATAAACATTCTCAAGTAGCATTTCTAGACCTGGAAAGGGAAATAGCATTGTAAGTGCCGGATCATGTGCTGAGATATTGCCCCCCTCCACAAAAAACCAACCAACCATGAAGGTAACATGCCTAAAACAAAATCTGTTGTTCTCTTTTATAAAGCTTCATTTGCACAACAGAGCTCCCTGTTCTTCTCTAGTTCCCACACCATCAAATTCCCCTATAGAAGGCTGGGGGCCCCTCCAGAGCAGATTATGGGGAAGGAGCAGGGAAAAAACCCCATTGCTCACACTGTGCTGGATGCATCCCATAATTCCCCATGTTTATAAGAAGAGCAACAAAACTGTATAAATTTGGCACATGCTAAAAGTCTTTTTTTTTTTCTTTACCCAAGCCTTTTCTGACTGACGCTTAACTATATTCAATGTCCTTGGTTTCATTCATCTGTATAGAATATTGTTCTTGAGACTTAAAGTTTATATGTAAACCTGCATTGCATTGTATGTACAGTATTGATTTCATGGCACAACCACCTGGCTATGCCAATTTAAAGCATTATATAAAGAAAGAAAAATTTTCAATTAGAAAACAACCACAGAAAGATTCTAAAATCTGAACTCTGAGACATTAACATTTTGTTCTTCTTAGTCAAGTTGGCGGGGGAGGGAGCAGTTTTGAGGTGTTAGTGCTGAAATTTTCGGCTGTGAGATCTGAATTTTGCCACACACACACACACCAGAGTTCCAAAGTCGAATTTGACTTTCTCTCCAGCCATTTTGAATAATGGGCATTCGCCGCATGTCAAATGATTGTGCGAAATTTTGTATTCAGCAAAAGACCGGATTCGGCAAACACCTACCAGTATCCTCCAGCTCTCGCCCTAGACTGTCAGCGCAGTAACAGTACCCAGAGACTTCTGGGAACATGCGGCTGAAGGATCTGAATGTCAAGAACGCTTCTGGGAATCTAAAAGGAAAATCAACATGCATCACAGGTGACATAGCAAACCCTCGTAACACTTCCACTCCCCATCTGATTTTGAGGGGGAAATAGCGTTAAGATACTAGATTTGGGTTGGTCAAACATGCTAAACCTTCAAGGATCCATCTTGGGAAGTAAATGAACGTGAGCTTTGAAGGACACGATCGCCAGATCCTGTACGAACAGAGAGTTTGGTGGCAATGCACCTGAAGATTTGCCCCACTACTTACTGGTTTGCCCAATCTAGGAAGATTTATCAGCATTCTCATTGAAAGATTTACATTTCTCAGTTGGGAGATTGAGTGGTTATTTGATTAACTTTTTATTAGGAGGCAGGTCCTCCTTACACCTCTAAAAAAGTGCCTGTTCTGCCTTTAGACCAGCAAATTTAGGGATAAAAGTTTTTGGAGGTGTTAAGTTAAATTCTCCAGGGGAGCAAACCCTTATCTGATGGAATATCTGGTTTTCATAATTATTTAAAATGCGTAATGCATTTCATTCTGTTTTATTTTATCTTTTGTAACGCCTTAGGCTAAAGAAAATGAATAAAGATTAATAATAAGAATTATCTGGTTGTGGAATCTCAATAGCTAGAGAACACCATCTGAGCAATTTAATCTTTGGGGGGGTTATTGCAAACCTTGCTCTCTTCCTCACTGCAGCTGGCACATTCAAAGAAACTCATCTCCCATAATGCTGGTCCTGCGGTCTTCTACAGTTGCTGAAAGAGCAATTCATTTCTTCGGTTTCCCCCCAATTTGGATTGATTAGAAAGATCAACTTCATTCAGCCAGCCGTGGTGGCTGCAACATTTAAGGCTTTCCTGCCCTCTAGTGTCATCTGTCACTTTGAACATATTTTCTCTGTGCCGTTGAGTGAAAGAGCTCTGCTGAGTTCATTGAGGTCAGGGATGGTGGCCAGATGTTATTGAGCTCCCATCTGCCCCAACCAGCAAGGCCAATTGTTGGGGATAAAGGGAGTTCTAGTCCAACAGAATTATTGTGCTGGAGGAGACTCTTGAGAGTCCCATGGACTGCAAGATCAAACCTATCCATTCTTAAGGAAATCAGCCCTGAGTGCTCACTGGAAGGACAGATCTTGAAGCTGAGGCTCCAAGACTTTGGCCACCTCATGAGAAGAGAAGACTCCCTGGAAAAGACCCTGATGTTGGGAAAGATGGAGGGCACAAGGAGAAGGGGACGACAGAGGACGAGATGGTTGGACAGTGTTCTTGAAGCTACCAACATGAGTTTGACCAAACTGCGGGAGGCAGTGGAAGACAGGAGTGCCTGGTGTGCTCTGGTCTCTGGGGTCACGAAGAGTCGGACATGACTAAACGACTAAACAACAACAACAAGTCCAACAGCAACAGGAGGAGGAGCACAAGTTCTCCTTCCTTAACTGCATTTACCACCAGTCCCAGCATCTCATGTTCTTTCTTTCCACCAATGTCCCAGCCCTGGAAAGGTGTGCCATCTCTCCCACAACACCCAGGCTCTTCTTGGTCACAGACCAACCATGAGGGCTAGAATGCCTTCCCATATTTGCTAAAGTAACAGCATGTCTTTTACTCCTACCTGCTAAAATGGTGAACAAGGTCAAAGACCATCCTGTCCGTTGTGTTGATAAACTTGCATTGGACAGGCAGGAATTCTCCATCAGCTGAACACTGGGGCGGGCTCTTTTCTCCGACGTTGTGCAGGATGCGGCGGTCTCGGATCTCACATTTCCCAGGGCCTGGCAAGCAAAAGGCATAGGGGTTTGTTGAGATGTCACCTTAGTACATGGGAGTCTTTGTGGGAGGGGAAAGCACTCTTCCAGATTTCATCTCATTACTACAGAATTCTTGTTCTTGCCATCTGTCTGTCTCAAGAGCCAGTGGAGTACGTCTCCCTTTTGGGACGCAAGCCTGGGCAGTGTGTCTGAAGGTCCTGGGCTGCCCAGATGACACGACCCCCCTCTCGTCCTCACTGATGTGGTTCAAAGAAAAGCAGGGCAATACATTTTGCACCAGCTTGGCTGCAGGAGTTGCTGGAAGGAGACGCACAGGATGTCATCCAAACACCTTAGGTTTACTCCTCACACTTGTCTTTTCACAAGGTAGCAGAGGTTTAGGATCAGAGTTTTCCTTCTTTTAGATGGGCTACCTTCCCAGGTTGACCAGCCCCATCTGCCCCTAACATCCCTCTACAGAACATGCAGAAACTGCCTCCTTAACCATTGGGAGTCCACTCAATCCACCAGAGCCTGTCTTTGTATGCAGAGGAAGTTTCTAGCTCACTGAGGATCTGAGACCCATCAGCTACCCTCACCTGGTTTAGTGGGCCAGTCAAAGCCGTTCCCAGGGTGTGGCCGCTGTCGCATGCTGACATCTTCTAGGAGCCACAGGGGAGTGCAGGGTGGGGACCAAAGGTGACCAAGCTGCCCCAGAAGGAGCATGACATGTCCCCCACCAGAACTACCCCTCCCCTAACACCACATAGTAAAGGTAAAGGGGCCCCTGACCATTAGGTCCAGTTGTGACCGACTCTGGGGTTGTAGCGCTCATCTCGCTTTACTGGCCGAGGGAGCCGGCGTACAGCTTCCGGGTCATGTGGCCAGCATGACTAAGCCACTTCTGGCGAACCAAAGCAGCGCACGGAAACGCCATTTACCTTCCCACTTGAGCGGTACCTATTTATCTACTTGCACTCTGACGTGCTTTCGAACTGCTAGGTTGGCAGGAGCTGGGACCGAGCAACGGGAGCTCACCCTGAATTCGAACCGCCGACCTTCTGATCGGCAAGTCCTCGGCTCTGTGGTTTAACCCACAGTGCCACCCGCGTCCCTTCCTAACACCCCATACTGCGCTGCAAACTGGGATGACCTCTGTTTAAAATCTTGATTCTGCTATGAATAATGGCAAGGAAGGAAGGAAGGAAGGAAGGAAGGAAGGAAGGAAGGAAGGAAGGAAGGAAGGAAGGAAGGAAGGAAGGAAGGAAGGAAGGAAGGTGGAATAAATGGACGATCCCATTTTAACAGAACACGACTTACATCGCTTAGGCTTCCCTCTCTGCCTCGTGCCATAAACCTCCATCCCTTCAGAATCCACACACCAGCACTGACCCAGGCCAGAATCACATTGTATGGGGTCAAAGTCACCGGAATCCAGACATTGTGGGATGTAGGAAGCTGTGCTGCCGTTGACAACCCGACCAAGCAGGATCTGCTGCTTCTGCAGCTGGCAGAAGGATAAACCTATGGCAGGGAAGAAACGTCATTAAATCTGGGGTATTTCCAGGCTTTGAGATACCACCCCAAAATTGTCCTTATTGTTAGGAGTGGCCATGTGGCCCTTGGAAGTAGGGTTGCCACCCGTCCCTAGGAAAACAGGATTGCCCCGTTTTTGGAAAAAAGTGCCCCCTGTGCCATTTGGACTTCAAACAGGAAGATATCCAAGCTCGGCCAGCCAAAAATGGTGTTTGCATCGCTGTTGGTGTGGCTGAAGAGGAGCCCAGCAAGGCACTTGTGAAAATAAAGAGAATTAAACCTTGCATGGTTTACTTACAAGCTACTGAGGATCCGGTCTGCTTGCTCCCTGCTATTTCAGCTCCGTTGCCATCTACACACCAGCAGGAAGTATCTTTCTTCTTGCACTGGATGTTCCTGGTGGACAAATGATAGATTTCCAGTGTCACCAGGCAGTAATAGCTGCCCATCAGAGGTTCTCAAGGTTCATCACTACAGATGAGCCCAAGGACTGTCACCAAGTTCTTAATGTTTGAAGTCTTATTCTGTTTAATATTCTGTTGGATGCCGCCCAGAGTGGCTGGGGAAACCCAGCCAGATGGGCACAGTATAAATAATAATAAATTATGATGATGATATGCCTGTTGTCTTTGTCCATGGAGTTTTCCCAGTAGTGATGTATGGAAGTGAGAGCTGGACCATAAAGAAGGCTGATCGCCGAAGCATTGATGTTTTTGAATTATGGTGCTGGAGGAGACTCTTGAGAGTCCCATAGACTGCAAGAAGATCAAACCTATCCATTCTGAAAGAAATCAGCCCTGAGTGCTCACTGGAAGGGCAGATCCTGAAGCTGAGGCTCCAATACTTTGGCCACCTCAGGAGAAGAGAAGACTCCCTGGAAAAGACCCTGATGTTGGGAAAGATGGAGGGCACAAGGAGTAGGGGGCGACAGAGGACAAGATGGTTGTATAGTGTTCTTGAAGCTACCAGCATGAGTTTGACCAAACTGCGGGAGGCAGTGGAAGACAGGAGTGCCTGGCATGCTCTGGTCCAGGGGGTCACGAAGAGTCGGACACGACTGAATGACTAAACAACAACAATGATGATGATGATCAAACACCTTCCAAAAACCTACCTGGCCACACTACAGCCTTAGTGGAACCCTCCTGCATCCTATGGACAAATGTAAGAGGGGCTGAGGAAAACAAGGCAGCGGGTGCCAACTATGTGGTAGAGTCCTGTATGTGGTAGAGCCCTTAAAGTGGTAGAATGGGCTGCACCACTTTGCAATGTTGGCAGCAGGGAAACATGTTTTCGAACATAAAAATGCAAGGCTCGTCACAAGTAGGGAACTAGCACAGCCAGAAGGAAGCCAGGATAAAACCTCTCTCCCTGGTATGACTGGAGATGCATTACTCTTGGGATTTTATTTTACTGTAGAACTCTTTTATTAAAAATGGCATCTCCTACCAGTAGCCCCGTGTGACACAATCTGCACTTCCGTCTCAGGATGGAGATTCTACCACCTTTCTACTGTTCATGTGCACCTGGCCTACCTAGGTGATAAACCTTGGCATGCTAGGCTGGGAATGGGGCCATGGGTCAGTGGCAAAGCGCATGATTTGAACACAGGTTTAGTCTTCATTCTTTGCATTCCATTCATTCATTTATACACTGCTTAATGCCAAAATAGACTTCTAAGCAGCTTGCAAAATATAAAAACCAATTGCACAACTGTAATTAAAAATGTGCAGTTATTAAAATAGAAATACAATAAAATAACAATGTAAAATCATTAACATATAAGCATTCATAATCAAAACATGCAGTAAAACACTCCCATTAAAAGAGCACAGTGATTAAGGCAAGAGACTCGTGTAGAGTGATCAAGGGAACACCTATGTACATATGTAAACAGGTGCATCTTCAAATGCCGGCAGAATGCCAATACAGATGGGACATCTCATATTTCGGCAGGGAGAGTGCTCTACAACACCAAGGCCACCAGTGAAACATTCTGCCTCTATGTCACCACAACCTGATCTTCATCAGGCCATGGTAAGACTAACCAGGTACTATTTTTCATCTTAACACCCTTATATTGGGACTCAGCGTCATCGTCTTCCTGCCTGAAACGTCTCATCATGCTATAAGCTCATTACCTGAACTGGCCATCTTCCAAGCACTGAGGGACATAGTCTTCGCCTTCTTGAAAGGCCTTTGCCCTTCGAAGCTCACATGGGCGAAGAGGCTGGCTTTCTGCCTGGTACTCTGAATGCAGGAAGAATGTGCACAATTATTGGGGCAGCTGATCCCAACTTCATTCCAATAGAGCTGTTACACCTTTTGCCCATCATCCTACAGCAGGAATGGGGAACCTGTGGCTCTCCAGATTTTGGTGCACGCCAAGCCCCATCAACCCCAGTCAGCATGGCCAGTAATTGGGGGGGGGAGGTTGGTAGCTGGACTCCCAGCAATATTTGGTGGGCCAGTTTTCCACATCTTGCTACTATGGCTGGTTGAAGGATGGCCTTATCCCACAAAGGACATGGTTTCTATGCCTCAAAAAGACAGGGACTGAGAACCTGTTCAGATGTTGTTGGACCACAGCTCTCATCATCCTTGACCATTGACTGCTGCGTGGAGCTGGTGACACATGAACCTGTGACATTGATGATCACAGGTTCTTCATCTTTGCTTTACCTGTTCCAGTCCTAACCTTCTGCCTTCCCCGGAAGAGTGAATCAACGGCAGTAGCAAGTCCATCTGGCTATTCCGTTTCTCAGAATACATTGTCTTCTGCATCCATGGACTTTTGTAACGGCGACATTACAATTCCTGCAAACGTTGACCCACTTTTGACTGCTACAGTCCTTTCTCCTCCTATGATGGAACTCCTATTTGGGGATTTCCCTGGCTTTTTTCTGGCCCATGTAGGATGAGTCTGGATAGTTAGCCTTGGTGAAGATTTGACGTTTTCATCCCCAAAAAAGTTTTTGATTCGAGTTTCCATTGAAATGAGGCTGCATTTTAATGTTGTTTTAATGCTGTATTTCAATCAATTTGTTTTTATATCGGTTGTTAGCCGCCCTGAGCTCTGTCTTGGCTGGGGAGGGTGGGGTATAAATAATTTATTATTATTATTATTATTATTATTATTATTATTATTATTATTATTATTACGGTCACATGGAAGGTGGAGCAGGCTTGTTTTCTCCTGCCCTGGAGGGTAGGATCGAACCAATGGCTTCAAGATGCAATAAAGGAGATTCTGACTAAACATCAGGAAAAACTTTCTGAGAGTAAGAGCTGTTTGACAGTGGAATGGACTCCCTTGGGAGGTTGTAGACTCCCCTTCACTGGAGGTTTTTAAACAGGTTGGGTGGCCATCTGCCAAGGATTCTTTAGCTGCCATTCCTGCACTGGATTAGGTGACCCGTGTGGTCTCCTGCAACCCTACAATTCTCATCAGTGTCAAACTACAAGTATGTATGCAATTGATGTGGTTCTTGGTGTACAACAATACACAAATAATTAGGAAAATGTAGGTTAAGTGTACTTACTTTCTACCCTCTCCCCAAGAACTTGGGCTCACAGTAGCAGCTTCTCAGCAATTTCATATCTAATATCCTTTTCTACAAGTGTATACTTAAAACGGCTTTTGCTATCTCTGTACTTCTTTTTTTTATTATTGGTTTTCACATATTACATTACAATACAGATATTCCAAAGCCAACACTATTTCCTCCCCATCCCCCCATATATTTACATTGCTTTTTCCTCAATCCACCATATTATTCTTTTCTCCTTCTTCTCACTTCCCTCTGCCCCCTCTCGATTTCCTCCACATTATACAATTTACAATAATCTTTGCATTCTACAATCTTCTCAAATCGTCTATATATTCTTATCTTTCCTTGCTAAATTTTCTTCCATCCAGTACTTCACATTTTAATCTAGGCATACTAGCAATATCTCTTTTTTTGAGCAATATTTTGCCATATATTCATCAAAACATTTCCACTCTTTTTTTAATTTTTGATTCGATTGATTTCTTATTATATCTCTGTACTTTTAATTCAAACACAAAACCTATACGACGCTCATGCCTATGTCACATTTAATTTCCATATTTTCAGCTAAAAGGCATTCTTAGAAACTACAACTAATCCAGAATGCGGCAGCTAGACTGGTGACTGGGAGCGGCCGCCAAGTCCATATAACACCGGCCTTGAAAGACCTACACTGGCTCCCAGTACGTTTCCGAGCACAATTCAAAGTGTTGGTGTTGACCTTTAAAGCCCTAAACGGCCTCGGTCCAGTATATCTGAGGGAGCGTCTCCACCCCCATCGTTCTGCCCAGACACGGAGGTCCAGCGCCAAGGGCCTTCTGGCGGTTCCCTCACTGCGAGAAGCCAAATTACAGGGAACCAGGCAGAGGGCCTTCTCGGTGGTGGCGCCCTCCCTGTGGAATGCTCTCCCACCACATATCAAAGAAGGCAGCCCTGTTTAGGGAAGCTTTTAATGTTTAATAGGTTATTGTATTTTAGTGTTTTGTTGGAAGCCGCCCAGAGTGGCTGGGGAAACCCAGCCAGATGGGCGGGGTATTATTATTATTATTATTATTATTATTATTATTATTATTATTATTATCAGCACTGGGGGATTCAAACCAAGCTCTCGCCACCAGCCAAATACAAGTCGCCCATCCACCAGTCCAGCTTTTGAACAGGGAAAGGCAAAGCCTGCATTCCTATTTTTCTAAAATCAAGAGACACCTGTAAGCAAAGGAATGAGGGAAGCGTCACTTACCAAAGAGGTCGGCAGATGCTGTATTAACAAAGCAAAGCAGAGTGACGAGAAGTAAGGGACCCATTGTGGGGCACAGTAAGACTGAGCCCCTCTGAGCAGGTAGAGGGATCTCGCTCAGCCCATTCTTTTGGACCAAGCTTTTATAGCTGATGCTGCCCAGATACCTTCAGCTGCGAAGTGGAAGACTGGGCACTGAAGTAGGCTAATGACGCACATTTTGTTTCACAAGGGCCATTGAGCTGGCCCACTCCCACCTGAGATTTCTTCCTTGGTTTCCCTCCAAGCAACTTGAGTGTCCCCCCCCCCAGCCACTTAGGAAAAAAGGACAGATCTGGAGAAGCGTCACATGCGAAAAGCGCTGGGGTCACAGGACTCCAATGAATCAGCAAAAAATGAGAACGGGTAACAGCACAATGCATACAACTGGCATATGGGTTAAACCACAGAGCCTAGGACTTGCCGATCAGAAGGTCGGCGGTTCGAATCCCCGCGACGGGGTGAGCTCCTGTTGCTCAGTCCCTGCTCCTGCCAACCTAGCAGTTCGAAAGCACCTCAAAGTGCAAGTAGATAAATAGGTACCACTCCGGCGGGAAGGTAAATGTTGTTTCCGTGCGCTGCTCTGGTTCGCCAGAAGCGGCTTAGTCATGTTGGCCACATGACCCGGAAGCTGTACGCTGGCTCCCTCGGTAAATAAAGCGAGATGAGCGCCGCAACCCCAGAGTTAGTCACGACTCTGCGTCTGTAACCTGAGGTACCACTGTATATGGATTTTAAAATCCAAGGGAGGAACTTCTATAAACCTCAGCAAGGAGGTTACTCCATGGCTTCAAGGCAACTGAGAAGTACACTGGTGGAGCCAATCTGACGTGTTTGCACCACAATGACCTTGTCCCACCCCTTCCTAGTACGCGGCAACATGGCTCATGGTCAGCTGAGTGCTGCCAGCCTACTACACCATCTGCCATCAAGCAGGTCAAATGACTGGGCTAGACAGAGCATTAGCCTGACTCATCATAAGGCAATTCCGTACTGCAAATTGCAATTGTCACATGAACGGCACATTTCTCAACCTCCTGAAAGGCTTTGGCAAATCTGACGATCTGTAAATTGAAAATAAAATGTTAAGCAGGCCGTGAAGAGTGAAAGGATGCAGAGTATGCAGAATATTTTAATAAACAGCTTTACATACAGTACCTTACATATAGAACAGTGTATCTGCAAATTTAAATACATTTTTTTTAAAAAAAATGTACAGTGGCTTGTACTCTTATCCCAGGGGAACTTCAAGTTTATGGCCTGTCATACAGTTCTCGTATGCTTTTATACATATCACCAGCACTGAAATTGCAAGGGAGGCGTAAAGAGTTCAAGTATCGTGCTGCCGTTAGTTACACAACCTCTTCTGAACAGTCAATATTTTAAAATTTTGCATTTCATTTTCTTTTCTTTCTTTTTTACAAATTTCAAAACCTGTACATACATTATTTTCATTTTCTTCATCTTTTTCTCTCTTTTAGAAACTGCGTGTTAAAAGGCAACATTTTAAATATTTTGTCACCAAGGTCTTAGTCTATTGCAATAAAACTAGACTTGTCAATATAAATATGTCTCTAGATTGTATTATGTATATGAGCGCCTGTATGTGTGTATCACACCGACACACAGAGAGACATATACACATAATAAAAGGTGTATCGTAGCAGTGGCTGCAGCAAAATTGCAGATGAACAGAAGTGAAGTGAAGGCTCTGGACTCTGGTGCAGAAACAATAAAAACAAAAAGAAAAACCGCACAGCAATTAGGTTGACTTTGGTTTCACAATGCTTTGCAAACTCATAATTAAGCGTCCCTAACAGATAGCGAAGAGTTATTCTCCATCAGAGGCGCTCAGTACGAGTAATAGGTTTTTCGCCATATCCGCTCTACAAAGGCAGCTACCAACACTCAGATTTTGATTCATAGGGGGTGATCCTGCAGGTCACTCAGGGCAGGGGTTGGCTAAGTTTTTGTGGCATGGGCTGGTTCACTGTCCCGCAGATGCCGCGGTGGGCTGGAGTGCACATGCATGCGCAAACGCTATTTCCGGTGCTCCTTCCAGCGCACAGGAGGCGTGCGCAGCTTCCCATTGGCTGCAGGAGCTTCCTGCAGCTAATGGGAAGCCAGATAGCATCGAGGAAGCCGGTCCCCACTCTGCTCCGCGCTGGTTTAGCGCGGCGCATGGGAGCCGACTGAGCGAGCGGCAGTTAAATGACCCCCATGGGCCGCTTGTGGCCCACGGGCCTTAGGTTGCCGACCCCTGCTCCAGGGTTACAAATAAGCATGGGAAATGTTTATTTGGAAAAAATGACAACGGGACAGGCTGACCCCTTCCAAGCTCCTTGGCATGCAACACAAGTGAATCCCATCAGGAGACACCTGCACAGATGTTGCAATTTCATTCTGTGCTGTTCCCCACCTCCCAAAGGGTTGTCTGCAAAAACAGCACCAAGTCCTGGTCCCATCGGTGGAGGATTTCTGCAGGCCTCCACCCCCCTTCTCACCACACCCCTCTAAATCTGTTCTAGGGGTTCCCAACCCTTCAGAGCAGATTTGGGGACGATGCATGGGAAAGGAGACGGGTGCAAGAATGGAAATTCTTGCACTGGCGGGACGCATTGCTCGGATGCTGCCCAAAATCTAAAAACATGTTAACACGGGAAATGGCCCGATTTCACAGCCCGTCCGCTGGCATTCTGAATGTTCTGGTCATTCCTCAATCCAGCTGAGGAGCAACAGTAGTTCAGAGAGCTAATGCTAAGCAGTCGTCCAGGACAAAAAAAAGTTCTTCAAAAAAAATGCACTGTAGCCCTGAATACTGTTGCGGCTAAACGCAAATATGATTTAAGTATAATATTGGATGGTTTGCTGGCTGGCAATATGGAGGACTCTGCTAGGAGAGCAGGGGAAGAGGAAGAGGGAGCAACACGCGGCAGACGACTCTCATCCTCCCGTTTCAGTGGTTTTCGAAAACTTTATTTGGCACTTCTGACAATTACCCTCCCCATACCTGTTTCTAACAAGGAGCGCAAGATCCCCGCAAGGAAGGTTTAGTTTTAAAAAATAATATTCGTGAAGAGGCCACCACAGAAAACAGTCTCTCTTTTTTTCTTTTTAAAAAAGGGAAGCTAGTATTTTTCATTTTCCTGGGTAATATTTGTTGCACCAGGAAAAACAGGCATTGGCTCCATTTTACCTATCCTTCAAGATACCAGGGGGTGCAAATATTTATCTGCTATCACACTGAAAGAAAACATTGCGCTTTCATTCCTTCTCCAACACAGCTTCTTAATTTTTTCCCCCCTAAGGAAACACCAGTCTGAAGATTTCCCCGACATGGCCTGTGGGAACATCCTGGCAGGCCATGTCGTGTGCCCCTTCCTTGATGCTTTCCTCCTCTTTCCCCTTTTCTCAAGACCTTCGGGATAACAGGACATCCAGCACAGAACAAAGGAATAGTGTTCAAGCGTCTTTTTATTTTCGTATTTCACCCCTTTGTCAGTCTCACGAAGCGCAAGAAATCCATTGTTAAGAGCCTATCTGCGTATTCCTTTCCGCTTCCGCTTTGTCATACGGAACAAAAGGTTGCTATTTGCTGGACTTTCCCCATGTCAGATATGAGCTGCTTGATCCGGCGCTTGAGCTGAGGCAGCCGTGCAAGGGGGTCCGGCGGCTCCAATTCCCCGGTGAAGTCAAGCCAGCTTTCTAAAACTGCACAGACAAAAGGGATACGAGCACAGTTAGGGATAGAAAGATGCGGCAATATTTAGGCCTGGTTTTGGAGTCGCACTAAACCGGGGAGCCCCCAAGCTTCTCAGCAGTCTGAGAATAAGCCTGATCCCTTTTCCGCTTTGGGACAGCTGATAGGAAGCACCCACTTCTGTTCAACTAACTGTATTGTGTCATTTAATCTGAACAGATCGTAAATGGACAAACGCAGGGCATTCAGCTATTCTTGGTAGGTTAGAGCATGGCGCTGATAATGCCAAGGTTGCAGGTTCAATCCCTGTAAGGGACAGCTGCATATTCCTGCATTCCAGAGGGTTGGACTAGATGATCCTCAGGGTCCCTTCCAACTCTACAGTTCTACAATTCTATGATTCCTAGAGCTGTCAACCAAACTGAATTCATCCCATCGTTCAGCCCGGACACTGAGGTCCAGCACCGATGGCCTTCTGGCTGTTCCCTCACTGCGAGAAGTGAAGTTACAGGGAATCAGGCAGAAGGCCTTCTCGGTACTGGCGCCCGCCCTGTGGAACACCCTTCCATCAGATGTCAAGGAAATAAACAACTATCTGACTTTTAGAAGACATCCAAAGGCAGCCCTGTTTAAGGAAGGTTTTAACGTTTGATGTTTTGTTACTTTATAATTATTATTATTATTACTCTGTTGGGAGCTGCCCAGAGTGGCTGGGGAAGCCCAGTCTGATGGGAGGGGTATTATTATTATTATTATTATTATTATTATTATTATTATTATTACAGTGGTACCTCGGGTTACATACGCTTCTGGTTACACACGCTTCAGGTTACAGACTCTGCTAACCCAGAAATAGTACCTTGGGTTAAGAACTTTGCTTCAGGATGAGAACAGAAATCGTGCTCCGGCGGCACGGCAGGAGCGGGAGGCCCCATTAGCTAAAGTAGTGCTTCAGATTAAGAACAGTTTCAGGTTAAGAACAGACCTCTGGAACAAATTAAGTACTTAACCCGAGGTACCACTGTATTATTATTATTATTATTATTATTATTATTATTATTATTATTATTATTAGACTTGCTCAAAAAGTGATGATTGTGCACCTTGCATTGTACACAATGCACCAGTTTCTAAACATGTTACCATTCCAGAAACTTATTGCTTTAAGATAGTTACCATCCACTTCCTTTTCGATCAGGTCCATTCTGCTAGCAACTTCGTTCTGTACGTTCTCTATGTGGGTGAGGAGGTTTAGCTGCCATTGAAGATGGGAGTCCACATGTTCTTCGGGTCCTCTTTTTTCATTAAATACAAACACAGTGTTCCCT